CTTCCTCAGGGTCAGAGGGGCGAGGCTTGTGAAATAATAAAGAAATGTCCAGGTTATCCAAGAAAAGTGATGCCAGAGAGCAGCAGGAGGGAAGGGTGTGCGCGCGTTGGGGGAGGACCAGAAGGGATGTGGGGTTAAAGCAGTGCCAAGTGATGAACTCCACTGCATTGCGGGCATAGGCGTGTGGGTTGCCACCCGTGGTAGGCACAGGATCGGGGCCTCTTGACTGCAAAAGCGATGCCAGCCTGCCCCAAACACCTCTCAAAGGCTGATGGGGAAAGAGAAACTGGCATTTTTGGGCTGCAGGGTATATAAAGAGGAGTCCTTAAAGTCAAACCTGTTCCCACCCTTCACTAAGGAAGGGGGGTGTAGGGATTCTGCCAGGTGGTAAGACTTCCCCCCCCTTTACTCAGTGGAGGTCTCATCAGCAGGACCCAAATATTCTGTTCTTTGGGGGGAAAGCTCCGCAGTGAGACCAGCATTTTGGTGGCTCGTTTCCCAGGGTACACCCTGTTTCCATTTTTATGCCTCATTAGCTTTGATGCTGGCCTGACTCCCCAGCTCTGTCTTTGGGGATCTCACCACCAGCCAGACCTTCTTCCCCCCCATGCCCAGCAGTGGCCCAATGGGGTGAGCAGGGGCTGGGCTGCCAAGGAGAGCCAGCATGTGGCATCCTCTCTTGTGGCAGTGGCACAAAGGGCCCGCCTGGGTTGGGTCTTCTAGGAAGCTGCTAATGCAGCCTAGGGAAACGTCACGCCCCTCGGGGTGGGGGGAACCAGGCAGGCCGAGTGAGTCTCCCCTTCCTGGAGATGAGGTGGCCTCCCTTGCAGGGAAGATGGCTGGTGGCCAGGAGTCCAAGGCGGGGTGGAGGACGGGCTTCCTCACTCCATGCTCAAAGCCCTGATGGAAAAATCAAGAAGGGCCCTGGGAAGGGGTGGCATAATTCCATGGCCCATTGCCAGGTCTCCTCTCTCTGGCTAGGTTGGGGTGAGGAGACCCACTGGGTCAACAGCCCAATCCAGCCGCTTTGCTGCCCCCAGCTAAGGTCCACGCAAGGAGAAGTTGGCTGCAGCCCCTTCAAACCCCAAATCCTGGCCACTTGCTGAGCCCCAGAATCAAAGTGCTGCTTCTAAATTATGTGATGTGCTCCATGCTTGAATGCTCCAGAATATTAAAGACCAATTTTCACTTTTAGGAGCTCTTGGGACTCGGTTACTATTTGGCAGCAGAAGGCGTATCCATGTGGATATTTGCATCTCAGTCCCTTCTTTTTTTTTCTTTCTCTTTCTCTGTTTTTCTCTCACCCTCCCTCCCTCTCCCTCTCTTTCTCTTTTTTCCTCCTTTCTTTTTTCCTCTCTCTCTCCTCTCTTTCTTTCTCTTTTCCCTTCTTTCATTCTCTCTTTCTCCCCACACCCTCTCCAGGTTTTATGGCAAAATAAAAGCCGTTCCGACCGTTGCAACCCTTCTCAAAGTTTGCTCAGCGCTGTTATCGCAGTTGGCACCAAGGGGAGCTCAGGAAAACGCTGCCCAAGCTCCGGATTGGGCTTCCCTGCAAACCCCGTTTGGAAAGCCACCTGCCTTTGTTTGGGGCTCCACCGCGCCGGTGTTTTCAGGGCGATGACCCCGAAGTAATCCCCACCAGGCGGGGGAGAAACAGCTGGGGGTGGGGGAGACGGAGGGTCCGCGCCTCTTTTGGAGGAGCGAGAGCGGCAGCAGAACCTGAGTGAGATCCGATTCTGGCGCTGAGGCTGCGCCGGCTGTCAAACTTCCCTTCCGCTGCGCTCCTCTTCTGGGGAGACCCGCCGCTCCCGCTCGCTCGCCGCAAGACAGGGACCGGGACGTCTCCTGCACCCGAGCAAGGCTGCCCCACCCTCCCCGCCCTCCGCTCCACCTGCCGGTTCCCCCCGAACACTCACATTTCGGTGAAGTTCTCCAGGCTGCGCAGCTGCGCCAGGGAGTGGATGTCGCGCGGCTCCTGGCAGAGCAGCGCGCTCAGGTAGCAGCGGCACTCTTCCAGGCAGGGCGAGGGGGCGCCGGGCGACAGGCACAGCCAGCCCAGGCACAGCAGAAGTCCGGCCGAGGCGCGGAGCGGGCTTCTCCCCCCGGGCTGCATGTCGGACCTGTTCTCATGTGCGCCTCCCTCGGAGAGTGCCGGGTCGCGGGGGACTCTCAGGGCATCTGCCTCTGCCCGGCTCCCCTTCCCGACTGCGGAGCACGTGTGGACGCAGCAGCTGCTCCATTCCTGGAGGGGTTTTCAACCTTCGAGGGGCGGGGCTGCCTCCAGGCTCCTCCTTCCCAAACAGCCCCTCCCGCCCTGTCCCCGCGGCCCTCTCGGGGATGTGGACGCAGCAGGACAGCCGCCTCCGCCTCCGCCTCCGCCGGGCATCAGGGCTGCGGGCAGAAGGCGCGGCTGTCTTGGCCCAGGACCCTGGCTGAGAAGGGCAGGCGCGGCTGGAGGATCTGGGGCTGGACGAGGCAGTCCGGGGCAAGGACAAGCCCGGCTGAAGGCCCCTTTGCGCCCTCAGGGGATCTGGCACGCTCTAAATTGCGAGGCTGTGCCCAGAGGCAGGAAACCGCCTGTTTTCCCTCTCAGCCATCTCTGGGTGGCATCCTCTGCCCCCTGCCCTTTGCCCTCCGGACAGCCAGATGGTCAATGGATTCAACACCTTTAAATAACTGGATCGATTGGACCATTGCGCGCAGCAGAGTCACAGCCACATCGGGGAAGGGGTCGCGGAGCACCCTTTCCTTGCTCCCATTCCTAGAGGGATCCTCCACATTCCTGGGTCCCGTGCTCTGGTGGTCCTCCACCCACAGACGTGGGGGACTGTCATGCCACTGCCACGCCAACGTTTTTGACTTGCCAAACCAGTGAGTGATGCTGCCCTCGGAGTAGAAAGTGCTAGCCTTCATTTCCCTGGCTTCAACCCCGGGACTAAATCTGTCTTCTGGGAAACAATGCCCCTGACCACGTGCAGAGGCCACCGCAAAGAAAAGCAGGTGCCCACCGAGTGAGAATAAGTGGAGAGTTGTGAGCCTTGAAGGAGGAGGAGGAGGAAGGCCAAAGAGAGAGCCCCCCCCAGGAGAGAACCAGCCTCCGCTGTCTCTCCACGATTTGAATTCCCTTTCGACCCCTCCCCCCCCCACCCCCGCTGCCCCGATGCTCTGCATGGACCGAGTCCCCTTCCCGGGGAGCAGCGGGAGGTCCTGGTGCCAGCGGATGGGGCTGCACAAGGCGTGAAGGTCTCGCGGGTGGGGTGGGGAGTAATGACCGCTGCCTCTTTGGCAGCAGATGGCTTGAAAGCCTTTTCAGCAAACGCTTCGCTTTCATTACGATAAAATGGAGCCAAATTTAAAAGCGACGCGAGGAAGTGCATTTGCAGCCCTTGGCGTGATGGGACCTCGGTTCCAGCAGGGGCTACTTGGGGGCTTTGCGGGGAGGTGACACAAAGGGGAACAAAGGGGGGGGCGATGATTTAGGAGGCGCCCCATGTGGGCAGCCTTGGCAAGGCCCCAGGGAAATTTTAGAGCAGTGTTTCTTAACCTTGGCAACTTTTAAGATGCCTGGACTTTAACTCCCAGGATTCCCCAGCCAGCGTGGAATTCTGGGAGTTGGTGTCCACACATCTTTAAAGTTGTCAAAAGGTTGAGAAGCGGCGAGCAGCAAACAAAATCCGTTGCCAGTGGTGAGGACGAGTCTTGCGACTTCGCCACTCAAGCTCGGATAAGGCGAGCCTTTGGCGTCGCGATAAATCTTGATTCTCCTGCTGCTAATTTGTTTTAACCGAGATATTTTGACAGACTTCAAGTACATCCCCTCCCTCTTCCTCTCCCCTCCCCCCCCCACCGTTCCATTTGGGTGCCCTGTAGAAAAATCAAGTTAGCAACAGCACTTCGGAGGCATTAATGGCCTGTGTACAATCTCATGGTTGTGCATTGACAAGGAAGGTTTGAATAGCTGGGCCGACGCTTCTGGGATTGATAACCGCCAACCAGCGCCAGGCCTCGCCCGAGGAAACCCCGGGAAAGGAGAGCGCCCGCGAGCCCAGGAGCTGTCCAGCGGAACAGGAGCTGGCTTACTTCCTCGGCTTTGAAAGAACCCCGAGTCGCGGGAGAGAGGACAAGCAAGAGAGTTTTGCTGGGAAACCGGGGATCTGATTGCACGACTCGGGGACCAATGCAGTAAAACTTGGGGAGAGAGGCCAGAGGCTTTCCCCACCGGTTGCAAGGGGAAACGTGGAAGAATTCCCGCGTGGTCGCTTTTTGAGAGGTCTCATAAAAAGCCGAACGGAAAAACGATGCTTGCATTTTATTTAAATCCTCCGGGCGTTCAAGTCGCATCTCGCAGCAATGAACGGCGACGCTTTCTTTTCGGGGGTCGAGTCGCCCTTCCTTAAGGCGGCTTCGGGACCGACCCCGAAGAGCCCCCCCTCCCACCCGTCCTCCTGGCACCGAGGCTGCGGAACTCGCGGCCACGGCTCCTTCCCAAAGGGAAACCGAAGGGAAGCCGCCCTTTCCTCCTTGCCCTCCCGCGGGGACCGATTCCCCCGCTGCATTTCCCCGACGGAGAGGCCCGGGGTCCCGTGGGTAGCCGCTCGGCCATCGCTCCCTGGAGAGGGGAAGAGGCTGCAGCCCCGCCCGGCGGGGGAAAAATGGCAGAGAAAACGCCTTAAACTTGGGATGCAGGCGCGGATTTATTATTGATGGTTTGTCGATTGAACGGATTCTTCCTTTGCTCGCTTTCCTCGGGTGCAAAAGTCTGCCGCCGAAGCGCGGCTCCCGCCCGGGGGGTTGGAAAGAAAGGGGACGGTGGCTTTCCGGGTGGTCTCCCATCCCGCTCGGCAGACAGCCGCCTCCCTCCGCCTTTCCCCTCCCCCTCTCCTGCCCCGTGCGCGCGAGCGCGGGAGGGAGGAGGTTAAAAACCCGGCTCCGCGCCTGCGCACGCGCCTGCGCGCGGAACGCGCGGGAGGCGGGGCGCGCGCGCCTGCGCAGTGGCGCCCGCCCTGAGCGGCGTTGCTGGTGCGACCGAAGGGGAGGGAAGATGGCGGCCGGCGGCAAGGCCTCCTCCGCCTCCTCCTCCTCTTCCTCCTCCTCCTCTTCGTCCGCCTCGTCCTCGGCCGCGGCCCCGTCGTCGTCCGGCACGGCGGCCTTCACGGCGTCCTCGCCGCCGCCGCCCTCCTCCTCGTCGTCGTCGTCGTGGTCGGGGCTGGAGGCGTCGCTGGACAGGAAGCTGCAGGCGCTGAGCAACACCATGGAGTCCATCCAGGGCCTCTCCTCCTGGTGCCTGGAGAACAAGCGCCACCACGCCGCCATCGCCCGCCGATGGATCCACTGGATGCGCCGCTGTGAGTGCGGGGGGGGGGGGGAGGGGGGGGGGGGGGGGGTCCCACCGCGGTCCGCCCCTCCGCCGTTGTCCTTTGGGGGGGAGGGGTGTCCGAAGAGGCGGCGGCCTTTGGGCGGGTGGAAAGAGGCGCCCCCGCTTTGCGCCCCTCCGGCCGAATCAATGGGGGGGGGGGGGGCCCCCTGGCCCGGATCTGGGGGGGGGGGGGGGTGGGAGGCGATGGAGGGAAGGGCTGCCGTGGGGAGGGGGATGCCCTGCAAGCATTGAGCCAGGCCGGTGCCACACACACCCCCCACGGCCTCCCCCGCTCGCCCAGAGAGAGGAAGCGGGCATCCCCGTTAAGGACTGGCATGGCATGGCAGCTGGACCAGCGCTTGGCCCCCTTGGCCTTCAGGGACCCATGTGGAAGCTTCCCTTATAATGACGTAGATGAGGGATCCGTGGTCCGCAGAAAAATGACTTGCATTTTTTATATTGCACTAAATACTATTTATCTTGTTTAAAAAATTCACATGAGTGGTCCGCGGGATTTAAAATTACGACTGTAGTGGTCCCTGAGGTCCGAAAGGTTGGTGACCCCTGTCGTAGATTGTGTACATACCTTTCCTTCTCTTCTGTCACGCTCCCATCATACGCTAAAGTAACAACAAGAATTTGCAATTGACGCCGTTTCTGGGTCTGGCTGTCTGGGCACAAGCATGGCAGCCCTGGCAGAGGAAGGCCAGGCGGAGAGGAATCTGCCCTTCTGGCTGGCTTTGCTTCAGGATGGTGCCGAGGTGCCACCCCGTCTCACAGAGGTGCTAAGAGAAGTTTTGTCGGCTTTTGTGATGGGCGCAGATGGCAGAGGGTCTCTGTTTCTTCTCTTCAGGGTCTGATTTTTCCCAAGGAAAATATTGCGGAGGAAATCTGGTTGACAGTAAGCTTGCAAATGGGGCTAAAATTGCTAAAAAGGTTGGAGGCTATTTTGCTGGTGGCAAACTCCCCCCCTCACAGGTGGCTGGGCAAGGGGTGCTTGCCACTTTACAGGAAATGTTTAGCTGGTTGAGAGTCCTATTTCCAGACTCATTGGGCGCATTCCTCGCCTTTTAAGAATCCTTGTCACGCGTGAGGTTTATTTTTTTAAAAAAAGAATTGGTGTGTTTTTGTAAAGATTGTAAATGTTGCTGTAAGCACGCAGGTGGGTCAAGGTCCAAAGTCTGCCTGTCTGGTGGTATTCCTGAATGATCCCTTCCAACCTGCTACCCTCAATCCTGACTCCCCAGATGCCAGAAACACATCTGGAGGGTGGAAGGTGTGGAAGGCAGACCGAGGTGGACAACATCTGTGTTTCAGTCTTTGGAGAGAGAACAAAAAATGCGTTTTATGGAGGGAGCGTTAAAAATATGCAAATCTGGGTTGTGAATGAAATAGCAGTGCTGGTGTCAACAGTTCTTGGCCATTGCCTAGATTAGCTTCTGAATGGGTGCCTGATCTCATGGCCGTCCGTCCTTTCCTCCCCTCCTCCCACACTTCTAAATTCACTTGATTTCTCTCAGGAGTTGGAGAGTGAATTTCCCAAGTAAAAAGATACGCTTTTTCTACTCACGTGTTTCTGAGCTGTCTTGTGAATCCAAAAGTTTGGTTTATGCTTTCACGTCTATGCTTTCTCTGAATTTCTGAATGTTTGGAATGGCCCTGGTTCTAGGGTTTTCTAAGAAGTTGTGGGATCTGGTGACCGGCATGAAATTGTGTCTGTGAATTGGATATTTGCTTGAAATATCACATAACGGTTAAAATATTGAAGGGCTGTGAAATGTTTGCCTCAGCCACATCATCCCTGAGGGAACATCACCATCTGCAACACAATTAGTAATCTCATTAATTTCACTTGGATTTCCATCCAAGGTTTAGAATTGAGGTTATAAAAATTACCGTGTCTCCATTTTCTGAAAATGGCAAATTATTACCACGGGCTACAGGTTTCCGTTTGACGTTCGTGTTACTGACCACCATAAGGAGAGCAGGGCAAAGCTGGTTTAAAAGCTTGGTGGTGCAGTTGAAAAAAATCCATATTAATGGTCTAAGACACTGGGGTGGGAGTGGCATAGAGGCTGCCCATAGAAACAGGTAATTTACTGTTTCAACAATTTAATCAGATATCCACTGTGCTCCAATTTAAGGCAGTTCTTGGGTTAAACTCTCACAGAGTTATATTTCCCTGGAGTTAAAAGAACGGCCCTTCCATCAGGTGGAAGAAAGGAACATTGGCTAGTCTGTCAGTTCAGGATCGGTGGGAAAGCCGCCTCTGGCCTTGTTTCCTATGGCTGCAGAATGGGGCTGTTCCGGCCGTGACATTTCAGTGGGGAAGAATTCCTTTCCCCTACACTGGCTGTGGGGCGCCCTAAAGTTTTGGGTCCACCTAAACCAGCTCCCCAAAAGAATGTCCTTTCTCAAGAGCAGAGCTGGCTAGAAACACAGACCTTGCCGGGGGTGCTGAGTTGGGCCCCTTTGGGAAACACAGCATCAGGCCTGACCTCTGACTGAGGCTGAATTGCTGACTCTTGAAGGGGCAGAAGTGCTGTGGTTGTGTGTTGCGATTGCACCTTTGTTGTACCTTTTTTTACTGGCTGGCTGGGGAATTCTGAGAGCTCGTCTTGAAGCTGCCTTGCAGGACTTGTTTTTCAGAATGTCCATGCAAGATGTGGAGAGCACATGAGATTGGAGCAGTCTGGTGTAGCATAAGCGTTGAGGCTTTGGAGCTGATTTGCTGCTTTGGGATGAATGAGGGGTGGGTGGCTGGAAAGGGTCTCCAGAGAGGAGTCTCTGCAGCTTGAACCTCCTGAGATTTGGGGGAGGAAGGGTCTTGCGCCAAAACCCTCACCGTGTCCCTTTTGCAGAGATTTGTCCTTGCACGATTGTGGTAGGAATTCTTTGAAATGGCAGGAGAATGGCTATAAACATCCCTCCAAAGGCCAGACGAGCGATTTGCTGTTTCTCCTATACTGTTGATCCATGGATTGTGTCATTGTTTATTTAAAGGTTTTCTTCCTCCAAAAAATGATCCTTGAGTAGTTTGCAAAAGAGGGATTAGGTAGTTCCTGCCCTCAGAGACACAACACCCAAAGAAAACGGTTGGGGTATTTTTTTTGAAATAAGTGGTTGGTTTCACACCAACTCCAAGCCAAGCCCTTTGGGGCCATTGGCCATCCCTTGGCTCGTCTTACGCGTAGACACAACTTCCATTTGTGCAGGAACACACAGTTGGGAATCCTGACAGCCAGCTGAATAACTGATTGTCAATGCTGGCTGAGCAAGTCTGACACAGATGCATATATTGCCCCTATATAAAGGTGGAATTGGGACTCAGCCATGCCAGAAATACGTTTTATTTGTGGTGCCACAGAACATTTGCCGTTATTCACTCTTTGGGGGGGGGGAAGGGCTGAAGATTGTTATTAAAACATCTGGCAATAGAAATTGACTGAGCCGAGTAGCCTGTCCAGCTGCCTTTGAACCCAACAGGGATTGCAATAATTTATCCCATGGTAATCCAGGAAGGAAGGTGGGGAAGATAGACAGGGCTAATGGGGCGCTTCAGCAGTCTGCTTGGTCCTCGCTTTGCCAGGAACTTTGGCCCCTGCAGCCTGGCATAGAGAATGCCTTCCCTGTCCCTGGGAAGGAGGGAGGGGAGGTTCCTCTATCTGGAGAGAGTCAGCTCTGGGAGGGAAAGCTTTGGGGCGGGGACCACAGGGTCTCTCTCCTTTCCTGGCCCAGTGAGACAGGTGATGGGAGCAGAGCTTTTGCAAATGTTCAGCACCTAGTTATAAGTGGAGACAGTGCTTGGCTAGGTCACTCCGCAGACCTGAGTCTCTCCCTAGCTGGTAATCCAGATTTTTGGAAAGTAGGACACAGCGCCCACAGGGGTGGAATAGAAGGGCAGTTCATCCTTTCTCTTGGGAAGGAAAACTCATGTGCTCCGTGTGTTGGAGAGTGGCTGTGACTTCACCGATGGGATTTTGAAGCTGTGAGGAGCATCAAGGCTCACCACAAGTAGGGGACACCATTTCCTTGGGATTCAGGTGGGGTTTCTGTCTCGCTCCTGACTCAAACCGGGCACTTCTGCCCGTGGAGCAGAGCCAGCAGGCAGGGGGAGCTTTTTTCGTTGTTTTGAAAGTGGCCTTTGGACTTGTGCATGCTGAATTGCGCCTCTTTGCTTTTGAATGCCTGATGCCGGTGCTAGATAAGACCCCCGGGAGCTGAGCAGAGTGTTTCTCTTGGGCCCACCTGCCCACTCAGCTACTGCACAAAGTCTCTGGTTTTGCTAGGCTGTTCCTCCTGCCGGCTGGGAACAATGGGTGTTGTTATCCCACAACTCTGGCAGCCGGGAGAGAGCTAGTATGTAGGCCAGTAGGAAAGGCTGCTGGCCTAACAGACCTTGGGGCAACGTGGCAACCGACTTCTATAATTGGTCCTAATAATTGTGTTCTTACTAATTGGAGGCTAGGAGGATGGGACGGATTGTGGTGTAAAGTCAGGCAATAGCAAAGTAATCTCAGAGCTTCCCTTCTGAGGTGTCACCCAGCAAATGGCAGCCAGTCAGGCCGGGGTGTGGTTTGAAAAGAAAAGAGGGGGGCTCAGGGCCCCTTGTTGGGGTGGGGCTGTGGATGATCCGGCAGGTAAAATGTCCAGCCCTCCGACTGCCCCAGGAAAAGCAGAGGGGATTGGGGTGCCAGGGGTGGCACTTCCTGATGCCCCCTGAGCTCAACAGAGCACCCCAAGCAAAGAAAAGACGTCCTCTGCCTCCCCCACCCCCTCGGGGAATCCGTGTGTCTTTTGAAGGAGAAGCAGAAGCACTGCAAATTGGTGGGTTTTTTCCAAAGAGTTTTATTTTTATTTCTCATAAACATATTTAAATGTACAATCTTTTATCCATCATTTTCCATTCATCTTATCTTTTAACTTTCAGTTTTAGTTGTTCGGGGCGGCTCTTTTACCATTTACCCTCCTTTATTTTACCACAACCTTTCCTCTTCTCCTCCCCTTCTCTTCCTTCCTTCCTTCCTCCATCTCTTCCTACTTTCTTCGTTCTTCCTCTCCTTCTCTTTCCTACTTCCCCTTCCCTTCCCCCACTCCTCTCTTCCTCCTCCCTTTCTAACCTTTTCTCCTCCTGCAAACTGGTTTTTAAGAGGGGGCCAATTTTAAAAGTTAGACACCCTCCTCCCTGCAAATTTGCAGCTGGGAAGAGCGGTTGCAGGAGTAATAAACAGGTCAATGGCAGGGTTGAAGAGGGGGATTAAAAATGATCCGTCCAAGGTCAGCTCCCCAGGTTGCATGACCGGCCTCTGTTTCTCTTCTGCTCTCAGCCGCCTTCGCTCACCGACTGAACCTCTTCTACTTGGCCAACGACGTCATACAAAACTGCAAGAGAAAAAACGCCATCGTCTTTCGCGACACGTTTGCCGAAGTGCTGCCTGAAGCCGCCGCTTTGGTGAAGTAAGTTGAGGCTTTTTTTGCGGCCCTTTCTCTGCTCCTCCCGATGATGATCTCGCGGCGTTGGCAGGTTTGTGCGTGAACGTCCTTGGGAAGGCCGAAAGGTGCCGAACAGAGGGCTGCTTGAGCAGGTGCCAGAGGGACGGGATTTGCTGCTCGAGAGGCATACTTGGACTTAGCCAGAGCGTCCTGCCCCTTGAGAAGCCGTTGTCATTCTTAGAAAGCTACAAAGCTTTGGTTTAACTGACGTTTATTGGTCAACAGTGCGAGAGGTTCTTGTTTCTTTGGTGTCTTATTGCCGGTGGCTACAATTCTCTCTGGCCACTCTTTGCCTGTGTGATCTTCTCCAAACTCACACGTTGAGGTGAGGTGAGGTGAGGAGAGGAGAGAAAGGGAGCCTGGGAGCCTTCCAGCTAAGAAGAGATAAAAGTTTTAAAACTTTTGCTGGAAACAGCTCAGAGGCTCTTAACTTGGGAGTAGGAGGAGTAGGAGGATGCAGCGGCAATTCCCTTTTCCTGGTCGGTGGAACTAAATTGCAGGTGGGCAGGGGGGTTGGCCTCTTCCTTCTGCTCCCCTGCCTGGAGACTGTGCTCAGCTGAATCTCCTGGGGGTGGTGAGAAGAGAAGAGCCTCTGGTTGATGTCTGGGGCTGCTAAGCCCTTCCTGGCTCTTGTGATCTGGGTAGTTCTTTTCCCAAGGAAAGCGTGTGGTGTTTCTAAACTTTTACAGTCTCTTTTCCTTGGTTACTTCCGGGGCTTTCTCCTCGTGGGTGGGGCTGCAGTGATGGATGCCAGCAGGCTGGGAGGCATCCCCAGCCTAATTAGAGCTCCTTGGAAGCTTTCTTTGGCTCCTGCTGCCTCGACCTTCTGCCTCTTTGGAGAGCTATCCGCGTGAAAGGTTCTTAGGGCAATATTTGGCTTTTCTCATGGAAGATTCCTATACTTAGATTGCGTAGTTTTAACCCACATGTCATTTCTTACAGCCCAGTGCTTTTACTGACTCCAAAAACCTCCGAGGTTTTTTTTATTTTGGAGTGGCAGCTGTGCTAACCAACATCTGGGGCCTCCTGGTTTGGTGTCAAGCGATGATGTTTCTCTACCTCGGCAACTCTTAAGGGTAGATGAGGCAGCTGGTGGGGGCCGCCCCGGGGAGGATATTTTCTTAGGAAGTCTCTTTCTCCCACTCCTCCCTATCCATGGAAGTGCTAGTGAGAGGCTTGCTTGAGGAAGAAGCTTTGTTTGGTCCTGTGTCTGGAATTGCTCATCCGGTGCCCTACATTGGTTGAGCTGTAAAGCCTGGGAGGATTTCTGTTCTGTTGTAAAGGTCTCTCTCTCTCTCTGCTTGGAAAAACCTCCGTTGGCCTGTGTTTTCCAGGGGCATCCAAAACCTCTGCAGTCAGGTGACAGTACTGTGAAATTCAAATATTTTGGGGAAGGTAGTGTTTCAGTAGCCCTGTTTTGTTTGTTCTCCTTGCTCTGAGGTATAGAGAAAGCCACCCTCGGATCAGAGCCCCTGTGCTGGGTGTTTCCTTCCCTTCTTTATGTTACTGGTAAAATCCTTCTGTTCTCATTTGAACCTGTGGGTGAGTGGATTTCAGTCCTTAGAAGAAAATAGCCGTCGCTTCGGTTCTGGCATGAGCAAAAGGGAAGAGAGGCACAAAACCACAACCGGCCTTCTCTCTGTTGTTTGTAGAGATCCATCCGTCTCCAAGTCTATCGAGAGGATTTTTAAAATATGGGAAGACAGAAATGTGTATCCAGAAGAAACCATTGTCGTTCTAAAAGAAGCTTTAAGTAAGTTCACCTACGTTTTTCTTTTTCCCTGGGCCTGTTGTGGTTTTGTCCGTGTGTGCACGAGCCAGACAGACTGACTGAGTCAGGGATGTTGGGCATTAAGGCAACCAGACGGACAGGAGGAAGCGAGCTCCAAATTCTTCGCTCTCCACACTGTTGGCTGAAACTCTGCTTTCTCCCTAAAATTTATCCTCTTGAGTAGTTCATTGTCCTGAAATAGTTGAAAACGGTGCATTGAATTTATTCTGGTTCTCCTCCTGGCCCTTTCTCAATTTGTGTTTTGGAGAGAAAACGCTGGGAATTTTCAATATTTCAATATTCCCTTCCCTTTTTACTGTTGTACTCAATCTATATTCATTTGGGGAGCAGCTCATGAAGTTAAAGCAGAAGGGCCTTTCTGGTCGTTCCCGTTGTCCCCGTTTACTCTGAGACACCCCAGAGTACAGCACACAAAACAATGTTTTCCAGGTTCCACTTTCAAATCCCAGAAGCAGCAGAAAGAAACTCAGAGCAAACAGCCAACTAAGTCTTGGAAGAAATCTCAAAGTAAGGAACTCCCACGTCTGAATGTGGTAGCCAGAGGCCTCTTTGCAGAGGGGCCTAGAAGCCCCCCCCCCCCCAAGCTCCCAGGGGGGGGGCCCCCCTTCCCCCCATTTGACATCCTCAGGAGATCAGCCTTTGCCGGCTGAGAGTCACTCACACGGAGCCATGTTTCATGTCCAGCCTTGATGGGCTAAGAGAAGAGGAAGGCAAACGGCAGACAGGGAAGCCCTCTCTGTTCTTTGCCCTAAGACAGCAGTCAGGATGGGCTGCTGAGGAAGCCGCTTAGCACCGGTCAGAAGCTCAGGTTCCCCCGAAGGAGCGATGAATCTCCCTAACCTCCACTCGGAAGCCTCCGCCGGCTCGGATGGCCCTCTACCCACTTTCCCAAAAGGACCACTGGGTGGCCTGTAACTCCTGGCCCCAACCCGGTGCCTGCATCACCCCTGCAGACAGAATGACCACTTACTGTAGCTTCCCTGAGGGAGGTCAGGGTCACATCCCAGGATGAAGAAGAGGAATGGGCCGAGGCAGAAGTGCTGGGGACAGTTTGGGTCCCTTTTCTAAACGAGATGTTTCTTCCTTCCTGCCTGCCTGCCTGCCAGCCTCTACCAATCCGAAGGCAGCATTAAAATCCAAGATCGTGGCAGAGTTTCGGGTAAGTCCAGTAACGAAGAGATTTGCTCAGCTCAGTTTGAGGGTCCCTCAAGGTGGGAGGTTAGGAGGCCCTCGGGTTGCGGGCAGAGCGAAGCCCTTCCTTCTCCAGGAAAACCTCCCCTGTTGCTCGCAATCAAGCCAGGGCGTCAGTTCACCCCTTAGAGGAGGGGCTGAGCCCGCCCTGGGCTTGGTGGGACGGGCTGTCTAGGCTGGGCTCAACTGGGTCTCCGTTCCCCTCATGCAGCCGCAGTCGCTGGTGGATGAGCTCCTCTCCCACAAGCTCTCGGAAGACCAGATCGAGCTGAAGGAGAAGCAGCTGTCCACCATGAGGGTGGACGTTTGCAGCACCGAGACCCTGAAATGCTTAAAAGGTAGAGGTGGGAGGACTGGGCCAGACCCTCCAGCGTCATCTGGCGCCCAGAGGCCTGGGTTTTATTTCCTTCCCTGGGGCTTAATATCCGCAATTGGAACGTAGGTGCTGCCCTATTCTCTGGGTTGGCCCAAAACGCTCCTTTCTCGGCTTTCCAGACAAAACCGGAGGGAAGAAATTCTCCAAGGAGTTCGAGGAGGCCAGTGCCAAGCTGGAGGAGTTTGTCAATAGCCTGGACAAGCAGCTGAAGGACGGCCCTTCGCTGACGGAAGTGCTGGAGAACGCCGGCATCTTCTACGAAGCCCAGTACAAGGAGGTCAAGGTGGTGGCCAATGTGAGTCTGCAGGAACACACAAACACACCCACACCCACAGTGTGTCCAGGTGTCTCTCCCGCTGTGGCCCAGCCCTCGTGGGGAGGGGCCCATCGGGCTTCCTGCTCTTCTGTCAGGCTGGCAACGAAGGCCGAGCCGAATGGCCAGTCTTCCTCCGCAGCCGGAGCCGGTCTTTGGGCCACTGCAGGTGGACTTTGGAAGGGCACCAGAGACGGGGCCTCCCTCCCTTCCGGCTTCCTCCCCTGTGTGGCACTGAATTTGCTTCAGCCGTGGTGATGCCTTCTCCCTCCGTGTCTGCTTCTGACTCTCCTCTGCTTTCCCCCTTCAGGCTTACAAGACCTTTGCCAACCGAGTGAACAACCTCAAGAAGAAACTGGACCAGCTCAAGGCCACCCTTCCTGACCCAGAGGAGTCGCCCGTTCCCTCGCCCAGCATGGACGCCCCCTCCCCCACAGGCTCCGAGTCCCCCTTCCCGGGGATGGGGGAAGAAGACGCCGCCCCCCCCTCGCCCAAGGCCGCAGGGGCCAAATCTCCCTTGCCAGAGCTCGCCACAGACAATCGGGACGTGGAGGACATGGAGCTCTCCGACGTGGAAGAGGAGCCCCCCAAAATTATCGGTAGGGTCCTGGAGGGGAACCAGGTGGGAATGGTGCTGCTTCCCCTTGGCACCTGAGGGTCGGTTGAAAGGGTCGCGCACCAGGAGTGGCCCCCACTGAGGGTATGAGGTGGAGGTTTGACAAACAGGTGTAAACAGAGGGCAACCCATGCCCTCCCAGGCTTGGTCTTTCCAGCTGCAAAACATCTGTCTGCTTGTGTGTCCCAAAGGCCGCACGTGTGCTATGGGAGGGGGCCATTTTGTCCCTGGCAAGAAATCGCTTCATAGATTGGCTGCAGCTTTCTCCCACCTCAGACTCCGGTGGGGCCCTCTCCTTTTCGGTCCACAGTCTAAACTGGCTCAAAGCCCCACTACTTTTTTTTTGGGGGGGGGGGGGATGTTGATTTGCAGGCTGCCCATCAAGGCTTAAACGACATGCCTCTTTTGTCTTCTGAATTAGTGGAAGAGAGAAAAGAAAAGCCAGCAGCTTCTACCCCGGCCCCCGCCAAGATGCCCGAGAGCAACCCCAAGGCTTCACCACTGACGCCGGCCACCCCATCAGCCTCTGGAACACCCCCAGTGGCTGCACCCGTGATGGCGCCCACTCCCATCACTCCTCCGGCCCCCAAGCCGGCGAGCCAAACCCCTCTTCCTCCGTCACCTGCTCTTGCTTTGCCAAACCTGGCCAACGTGGACCTGGCCAAGATCAGCTCCATCCTCAGCAGCCTGACTTCCGTCATGAAGAACACAGGTGAGGGAGGCAGGGAGGCCAGCAGTGCCCAGGTAGTTGGCCGATGGAGACGGGCTGCTTGGGAGAGAGAGGGGCTGCCCACGAGGGGGGCTGCCTTCTTCCCACCAGACAGACTCAGGCAGGTTGGATTTCCAGGGAATTTACAGGTGGATTTGTTTTGCCAGGAAAGAAGGGTCACCTGTGAACAGGTGAAAGGGCAGAGTGGTTGGGGAGGGGAGGGGAGGGGAGGGGAGGGAAGAGCCGCGAAGGCACTCTTGGTCTGGGGTCAGATTTGCTGCCTTCCTGCCAACCTTCCCCCTTGATCTTCCTTGTGTTTCTGGGGGTCCCTGGGTAGAAACCCTTCAGCCGAGACCAGCTTCTGGCTCCAAAATGGCTCACCTCTGCCCCGGTCTCTCCCTCCCTCCCTCCAGGGGTCAGTCCTGCCTCGAGGCCTTCCCCCAGCACCCCAACGAGCCCCTCCTCTCTCATGGGCGGCTTGAAGACTCCAGTGACAGGACCTCTGGGGACGTCACCCAACCCCTTGGCCAGCATCCTCTCCAAAGTGGAGATCACCCCAGAGAGCATCCTGTCCGCACTCTCCAAGAGCCAGGCCCAGGCCGCTCCGGGCTTGCAAGGTAAACCATGCGGTCGCCCCACAAGAGCTGACTCGTTGAGCTGCCCCAGGTTCTAACTCCAGGGCGGGCTATCGAGTTTCTTCCCTCACTTTTGCTCTCTCTGTGCCTGATAAAAAAGGCCACGCTGGGCAACACCCCCACCCCCCACCCCCACCCCCTGGTCACATGATTGCATTTAGTTCTGGTTTTCAGCAAAGCTGGCCATCATAAACCATAAACCACAGCTCATTTTACGGCTGTGATGGGCAGACACCATTACGGTCATAAATTGAAGACTACCTGAAATGTCTGATTAACGAGCTTCTCTTCTGCCCCAGGTTTGTCCTCATTTCTTCAGAGCGTTGCTGGGAATTCGGGCCAGCCCAACGAGACGGGCCCCCAGAGCTCATCTCCGGCCCCAACAAACACCCCGACGGCTTCTGGGAAGGGAAAGAACGTCTTGTCCACCACGCAGCCCTTCATGCCGCAAAGCCTCAGCTATTCTCCGAATTCCTCCTCTTCAGCCGAGGTTTCCTCCACCTCGGTCAACAAGATGCCCGCTGCACACAGCCCCGGGCTCTCTGGGTCCGGCTTCAAGCCCCCCATCAATTCCCTGGGCTTTGCCAGCTCCCAGGCTCCCAGCCCATCCCTCCGGCCGGTTGAGACCCCAACCCCTCAGTCCTCAGAGATCTCGGAGACCAAGATGGAGCCAGAGCCCACGTCACCCAGTCTTGAGATGAAGATCCATAACTTCCTGAAGGGGAATCCGGGCTTCAGCGGCCTGAATCTGAACATCCCCATCCTGAGCAGCCTCGGCTCGTCCAACCTGCCGCCGGAGAGCCATTCCTCCTCCTCTCCAGATTTCAACCGGGGGCCCACCAGCACTTCGATGGACAGCATAGACGGCACTCCGGTGCGTGACGAACGGAGCGGGACGCCCACGCAGGATGAGATGATGGACAAGCCGTCCTCCAGCAACGTGGACACCATGTCCCTGCTCTCGAAGATCATCAGCCCCGGCTCTTCCACCCCAAGCAGCACCAGATCGCCCCTCCAGAGCCGGGACGACAGCTACCCACAGGAGTTGCCCAATTCCGCCTACAGGCCTTTCGGTCTGAGCCGGGATTCCCCTGCCGGGATGTACAAGCCGCCCCCGGACAGGATTGAGCTGCCATCCTCGCTGATGGACTCCCCCCAGGAGAAGTTCTACCCCGACACCTCCTTCCAGGAGGACGAAGATTACCGCGACTTTGATTACCCCGGTCCACCACCCTCCGCCCTGATGAACCTGGAGAAGCAGCCGGCCAAATCCATCCTGAAATCGGGTAAGCTCTCTGACCCCTCGGAATACCCAACGGTTATGTCGAGCTACCGGCCGAGGCCCTCAGGGTTCGGCCTGAAGGCGCCTTTTCCCCAGCCCGGCCGATCTCTCCATGACCAGAGCGACAGCTGCGACCCTCTGCCCTCTACGGGAATCTACGGAAGCTACGCCCTGCGGGGAAACGACTCCGGCTCGGACGCCTCCCCGACGCCCAGCAAGAACGACGCTTTCTTCCCACCAGATTCCAACCACAGTGGCTTGCCTAAATCTGCACAGCAGCACTCGGGGCTACTGCAGAAGCAGTACCCCGACTCCCCCCATGTGGCTCCCCAGAGGTCCCTTTTCTCACCTCAAAACACCCTCCTGAGCCCCACCGGCCGACTCCCGACCTCCAACGCGGAGAAGTCCGTCCTCTCCTCCATCTCGGCCACCTCGACCATGGAGTTCAAGAATATGCTGAAAAACGCCTCCCGGAAGCCTTCCGAGGAGGGCAAGCACTTCGGCCAGGGGCCCAAAGGGGGCGCCAGCGACGTTCCCGGCCTTTCTCCGGGAGGGGAGCCGCTGAAGCAGGCGGAGGAGCACTTCCGGATCGAAACCAGGGTGTCCTCCTCCTGCTTAGACCTGCCCGACAGCACGGAGGAGAAGGGGGCGCCCATCGAGACGCTGGGCTACCACAACATGACCAGCCGGGGGATGTCCGGGGAGCCCATCCAGACGGTGGAGTCCATCCGAGTCCTGGGGAAGGGCAGCCGAGGGCACGGGCGAGAGGCCCCCCGAACAGGCTGGTTTGAGATGAGCAGTGCGGGCAGCACGTTCGATCACGGCCCTTCGGGCACGACAGAGATGCCCCCCCTAGGGTCTGGAGGCGGCGGTGGGGCTGTGTCGAGCTTCCAGAGCCAGTACAAGGACCGGCTGGGCTCGTTTCAGGAGAGCGTCAGCAACTTCCGAGCCGGGGGCTTCGCTGCCCCCTTTGACCGCCACGTCCCACCGCCTCCCCTGGAGCACGGGGCTTCCTTCCCCAGAGACCAGCTGGGGCCACCCCCCGCGGGCCCTCAGGCCCTTCCGCCCAAGGACCTCAGCACCCTCTTCTCTAGAGATCACTCGGTGCCCCCGCCACGGATGCCGGCGGTGGATCGCACCAGCCCCTTCTCCAAGGAGGCCTCCTCCCCGCTGACGTTGTCTCACGGGGTGCCTCCTCCCCCGCCCCCACCTCTCGAACGTAGTGGGGTGCCGTTCCCCCCCCAGCCGCCCCCTCCTCTCCCAGTGGAACATGGCGGGGTCCCTCCGTTCTCCAGCCCTCCGCCCCCTCCTGGAGATCTCGGCCTCCCCTTCCCGGCTCCCCCCATGGCTTCCGAGCACGGGGGTCTCCACCAAGGAACGATGAAGGAGCATTTTAGCTTGCCGCCAGGAGCCCCCCGGGATCCAGGGGCCCAACCTCCGTGCGACCACAGCGGTCAGCCCCTCGGCCGGGCTCGAGAGGGCCTGGGCATAGCGGCCCTTGCCCGAGATGCCCTGGGTTCCGGCCTCTCCGTGGGCGCCTCAGTGTCCGCTCAGCGGAACGGCACAAACCGAGGTGGGCTGGGGCTCAGGAATCAGCGGCCGGATTTTAGACCCCGGGAATTCTTCTTAAACCGAGACCCCTTCAACAGCCTGAAAAGGCCCCGGCCCCCCTTCGCCCGGGCCCCTCCCTTCTTCGTACCAAAACGCCCCTTCTTCCCTCCCAGGTACTGAGCGGAGACGGGGTGTCCGAACTCTCTCGAGCAGTGCAAGAGGCACTTCCCTCCCCCTCTCACTCCGGCCCCCCGCCCAGACCGAAAGGGCCCCGCGGCTGGAGGGAGCTCCTCTGCTGCGACATATATATATATATATAGATACATATATATATATAGATATATATATTTTGTTCTGTTTGTTTCTTGACTTTCTTTTCCTCCGTGATTGGCCTCCGTAGAGGGAAAGGGAAGCTTACATTTTTGTTTTTTCTTCCTGCAAAAGTAATTTTAAAAGTTAATCTTAAAAGTGGTTGTTGACAATAAAAGCTTTCCGAAGTGACTAAATTAAATTAAAATGGGATTTCTTTTTAAGATCAGAGCTCCGGAAGGAAAGTGGGATTGAAGCAAGGGCCCCACTCTGTAACCGTTCAAGTATACAGTCCACAAGAAGGTGAACCCCCCCCCCATTCCATCACACCCCTGTTCTCATCCTGCCTCCGTTTCCCTCTTGTTGGTTCTGATGCTGCTTCTCTCTTCTGCCCCCTCGTCTTCGCTGGGTCCATCACAGTCTCTCTCTCTCTTGCTCTCTCTCTCGCTCTCTCTCGCTCTCTCTCGCTCTCCGGCTAATCTTTCTTTTCTTTTTGCAGTCTTGTAGGTTTTTGAGAGTTCTCAGGCCCGTCTCCAGTCGCTGAGGACCAGAATTCTCTGATGGACTCAATTGCTTTTGCCTGGTCTGGAGACAGGAGACCGGAAGATGGGCAGTAGCCAGGCCCTCCTCTGCCTTTTCTTGGGGTGAGGGGGCTTGTCGCTCGCTTGTGGGAGCAGAACGGGGGAGAGAGGGCAGGGCAGGGCAGGTCCTATGGGGCAAAGCCACCTTCTCCCCCTTGCCCAAACTAGGTTTTGCTTGGTTGGAGGCCTCTGTTCCTCTTCCTTCCCCAAAGAAACCTTAGGAGTGGGCTGGCTTCAGTCAGGAGGTCGAAGCTGCTGATTGGGAATGAAACTCGATCCCCAAGGAATCCCTCTCCCTCTTTACACCCCCCTGGGACCAAGAAGCATCTCCTCTGGAACTGTCGGGTGCAGGTAGCGAGTCTTCTTCGGAAGGAAGGGTGCGTGGGTGGAAGCCACCGTTCCCCTCAGAGGCCTGCGGATAAGGGGGCCCACCGAAGGAAGTTCTCCTTTGTGTTTTAAAAGAGCTTTTCTTCTCCCCCTTGGATTTTCTCCTTCCTTCCTTTCTTCCTTTCTTTATGGAAAAAAATCCCCAAACCTCCAACTCTCTTAATAGTGTAGTTTTCCCCCTGCCCTTTAATCAACAGGAATCCGGTATTTAGAAAATGATAGTTCAGTTGTGCCATTGCACGTGTATTTCAGCACTGGTGTTTACAATAAGATGTACAGTTTTGATACACTGAGTGAATTTCAGAATTCCTGAATTTATTTAGACACAACCCCCCCCCCCCACCACCACCACCCTTTTCTTTTTCCTGTTGTAAACCTGGGCAATTCTTACATTGACTTTTTTTTAAAAAAAAGCAATTTTCTCTTTGTTTCTCCTTGTATGAAGTCAGCTTCCCGTAGCCCATATTTTGCAGTTGGTTTTTTTCTAAGTCAAGCACATCTGGAAGAATTGAACCCATTAAGAGTCCGGTTTCCCATAGCGGTAGGGGACTGTTATTTATATGTAAATTGTTTTGAGGTTCGTAGTAGGAAACAGCTTGATTTTTCAGTTCTGTCCTAAGCTAATTCTACCTGTCTGTTGAACGAGTGCTTAATATCCACCCCTTCCCCACATACATGGTCTGGAGGTCCTGGGAAGGGGGGGGGCTCTGATAACTGGCTTTAGTTTATGTTTTTTTCCCCTTAGTTTGGGCCTGATGCTTTCCTGGAAAAAAAAACCCCGTTTTTCTCACTGAGCTCCAAAAATTCAGCAACGTGGCTGATCTGTACAGCTCTGCTCTACTGCATGACTGCGGCACTCCTGATACAGGCTTCAGCTTTAGTTGTGGGGGCTTTTGGGGAGCTGGGAGAGAAGCCCACATATGCTCTATGTAAACTCATTGAGGCTAAGAGTTTCCCTGCCCTAAATAGGTTGGCATCTCAGCTTTCGGATGCAAATGGCTTGATGCCAGATGAGCAAAAGCACTTGCTGTCCTCGGGGTGCCCCTTATTTCGGACCCCCTTTCTCCTGGCAGTTTTGTGGATCTTTGGGGCATGGTGGGCTCTTGTGACTTGGACTGGGTTAGTCCAAAGGGCTCCTGGTTCTTAAAATTGCCACCCAAAAATAGAGAAGCTTTTGGGCAATTGGCAGGGATAGAATGGAAAAAGTTGATAGCTGGTGAAAAAGACAAAATACTTTAATGGTAAAACTGTGTCGTCTTCTCCCCCTCCCCCCCTCCTTTGTCACTTTCTTTTGTCCCTGGGTTTCGTGCTTTCACTTTTAAATCGTTCACAGTTAACGGACGGGCAGCAAACGCCTGTAGTGTAGCAAGACAAACCAAGTTTCTTTGGAAGGAGGGGGCGCTTCCTGGTCTGGCTCGTTTTGCCTTTGCTTCGCTTTTCTTTTTGTATTTCACTTGAGGGGGGCCGGAGGGGGGAGCTGGAGGACAACAAAAATGAAAATTTGCAGCATTTCCCTGTTTTCACAGAGAACCGCCAGCGTCTCTGGGAAGGAGCCGAGAGGCAGGGGATTGGGCCCATCAGAGACGGGAGCTTTCAAGGGCGGTTTTATGGAGCCCCCTTCCACCCAAGTAGGTCTCTTTGGAGATCACTTTGGGGGGAGGCTTGGATATCAGCAGAGCAGAGAGGGATGCCTGCAGGGCAATCTTTAAAGCGCGGGGGGGGTGGGGGTTCAGAGAACAAGCAAGCCCAGCCTTTGCTGCCCTTTGGAAAACACTGTAAATAACCATTGCTGTGCTTTTTATTTTTGTGCCTGTTTAAAGCGCTGGGTATTGTGTTGGCTTGACTTACTTTCCAGTGTTTTCTTGTGTGTGTGTGGGGGGGGGTGGTGGTAGAAAACAGGGAGGGAGACTCCAGAAACTTTGTGGGAAACAGCAGTCTCTGCATTGTACATGAATACATTTAATAAAATGACTAGTTTGAAGGTTTTGATATTCTTCTTGTAAATAAGGTCTCCAGTAGGTACGCAAGGCTACCCCTGTGGCCGGAGAGCAGAGCCTGCCTTCCCTCCCTCGCTTTGCAGAGTAGAATTCAAGCCGGAAGTTCCCTCGCCCGCCGGAGAAGACCTGCAAAGGCATGAAGTGGCAGTGAGGGGGGGGGAGCAGAGAGCCGGCACAGAAGGAAGACACGCGGGCAGCCCACCAGCACAAGATCCACAGATCCACGTTTCCCGGGGAGTTTAGACTGTTCTGATTTGTGCATATTGTCTATAGTTTGGGAAAGGGCTTAGAAAGGGTGTCGTTTACAAAGTGAAGCGAGGCACCTTGGAGGAAACTCGATCGCCTTCCTTCCCTTATTTTTGTACTGTATACTAATAAAGTGTTCTTGACCTGGTGTGGCCTCCGTTCATAGAGCCCGAGGGACAGCAGTCCTTTCGCCCTTGACTGCCGACGTTGGTTCTGAGGCTGTCCAGGGATTGATCCTACGCGTGCAGGTCAATGGCGGCTGCGCTTTGTGGTTGGATGTTGCAATAACTTGAATCATTTTCTTCCCCAGCCTCTTAAGGATTCTGAATGTATGTCCAAAATGCAGGCCAGCTCGCTTGCCTCTCGGTCTCACCTTCCTTAGCCTTTTTCTGTTTCTACTATGTTGCTGTTATTTATTAATTTTTATATATTTATTAAAAGCTGTCACTTTATTCTTAAAAACAAAACTATGATGGGGTAGAAGGGACCCATTGCTTGGGTCTTGGGTGGAGGGAAAGCAAAGCCCAGCCAAAAAAAACCCCCTTAAGACGGTTATAACACATTGAGTGAGTGAGGAGAAATGTGGGTTGCAAGCTGCTACCACGTTCATCATCTCCCCAGCGCCAAGAAGGGGGTGGGGGTGGGGCGTGGGAGGTGTTGGGTACGCAGGGTTGCAGTTGTGTGTTCTGGCTTGTTCTGGTTTGTATATTTGGGCCTTCATGGAGGGGTCGGTCTGGTGCCAACTGCATCCCTTTTAATGGAAACCTGAATTTCAGACAGGAAAATAGGCACTTGATTTAAAATAATTGGGGCTGTGGCAGGAAGGTGAATCACTTACCTGAATCTGGATTTGCAATACAACAGCCCCGTGTTCCCAGTCCAAGGCCGAAAAATAGCTTCGAGATAGTGTGATGTGAGTTTTCACTAGCCCTTTTGTGTGTCGAGAGCTGTTTTCGAGATATGCTCTGAGGCTGCAGATTCAATCAAAACATGTTATGCAGACATGTAACATGCAAACATGTAGCCCTGCACTCTTGGTTGTCATTCTTGGATGGCTTTGGGGGATCCCAGAATTCCTTTTAGGAGGATGGGAGCGCTGGGTTCCTTTCCCATGCTCCCCTGCCCCCCTCATTCCAGTTGTACCTGCTGAGCGAGAGATGGTACCTGGAATGTGGAAGCCACCCATAGATTTCTCCCACTCCTCATTTTAGTTCAATATTTATGCTCCAGTTGCTTGCAGAACACACTCAGAAAAGTGCAAACCCTTTGAGGACAGGTGAGGAAGCAGCAGAGGGTCTCCACTGCATTTCCTCAAGTCGGTGCTCTTTCTGCAGCCGAGGTGTTCCCACGGACCCAGTTCATTTGGGATCGGCCGCCACCCTTGGGCTGCTGCTAATACGGAAAGGCACTTGGCCAGCTTTGCCAGGGGGAGTTAGGTGCTTGCAAAAGAGAGAGAGAGAATCACGTTCCTAGCAGCCTTGGATGGCAGAACCAAGTGGCGAAAGAGCCATCAAAGGTCTTTAATTTTGGGCACGGAATTGACTTAAGAATGGAAAATGGGTCCCAGGACTGTTGATCCGTATAGGATGCAACCAGGATGTCTGTGGAGATTCTCTATCCTCCAGGTCATGGTTGTCCCAAAGGTGCTTTCCCAAAGGCAACTGGACTTGGTTTCCTTCCCTGAAAACATTCCGCTTCTCATCCAAGTAGCTTCTTCAGTTCTTCACTGAAGAATTGAACTTGACTGAAGAAGCTTCTTGGATGAGAAGCGGAACGTTTTCAGGGAAAGAAACCAAGGAAGTCCAGTTGCCTTTGGGAAAGGATCCAGGATCTTAGGGGAGGCTTGCTTCGTTGCTTGGCCTCTATTTTCCACCTCAGAGTGAGCAAAGCCAGGAGGCTGATGGCTGTTAATGCTTTTGGCCATGACCTCCTCAGCTTCCTTGAAGACGGGCTCTAGAAAGCGGCCAGGACAAAGGGCCATCTTTGTAAACTGGCTGAGCACACTTAACTTCGAACCCTTGTATTTAAGCTCTGTTGCTGGTTCTGCTTCCATTTGGATTGGTCAAAGACAGGTTCCCTGGGGGAGCTCAAAATAATTCTGCTGTTTCCAGAGAGTTGCTATAAGTCCAGTGAGCAAAGCAAATGGGTCTTGTGTCGATGCCATTAGCTGACCCGGGTTAGTTTTAAGGGGCTGGATGCTTTTCTGGCTTAATGTTTAGTGGGAACGCAGCCTGGGTTCACATTAGCTGAAGGGGGAACCTATTATGTGAAGCCAGGGGCTACAGTACAGGAGGAAATGATGTGGAATTGTTGCCAAAGGCCATTAAAGCTACAATTTTGAGCACAATTGCTTGGTAGTATTTTCTACTGATCTGCAAAGGTAACAAAATGTGTGAATGAAAACCTTGGGACTTGGAGGAGAACCAAGGAAAAAGCCCTCTGGAAGTTGGGAGAAATCCCAGGGCAATGTTAGGCTTGCTTGGAGGAACCAGGCTGTGCGGCACATAGACTGGAATTAGGCGTGAATGCACGCCAAAGCCCTTGACTGCCCTGTCTCCCCTCTGCAAATTTGGGGACTTGTGGGTGAGAAGAAGCTAAGGGCTCCTTTTTAGAGATTGATTACAAATGGGATTCAAGGCAAGGATTGTAAGTGGGGCCAGTCGTTGAGTGGCTTCCTTTTGTCTATGTTGCCAGGGGGTTGGGTGGGAAGGGGGTACAGAAGTGACGCCTTGTGGCAGTGCCTTGAGATGCCGAGTCGGGATTTGTGTTGGAGGCACTTTGGGAATTGCTTGGCCGTGACTTGGCCCACAGAGTTTTCGTGATTGCTGCCAATCCAGGGTATGTGCACATATCACCCAGGGCTGCAATGTAATTAGCTTGATTTTGTGTAATCCCTGGTTCAAATATGTGGTGATGTGTGAATGGGAAGACCTAGCAGCCTCCACATTTACCTTGGCTCACCTTTTTTCTCTTCGACTATCTCCTTTGATTGTGTGAATGGATTCGTAATGCCAACAGGATCTCTGCTTCATGTCAAGGCTGTCGTTCTTGGGTCTGCTTGTGCAACTTAGTTCTGCGGGGTTTTTTTCTAGTTAATCAACTTGTCTCCCTACCTCATATTAAAAGCATCTGATTATTATTTTGTTTTTTATGTCCATTTGCGCTTACCAGTTTACAGTGAATCAGGGAAGGAAGGTACCGTTTTCATGGTTTCTAGTTGTGTCTTTCTCTGGAGGCCCATTGAAGGAACTCTATGCCTTGTGATAGACTGGGAGTAAACTGGCGGCTCATTGGATGGACTGATTCATTTCACTGATTCTTTTATCTCTTATTTATCTCTTTATTTTGAAATGGTTCGGGCATCTAAGGCCTGGGTCCCAAGGATACAATTGTAATGCCCCATTCTGCGGGGAAAGCCCTGTTGAGCAAAGATCTGTTCCCAGGCAGACGTGGGATCAGGTGGGCAGTGGCCTTGTCTGGCATTTGGGGATCTCTAGAAGAAGCCTGACAGGCAGGCGGCTCTTTTTTTGCACAGGCTTTAAGATAATAGAGGAGAAAGCAGGACAATAAGAAGCCAGCATTGATAGGAACTCAGGGCTGAAAGCTGACGATTGCATCTGGTGGAGGTCAGGAGAGGGAGGGGTGCTGCGCCTTGACTTTAATTCCCCCCCCCTTTCTCAAAAGGGACGAGTCCAAGGGGGCGCAGGTTTCAATCTGCCTTCTGCAGCAGTTGGCAAGATCCCAATGGAAGACACTTTAGCGTAAATAAGTTAAAGCGCATTTGGGGCGGCGTTGAGGGAGTCATAAATTGCCTTAAAATATCTTTGTGGGGGTTTTTTGGGGGGGGGGCGAGAGTGAGTAGTCGCCATCGTTCCAAATGAAGCCGGAACGTTCGTTTCTTCGGGTTTTTGTTGCAGCAGGGGAAAGAAAATAACGGCGTCCCTCCTTCCGGTGCTGGCGTGCGTGCGAGCCCATTGGCCGGCCGCACAGCCAATCCGGGGTCGTCTTCCTCTTTGCTCAGGCTGGGCCACGCCCACCCGCTGCCTGGTTTCGCGTGTCCGGGTCGCCCAGGGAAGGACGCGCGAGGGTTGTTTTTTTTTGCACGTGGGAACGCGGGGCTGGGACACGGGTTCCCCGAGAGATGCGGCTCCTTCGCGTCTGGAAGAAGATCTGGGCGAGGAGGGGCGGCCCCCGCCGGGAATACACGGTCTGCTTCCTTTCTCGGGGGTCGCCTTTGGTCCCTGCCTGTATTTCTGGGCGGCTCTTTTGCCTTTCGGGGGTTTCAAGGGCGTCTCTCGGGTCGCTGCTTAGTTTGCTCCCCCCCCACCTGCTTTTTTTCAGGAGGTGACAGGCAGGCATTCAACCGGGAAGGCTGGACCTGCAGGCTGCCTGGGTTTGGAAGGGCTGCTTTTCGCTTGTGCGTGCAGGCAGGTTCAGGACAGCCCAATCAGGCAGATTTTCGGAGAGACGGTTGGCGGTTTCACGTCTTATCCCAATTCTGTGCCTGATCCGCCTCTTGGTCTTATGAGCCTCCCTGTGTCTTTGTGCCTTTCCCGCACAAGAGTCTCACTCTCGCTCTTCTCCCTTTCCCTCCTTAGGCAGCATCTCTTCCCTCCCAAGTTGCAGAGCGCCTGGCACTTTACCAGAGGCTGAAGGCTGCTGCAGACGAGCGCCAAGCGGAGCAAACCCTCCGGGAGAAGCGTCCAATCTTGGTCTCCTTGCCAGATGGTCGAAGCATCGAGTGCGAATCCTGGACTATCACCCCTTATCAGCTGGCCTTGCAGATCAGGTGACTCTTAAGCACCCAAGCAGCTCTTTGCAAAGATCCCAAGATACTTTTTTCTCATGGAGTGGCATTTATTTATTCCAGGCAAATGTGTTTTTTTTTTCCAAAAACCATTCATTGATCAAAACGAATCTAAACTCTCCTTTGTCCCCCAGTCAGAATCTGGCCAAGACGGTGGTGACGGCACGAGTGAACGGAAGCCTTTATGACTTGGATCGTCCTCTGGAGGGTGATGCCACTGTGGAATTCCTGGGGTTTGATTCTCAGGCCGGACAAGAGGTGAGAGGCAAGGAAGGAGCGCATTTGTTTGGGAGAGAGAAAAACGGGTGGTTGCACACTCAGCCTTCGGTTGGCAGCGCTTCAGTCTGTCAAGGGCACCTTTTCCCCTTAAGAAAAGTGGGGTCCTTGTCTAGCTGAGCGCAGAAGGACCACTTCCAAGGAAGGGGCAAGGTGTCTCTGTTGGATGGATCTTTTGTCCTGATGTCGTTCCATGCATCTCCCTTGGCAAGGAATAACTCAGCAGGCCAACTCTGCTCAGTGCCCCCAGGAAGGCCGGTGCCCAACCGTCTCCCTGAATTTCTCCCCAGCTGTTCTGGCATTCCAGCGCCCACCTCCTGGGCGAGGCTGCTGAGCGCTTCTATGGTGCCCTGTTGTGCCACGGGCCCAGCACCGACCAGGGCTTCTTCTACGACCTGTATTTGGACGAGGAACGGTAGGTGGGAACCTGGGGAGAGGGTGTTTGGCAGGACATTAATGGCCCCGAGAGGAGGTGGGGGCGCTTTGCTTGCCCGCCTTCATTCGAGGAGATGTTTTTGCTATGTTTTCTGCACTGAGTAGGGGTTGGTCTGGATGACCTCGGGGGTTGCAAGATTCTGTAAATAAAAAGAATGGACAGGGTGTAATCCCTGCTCCTTTGCACAACCTTTGCATATCTTCAGGATGAACAGGCATGACAAAGAGGGTTTCCTGCCCTGTCACTGGGCCCATTCGAAGGGAGGGCAGCCCCTCTGGGGCCCTTCACATCAATGAAGGAGCCTGTCATGCTTCTAAAGCCCACTAGGTGTCCTCGCAGGCTGTGCTGTGAGGTGGTTGTGATCTGTCACTTGATTGGGTGGAAGGGCCCAGCAGGTGGCAGCATTGGCTGAGCCGACTTGGATGGGAGACCACCAGGAGATCCCCAAGTGATAGACCAGCTTAAAAAGCCACACAAAGACTCTGGCAAAGAGGAGGAAGAACTCTTCCCTTGGTGGTTCATTTTCCCCCAATGCCCCGTTTTATTACAATCCGCTTCCCCTCCCCCGCATCCCTGAATCTTCCCATCCCAGGAAGGTGTCTAGTAAAGACCTCCCCACCCTGGAAGAGCTCTGCAAAGTGACCGTCGCAGCCAAGGTCCCTTTTGAACGGCTGGAGGTTTCCCGAGAGGATCTGCTGGAGCTCTTCAAGGTAGGATCCCTTGATGGGATTTGTAGTCCATCCTCCTCAGAGGCTCCAGGTGGGGGAAAGAAAGGCAGCCTTGGGTGCCCTTTAGACGGACATTGGCAGAGTTGTTTTTTTAAGATCCAACATGGAGGTTCTGGGCCCAACTGCCAGGAGAGGCAATTCTGCCCATTTGGGGGGGCTCCAGAATGTGGCCTTCCTGCCCTCCCCCCTTGGAGCTCTTCTCTGCTTTAACGGACAGACTTCAAAGCCTTTGACAGTGCCACCGCCAGCAGCCGTTGCTTCCCGCTGGCATTTCCCTGCCCCAATTTCTAATCCCGTAAATTCACCCGTCTGGGGAGAGGAACAGGTTGCTCAAGGCTTTGATGGCTGACACATTTTTTTTTTTTTTTGAAACGGGAACACAGACGCTCGGGCCGCCACAGGATGTGAGGAGGCCTTGAGGTCTGGAAGAGCAGCTTCCTGAAAGCATATCTTAGTCACGGTGTCCCAAGTAGAGCCTCTGTGGTCAGGAGCAGTTTACCTCAAGTGCCAGTTGCCGCAGAGCTGGCTGGCTGTTTGGGGAAACAGGAAGTCGAGCGAAAAAGGCCGATCATCTGAACAAGCAGGATTGTTTACCACCCAAACAACTTGGCTGCTGCCAAGGGTTACCCACAGATGAGCCAGCATTTTTCAGGGGCCGATTCAGAAAATGGCTTTGCAGTTTTTATTTACTTGTTTTTTTACTAATCATCCTTGGCGCCTCCATCCAAAACTTGTGTTTGTGATGACCCGCAGTAATAAAAATAGCTTCCGAATTATCTCAGAGAGAGGAGGTAGACCTGTAATTAAAGCACAATCAAAAACAACACAGCAGTTAATTATAACCTACTTTGGCAGCCGAAATGACCTAATTTTAAAAGTTTGTGTGATTCCTGATATCTTTTCCTGCACGAGAGCAATCAAGAAGGATCACGCCTCGCCTCTAGTAGCAGGGAGTTCCAAAGCCCCTGGAAACCTTTTGCGAGAGTTTTAAGTGGAGGGAGGTGCCTGATTTATTTCAATGTCTCTGGATTTCCCAGAGTGAGGGTTCCTTAAAAAAGCAGCAGGGTCCACAGCGTTTTTAGGCTGTTTTGATTATTTTTAGACAACTTAGAAGCCAGCTTTGCTCCAGAATGAGACAAAATTCTTCAAAATTGGAGAAGGTTTTGACTCCAGCCGTGAGTCAAACCTTTGGCTTCAAGCAGCTCACCCATCCTGGTGGGGAGTGGGACCTGCTGCTTGGTTTTCAGCTCCGAGGAGAGACGAGGTGCAAGGAAAAAGGCTGGAGGAGGAATGGGCTGGGCAGCTGGGCATGGGATGGCAAAGGGAGAAGAGGACATGGGTGCAGGTGAGCTGTCCTCCCCTCTGGCTCTGCCGCCTTTGAGGCGGTGGGGAGGATTTCTGTTCGGCCCTTAATAAAATGAATTAATGGGGAGGGGGTGTAAACGTTCTCCCCAAACTTCTGGGTCCTTCGGCAGCCCAGATGGGAATCGATTTCTCTTCCTGACTTTCAGCACAACCGATTCAAACTGGATATCATCGGACGGCGCGTGAAGTCTCGGACTGCCACCGTCTACAGGTGAGCCAGGCCCTGCCTGACCTGCAGCAGGTGGGGAGGGGATGGGGATGGCTGCCCAGCGGCCCCCTCCCCAGATCTACAGCCCCAGAGGGTTTCCCCTATTCGGCCCATGTTTGGCTTCCTTTCTGGATTGGCTCACTTGCTGGAGTTACCTAAAGACCAGCCCACGCTGCAACCTTGCTCTGGATATCTAGAAACACCCTTTAGCAAATTCTGCCAGGGAGTCACATGCTCATGAGGGCTAGAAACCTGAGCAGTGTTCAGATGACTTAATTTACAAAGACAGCTGTAATTCTCGTGAATTTTGCAGTGGTTGCATTTATTGCAACAGACCCTCAAGGAACTCAGCCAGCCTGCTTTCCGCATGGCCTCATTCTGCTTCCTCTTTTCTGTGCCTAGATGTGGGACGTTAGTCGATCTCTGCCAGGGGCCCCACCTGCGGCACAGCGGGGAGATCCGAGCCCTGAAACTCCTCAAGGTTTGTGCCCCCACCCCCTCCGAGACGAAAGCATCGAGTGGTTTTCCATCACATGCTGGGCAGATGGTTAAAATGTTCCAGGCCTTTCTGGATTGCAAAGAGAATTTAGTTTAAAAGTCTAAAATAAAAGGCGGGCCTATGCTTTATTGTAAACAGCCCATAGACCTTCAGCTGTCAGACAATTTTAAATGCTTAATAAATAGGAATACATTTACTTGCACACTCCAGGGGTCTCCGCACTTGTTCAGTTTAAGATTTGTGGACTTCACCTCCCAGAATCCCTCAACCAGTCATACATGGCTGCCTGGGGAATTCTGGGAGTTGAAGTCCGCCAGTCTTACAACGGTCAAGTTTGGAGACCTCTGGTTTACTCAAGAGCAACCCCTGGGGTTTGTAAAGAGCCCGGACTTTCCCTCTTGCTCTCTGCAAACTGCGTAGCCTCTTGTCTTGAGTGGCTTTCCCTATCCTGAAGCAGAACGATGGGAATTGTAGTCTCTCCAATTGAGGCTGGACCTTTCCCCATCCTCCCTGGAGAATGGGGGACTCGGGGGTCCATGCCATGTGGGTAAATCTGGGGCTCGCTGTGCAGCCGATGAAGCCAAGGGGGCAGGCAGGCCCCTAGCCGAGTTGGCACAGGCCCCAGGAGCGCCCCCAAAGGTGCCACCCATCCTCCTCTTCCTTTGCAGAACTCTGCCTCCTCCTGGCAAGGAGACCCCTCCGGAGAGTCCCTGCAACGCATTTATGGCATCGCCTTCCCCAGCGCCCAGCAGTTGGCCGCCTGGGAGCGTGCCCAGGAAGAGGCTGCCCAGCGGGACCACCGGCGCATCGGAAAGGTGGGTGCCCGTGATACAGGCCTCGACTCTCTTGCTCTCTCGCCCTGTGCCCAAGACGACCTCCCTGGGCCAGGGAGAAACTTTAGTATTCTTGGGCCATCCAGGGGGGGGGGGGGTTTGCCCAGGATCACAATTTCCACGCAGCTGAAATGTTGAGAATGGCTCTTCCGACCTCCTTCTGGACTAGGAACTTGGGATGGCCTCTTCAGATGAAAAGGGAGGTTTTTTTAGTAACTTTCTTTCCCAAAGCAAGTGGTTTTTCCCCACCTGGGTGCGTGTGGATTGAATTTAGGGTGAAATGGAGAGGAGGGGGCCTGTCCTGGCCTGCTCTCTCAGAGGGGAATTTTGGAAGTTAGACCCACCCAGGCCAGCTTCTCCGTCTTTCTGGTTTCCTGGCAGGACCAGGAACTTTTCTTCTTTCATCCGTTGAGCCCCGGGAGCTGCTTCTTCCTTCCCAAAGGGACCCACATCTACACAACCCTCATGGACTTCATCAAGGTGTGTGTGTGTGTATCTGTGTCGTGTTGTGTGGGGCAGAATACAGCACAATCCCCCTAGGTGGGTAATGAAATAACGCCCAGCCTGGTAGAGGGAAAACGTAGGTTGTTTGGCTGGGGCCTCCTCTCCTCTTCCCCCTTGTGTAGAAACAGGAAATGTGGCTCTTCTTGTCTGATTGGATGGAGAAGGCAGAGGAGCCGGATTAATGGATCGATCGATCGATCGATCGATCGATTATTGGTTTCTTTATTAAGTTTCTATGCCTGCCATCTCTGGCAAGGTGACTCTTGGGGGGGGGGCTACAAATTGCAGAAACCAGTGAAAAACAGTAAAATGATTCAAAGGAACCGACATTGAAATATTATTAAAATATTCCACGCCTACAAGAGCCAAGAGGGTCGATGGATGGATGGGCTTTGAAAGGTGCAGGCTGGGCTTCCGTGGAAGGAAGGGCCCCTCCCGGATCCTTCCCCATCCGGGTAATTTGGGGGGGGGTGTTAAGCTTTGGGGAGGGTGTTTCTCCAGGACAGGCGAAGCGGAGACGTGGGAAGCTTCTTGGGGGCTGTTTTTGCAAGATTATTTCCCCGTGTCTGGGAAGATGGTGCGAAGGCCTCGGTTTGGAACTGGGCAGGTTTTCAAATCAATGTTGCAGGAGGCGAAAACGTGCTGGGTCAGGCAGGTGTTGGTAGAAGTGGAGCTGTCTTTATTCACACCCGCAGGTGGCATCGCTCAAACAGGCCCATTTGTTTGCAGAGCGAGTACCTTAAGCGCGGCTTCTCCGAAGTCATCACCCCCAACGTTTTCAACGCCAAACTCTGGGAAATGTCCGGTCACTGGGAACATTACGGCGAGAACATGTTCACCTTCCCTGTGGAAGACCAGACCTTTGCCCTCAAGCCCATGAATTGTCCCGGCCACTGGTGAGGGGGGGGGTTTCTGGTGGTGGAGGAGGGGTGAGATTTAAGATCCAGACGCAAATCCAGTTCCCTGGGAGGACCCCCGGAGATCCCACCCGCTTCTGGAATCGGGGAACGATAAGAGGGTTCCTTCTGGGAGCTGAGATCTCACCTCGTATTTGACAGCCTCATGTTCAGCCACCGGCCCCGATCCTGGCGGGAGCTGCCCCTGCGGCTGGCCGACTTCGGGGTGCTCCATCGCAACGAGTCCTCGGGGGCTCTGACGGGGCTGACTCGGGTCCGGCGCTTCCAGCAGGATGATGCCCACATCTTCTGCTCCATGGACCAGGTGGGGAGGCTGGCCGGGAGATGCCAGCATGGCTGAACCCGAGAGCTTCATCTTGCGGTGCTGAGCAACGCAGGGCTGACACGCCTGGTGCCCGCTTGGGAGGGGGCTACCAGGGCAAGCAGCTGAGGATCCCCTCCCCCTCCTCTTCCCAATTCAGCTGGAGGGCGAGATCAGAGGCTGCCTCGATTTCCTGCAGGCCGTTTACTCCGTCTTCGGATTCACGTTCCGCTTCTTCCTCTCCACCCGCCCCCAACACTTTCTCGGGGACCCCCCTCTCTGGGATCAGGCCGAGCAGGTAAGAATGGCAGCGGCAGCGTCACCCTCCGCCACTGGCAGGCAGTCCTCCCGTTGAGGGTGAGGGTGAGCCCCCCTCCAGACCAGCTGCTGGGGTAGGGAGCCAGGTGGGCTTGGAGCGCCTCCGCCTCCCCGTCCTGCCACAGCCGTGAAGGGGCCCTCCCTGCGGCTGGCACAGCCACTCTGCAGGCAGCTCTGTTGTCTTTTAAGGTGGGTCCTTTTGCTGGGTGAGACTTGGGGAGGTTCTCGGCTTCCCCACTGACCCGTGCCAGAGACGGGCCTTTCATGCGGGAGCCGCCCTTGGCAGCAGCCGTGACGGGATCAGGACAGCCTCCTAACAGCTCCCCCTTTTCCCTCCCAGCTGTTGGAAAAGAGCCTCCGGGAGTTTGGCCAACCGTGGGAACTCAACCCCGGGGACGGCGCCTTCTATGGGCCCAAGGTCAGTCGGGGCTGGTCGGGCAGCAGCCCTGCGGGAAGGGCTTAGACAGAATCAGAAAATGGAGGGGTTCCTAAGAGGTCATTTAGCCCAGCCCCTGGCGGAGGTGAGATCTTTGACCGGTGGCTTTCAGACACGGAGTGAGGGCTGCCCCCGCCCTCCCAGAGAAGGGCTGAAGAAAGGGCAGGCAAAACGGCCCCACAGCTTTGGGGGGTAACGAATGGGAGATCGCCGTTGCCTTTTTGGCTGCTGCCTCACCCGGCTGGCTGCCTGGCCCTCCTTTCGCACTCCGAGATCCTTCTGAAGCCGCTTCAGGCATGAATCACAGCCTGGGGACGTCACCGCTGAACTGTTTATGTTTTGGGCGTGGTGCCCCAGGCCTGCTCTGCCCACCCCCGCCTGGGTTTATGGGGTGACTCTGAGTGATCTCAGGCTCGTAAATCTGAGCGTTGACTTTGCCAGCCGGAAGGGCAGCGAGGGGCCAAAGGGGAGGCTGCCTTTGCCTCTGACCTCTGACCCGTCCACCTTCCTCCGCTCCTGACCTCAGCATTCCTGTCTGCTGAATGGGTCTCCTCCAGGCCAGGAATCCAGTCGTCCTCCTCCCCGGGGCTGCCGGCCCCTTGATGCCCACCCAGGGGTGAAGTCCAGCAGGTTCTGACAGGTTCTGGAGAACCGGTAGCGGAAATTTTGAGTAGTTCAGAGAACCGGCAAATACCACCTCTGGCTGGCCCCCGAGTGGGGTGGGAATGGGGATTTTGCACTATCCTTCCCCTGCCACGCCCACCAAGCCATGCCACGCCCACAGAACCGGTAGTAAAAAAGTGTGGATTTCACCAGTGCCAACCCCACGCATGGCACATGGCGGTCATAACCTCTTGCCACAGAAGTGGGTGGCTATGGAGCCGTAGCCTGCATGGAAGCAAGTGGGCAGTGGCCAAGTTTCTAGTTCTCATGATTTGCAGTTTTAGAGCTCCCCCTCCTTCGAACTGCATGGCCTCCACACAAAAGGCTTTTGTGCCAAGTCAATTCCCTGCCTGGGAGGCAGCAGCTCAGGAGCAGCTGCGTCTTTTGAGTTTAAAAAACGGAGCCACTTGAGTAGCTGCGAGTGGCACAGCTGGATTTCCGAGCCGTGCAGGTGCTTAGATCCTCCAGGGCGGCTCTGATTCTCCACCCAGTTCCACGTTTATTGTTTCAGTAGCCGTGAGAGAAAACGTCTCTTCAGGGCTGGGCTGATGCCCGAATGCCCCCTCCCGTCTCATCCGGTTTAGCAGCAGCAGCAGAAACAGAAGGGCCCAATCCTCAGGGGGGGAAAGCTTTCCGTGGATTTTCTCCACCTCGAGATTCTTCGCTTTTGGGCTGGTTGCAGTCCAACCGGTGAAGCTTCTTTGAGGACGGTGGGCTTCCTCGGGGGGCTCAGGCTGATGCTTCGTCTGCAGGTGGACATTCAGATCCAGGACGCTCTGGGCCGATACCACCAGTGTGCCACCATTCAGCTGGACTTCCAGATGCCGCTTCGCTTTGACCTCTCCTACCAGGGGTGAGGGCCCCTCCCTCCCTCCCTCTGTCCTTTGCAAGGCCCACCCTGGGAAAACTTGGGGAATTCCTTCCTTCCTCCCCACCCCCACTCCTAGGCTGGAAAGGGGCTCTCGATCACTCGGCAGAAGGTTTGGGGGGCCCTCCTGGCCCTGAGGCTCTCCTCTCTCCCCCTTCCTTCATCCCCAAATCCTCTTTTTTTCCTTACTCCCGTATTTTTGGCTATCCCCTCCCCCCCCCATGAAAAACAAAAATCGAGTTGCATGACGTGCCTCCAGACAGGCCTGGGAAGAAAATTGGCTTTTTTGTCAAAATCTTTTCCTTTTTAAAAAAAAAAAAAAAAAAACAACCACCACGATGATCTAAACGTTAGCTCAGGCAGGCAATCCGGCTGTGACCGCAGAAGCCCTGCGTGACGCTTGCGGGGACTCAGCAACGTAGACGGGAGAGGCGCTTCCGTCAGAGGGGCGGCTGAGCCCCGAGTTCCCCTTTTCCCTTCCCTCGGCTGAGGCCTCTGTGCCCCCTGACGGCCCCCCCCCAGGGGAAGAGGAACCGCCAAGCAGGAATCCCGGGGAGGGAAAGGCAGAGATGGAGGAGCCAGGGTGAAGAAGTGTGGGGGGCTCTGGTGCCACAGCCAGAAGTCCCCAAACGTGGCACCTCGGGGCCAGAGCTGCTCTGCCAGTTGGTCATTTTAAAATTGTTCGAATTTGGGGTGAATTGCAGGGCGGCCCTTTGAGCCAAATACTTTCTCAACCCTCCAATGCAGAACAAGGTTTCTGTCCGTCCATCCGTCCGTCCCCCCAGTCCTGTCAGCCCGAGGTGGGGGGGGGTGAGCTGAGAGGGCCAGAATTGGGCTCAATGCCACCGCTCTGCAGGCCCATCCCAGCTCGAGCTGGGCTTCAATAGAAACAGGACTTTTGCGTTTTGCTCTTCCAACTTCCTAGTCCTTATGAAGGCGAAGGGGTGCTTCAGAGCATTGGGTGTGGGTGGGTGTGATTCCCTTCAAGCCTGCATGGTGAGAGGCGCCCCCTCCCTTCTGATTAAAAGACGAGGGGCTGCAGAACAGTGCCCCCCGTTTTAGTCTCTATAGGGCTGGCTGGACCCCCCCCAAAAGGTGGCGGGCAGAGGCCCCCCGGGGGTGGCACGAGAGTCCCAGCCCTGCCGTCTGTCTCCCCTGCAGCAGGAACAATGGGGCCCCCGAGAGGCCGGTCATGATCCACCGGGCAGTGCTTGGCTCTGTGGAGAGGATGCTGGCAGTCTTGGCCGAGAATTACGGGGGCAAGTGGTGAGTGAGTGGGGCCCTCTCGCTCAGCCCCCCCGCCTCTATTTCCGCTGAGTGGGGGGACGGGGGGGCTCAAGAGCCACAAAATGGGGTCTTCCCCGAGGGGGCAGGAATTAAACTCTCTTCCAGTTAGGAGGAGGCGGGCCCACCAGGCTTCTTGCTGGCTGCAGGGGCCCGGAGGAGTGGTGGGTTTTGAGGGTTGCCAGGGGGGGATTGGCTGGAGGGGGGGTCCAGGCCAAGCTGTGCTCTGCTCCCCTCCCCCAGGCCCTTCTGGCTGTCCCCCTCCCAAATCATGGTGATTCCGGTGGGCCCGGACGCAGAGGAGTACGCTGCCGAGGTGAGAGATGAGCCCCCCCCCCTCAGTGGCTCAGCCAGGGGGTCAGGGAATTGGGGGAGGGGATAGAAATCCCAGGGAGAAAGGCTGAAATGGGGTTGGGGGAACCTTCCAACCTCAGAATCAACTTGGGCGAACGGTGGGGATGGGGGAAAACGCCCCCAATTTGGCAAGCAAGCAAATCTACTGCAGGTGCTGAGAAGACCCCCTCGTTTGGGGGAGTTGGCATCCCCACAGCCTCCCACCCCGCCTGACTCCCAGTGCAAGAGCAGCCGGGAGGGAGAGGGGGACTGAACTGGCCTTTGCTGGACTCTCCTCTGGGCAGGTCCACCGGCTCTTCCAGCAGGCGGGATTCCAGACAGACCTGGATGTCGATTCGGGAGTGACCCTCAACCGCAAAATCCGAAGAGCCCAGCTGGCCCAGTACAACTTCCAGTTTGGTACGTTGGCATCGGCCGGGGCTGGGGGGGGGGCGCAAGGGAAGTGTGTGGGCCAAACGGACTCGGCTCAAACAAGCCAGGAGAAGGTGGGCCACCAGAACTCGGGAGACGACCGGATCTCCCATGTTGCTGGGCCGAAGGATCCCAGGCACCGATCTCTCCTGGTGGGAGATTTCCCTCCTGGTGGTCAATCGAATCGCTTCTGCTCGGCTGGGCAGGGGGATGCAAAGGGTTTGTGACGTAGCAGGGAAAACACAGAAGTGGACTCATCAGGCTTTTGTGAGCAGGGGTGATTGGAGGAAGGGGCGAGGGGTCTGGTGGTCAGGCTGCTTCTCCCCTGCAGTGGTCGGCCGGAAGGAGGTGACCCACCGCACCGTCAACGTCCGCAGCCGAGACAACCACCGTCATGGGGAGAGAGATTTGCACGAGGTGCAGCACCGGCTCCGGGAACTCCAGGAGACGCGGGCCAGAAACGCGGAGGAGCTCTTCTGAGCCAAAGGCTGGCATGCTTCACGTGCCCAGGAGGGGGCTCTGAGGCGCCACCCTTCGTTCCAAGGACCTAGTCCTCACTGAGGAGTCGAGGCTGAGAAGCAGCCGCCCGAGGGCTCAGGATCTCCCGCCGTCAGGCACCTGTCTCCCTCCTAGCCGAGTGCTCAGGAGATCCCCCATCCTTCCTCGGGGGGCAGCACAGCTTCCTGGAGCGCCTGGCATTACCTGGGCTGATCACCTGCACAAGGCCCAGCTGGGCCACCCTCTGGAGGTTCTCCGCAGCTCTGGGACTCTGCCCCCCCCCCCTTCAGTGCCCTTTCTGGAGGCATGCATAGCTGTATTTGGGGGAGGGGGTGCAAAAACCTTTCCTGACCAAGGAAGGTGAACTTACAAGTTAGCTCTGGATCCCCTGGCCAACCCTCCCCCCAGGCCCCTCCCTCCCTCCCTCCCTCCCTCCCTTCCTCCCGGGGATGTTTTGATGCCCCTGCTGATAAGGGCTGACCCCCCCAGATGTTCAAGGAGTGACACAGAGGAAGCTCTGGGGGGGTCCTTCCCCCAGCTGACTCAGATGCTGTCCCCCCCCCTCCCCTTGCTTAAGAGCTGGAAACTTCCATAATGCAAAGGAGAAAAGCTGGGAGGGGCAGCTTGAGCTTCTCGCAAGGATTCCTCCCGTCTCTCTCAGGAAAATGTGTGGCACGCCTGTGAATGCTCTGGGCAACTGAACCTCCATGTTCCGAGGCAGTCTACCTCCGTGTACGGGGAAGGCTCTGCTTTCCGGAACAGGACGTGCCTGTTGTGGCCCATCAGCAGACAGGCCTCCCGGAGCCGGCCTTGGTGACAGCTCCCAAAAACAGTTTGGCCCCAGAGGTGACTCTGTCGATCAGCGCTGACTCAGTTGTGCTCGGAGCCAGGCGTGGCTCTTCTCCCTGGAGGTTCGAAACAGCTCCTGAGTGGAGACTGGCAGCCGCTGCACTGAGGGTGCTGTGGGGGGGGGGGGGTGTTGCAGCCCCTCCCTCAGGGCTCCCTAACCCTCAGTGGGGCAAAGCATTTTCACTCGCCTTTCGGGAAAACCTCCCCAAAGCATCGTTCACCTGTAGCAGAATGAAATAAACCCTCTTCAATCTATGCTGGTTTAATTCACTTCCTTAAAGGGGTGGGGGGAGAGGCTGCTCTTAGTAATTTGTACAGGGGGCACCTGCGGTAAGCTCAGCACTCTGCCCATGCTCAGGAGCCTGCTTCTGTGCGGTGGAATCGGGGGTCCCCCGCCTGCTAAACGGTGGGATTGTCCCTCCCCAGTGTGCACTGAAGGCAAGAGGCTTTTCTTCGCCCACTGAGCCTGGCATCTCCTGGTTCTCCTTTGGAGGCCTCACGCCTGGCCCCCTCTGGCCTGCACCCTTCCGTTGGGAGAGGGTCTGCCCCAGATTTCCAAAGCCGAGGGGAAGGGCGGTGGGCACGGGGCCAAGGCCGTCACCTGCTGGTGTGTTTCCCCTCAGGGTCTTGGCAGGAACGGAGGTGCCACCTTCGCCCGTCTTGCGTCTTTGCAGAGGGGTGGGGGCCGTTCTGGATTGGGGGGGATGTCATTTTCATAACTGGCCACTTGTTTCTCAAGGAGCTGACGTGTCTGTGCAATGTTTGTCTTTCATAACTGCTCCCCCCACCCACCCCCACCGGCTGTTTTCCAGGGAGCCCAACGACTCATGTGAGCAAAAAGTGAGTGGGAGGCCCTGTTGCAAACCAGCCCTCCCCTCACTGGCGGGGGGGGCACCGATCTGGGCTCCCTTGCGCAAATCGGCTCCTGACACCCACGCGCCCACCTGCTCTCCTCCGAGTGGCTTTCTGCTAAAAAAAAACAAAATGTTGACCAGACCCTTGAAAATTTCCACTTCTCTGAGAAAGTCTTCCATCCATCCATCCATCCTCTTGACTTTTTTTCTTTTCTTTTCTTTTCCTCCTCCTCTCCCTTCCCTTTCAAAGCAGGCCTTCCTTCTTAAGGCCAGCCCTTCTTCCCCCAGGGGCTTTCCTGGCTGAATTAAAGGGTGGGGGGGAGCATGGACCCGTGTTGTCAGGCCTGGCCTCAGCTGCACGTCCCAAGCCCACCGAGGGACAATGGCAGCTTTGTTCCTTCCGGGCGTTACTCATCCTGACACGGAGGTGCGGAGCTGTCTTGAGCCTCTGCAGCTCATTACAACACTCGCTCTCCTTGGAACAGAAGGCAGGGCTCCTTCAGCCCTCGGGCCGCACGTTCCTTCGACGCCGAGGATGAGGGGCAGGTGCCCTTAATTTCCCCAATAAACTTTGGCCAACCCTCCGGAGGGCTGAGATCTGGGCTGGCAGAAGCCTGTGGTGTCCCAGGGACGTTCCTGGCAGGCTGTTCTCCAGCCAGGGTCAGGTGAGGCCAACCTTGACCCGGAAGGGTGCCAGGACACCCAGCTTCTCTGGGGACACTTGAGGACATCCATTCTGCCCCTTGTGAGTCCAGGAAAGTCCAGAGAAGAGGGAGGCATGCTAGGATCTCCGGGCAGATGGCATCGAGCCAGCCCTGGCCCCACGGAGTGCCCCCTCGAGCCGCTTTTAGGATACGGGAGGGTTAGGGGCCCAGTTGAGTTTCCAGGCTGACCTTGAAGGAGCCAAGCCGGATCTGCTGAGATGGGATCTTGGCCTGGAAAAAGGCCACCCCAAACTGCCCTTTCGACTCACAGCCGGGACCACTTGAGTTGCGGCTCATCCTGTGCCAACAGGAATGGCCCAGGAGTGCCTCTGCCTCCCCTCAGGCTGGCCGGTCACTTCACGGAGGAATCCAGAGGGTTCCAGGGAAGGCAACTTCAGTGGGTCCTTTGTCTCTGGACATAAAAGAGGAAACTTCTGGCAGAGGGAAGACTTTGGAAATGCCGGTTTTTAAGGGCAGCCTGCAGAAACAGAATCCCACCTGGGGAAGGGAGGAGATGCTCTATCACATAGCAAAATGGGGAGGGTCTTCCGGAATCCCATGGCTTGGCTTAGAGAGTGGGCTCTGTTGTCAGGGGAGCCAGCAGGGAGTTTCAGGATGTTTGCAGCCGATTCTGTGGCTGACCTCATGCATCGCCCCAGGCCAGACAAAGCAAAACCAAGATGACCAGCAGGCTGTCCAAAGCAGGTTATTGTGGCTCGTGTGGTTTAACGCTCAGCCACAACAGCTCTCCTCCGGCCACGGATCAGCTGCACCCAGAGAGGATGCCTGGCCAGCCCCTCGCCCAGGTCCTTCCCCACAATCCCTTGCAAAGAGTCTGCAAGAGAGGGGAAAACCGGGAATTTTGACTTACAACGGCTGGCATGACAATTAGTGGACAAGACAGGAAAATTGCAAATGACACCAAACAATAAGGAGGAATAAGGATTGTTTTAAAAACTTAAGGTTTTTCCCCCAAAAAATAGCCATTTGTGACGGCACACCAGCAACTAAAATGAAGGAAGGGGATGGAAAAAGAAAAAAGTTACGAAAGAAAGGGAGCCCGTGAGAAAGTGTGCTTTTTAATATTTTAAGGGTCACCCATTCACATTTGCCTTTGAAATTCCATCTGCCTTTTTGCAGTCTCTCTTCCTTGAGACTCACTGACTGCTGAATTCTGAACCTGGCTCCAGAACCATGGAAGTGGTGGATGGGAGTTGTGGTCTGAAGGAATACTCTCTTGGGCCAGGCATAACCACCAGGCTCCTGGGAATTGAGGCGAATTCTGCAGAATCGGGCTCCTGAGTCTGTGTAGAAGAAGGCTTTAAAAGCTTTAATCTCTGAGCATGTGTAGAATCCATGTTTCTACCCCAGAGTGACCACTGGCCTACATGTAAGAGATGCTGAGGTTTTACCCAAAAGGTTGCTTCGTCTTTGACTGGATTCGAGTTAAACAATTCACAAAGAAGTGAGCAATTCTTTTCCTGAAATGCTGATTTTAATCTCCCTTTTGTAATCATTGGCACCAGAAGGGGGAAAAATGGGGGCTGCTAATTGCTTCAGGCCACTTTTCCACCAAGTTATTTTTTCCCCCAATTTTTGATTCATTTTTTGACATCCCCAGAGATGGGTGTCTGTCTCCTGCTGGGGCTCTTCGGTGAAAGAGCTTCAGTTCCCCTCCAAACTGAGCCTCCGTCTTCTATAAAAGCAAATCGTAAGGCCAAAGGTAAGGAGGGAAATGAGAAATCCGTGCTCAGAAATCCAGTCTTAAGGCTCTAATTAAATATAGTGGGAACATTGCAACACTCTGAAGCGGAAGGGTAAAATCCCCTCTTTGTTTCCTGAGTTATGGCTCACCCTGACTTCCAGGTACTTCTTCAGCCCTTCCAAAATTAGCACCCTCTTAAGTTTGGAGTGAAAGTCAGGAGCCGGATACTTTCCCACAGTTAACCGTTGCTGTTTGCTCCACTATTACAAATCACAAAAATACGTGATTACAGCTTGCAAAACTACGTCACTCTTGTTTTGCTGTCAATCTTCACCCTAATCCCTGTTGAAACCACTTTGGTCTGGAAAGCTGGCTGGGCAGTTTCAGGGGCCGGTTGAGCCACCCAGAGGGCCCCTCCCTGTGTGGAAGTCTTCAGACTTTGGGGTCCCTGAGGGGGCCGGCGGTTTCCCCAGTGGCGGCTTTGGATTTGCTGAGTCCGGCCCTTCTGACTTTGCGGTCACACGTCTCCCTTCGGCCACACGGGTCACACATGCCCTCCGGCAAAGGCCCACCGCTTGGGGGTCAGGGTTCGGGAGGGGTTGGGAGGAGGACGAAACCCCCCCGCTTGAGCAAGGGACTGCGGTTTCAGCTGACAGCATTTCAAAACAACAACATCTGGAGAGGCCATGACCCCACTTTCCCCCCCCCTAGAATTCTTCAGCCTGGCCTGCCGTTTTTTTAAAATGTTTCCAAGGAAACATCACGATTTGGTCCAGGTCCTCCCCAGGAGCGAAAGGCTGACTGAAGCCCCCCAAGTGTTGGTTAGGAGGGCTGGCCCTCAAAAGGAAGAACCGGTCCCTGGGCATCTACATCAGCTGCCTAAAGGGGCCCTTCCTGAGAGATTTCTACCCACCTATTACTCCTGGAAACACAGCCTGGACTACATGGGCCATCAGATTCTGCACCCAACCCCTGAGCCCTTTCAGCCAGAGGCAGGATGCTCATTCCCACAATGTGGGGAACATCTGCAGCACAGCAAACTCTGGGTTCCTGTTAATCTGGTTGAAAACAGGCCTCGGTTGGTAATCTAATAGATCCCGAGGGATCTATTGCTGTGGGACGCAGAAACAGATCTCTTCCAAACACGGCAATTTTGGGGTTGCCCCCCTCAAAGGAAGCCCCAGCAGGAGACACGAAGCCCGTCGGGCTCGGGGCCAGGGGCAGCTCTTTCGGCCTGCTTTGATGCGGCCAAAGACCCCCCTCCCCACCCGCCCCCTTCTTCGGAGGCTTATCTGGCTCCGCTCCTACCGGGGACAGGCAGCCCAATTCTCAACCTGGCGCCGAATCTACTTCGGGATCGCTCCTTCCGACGGCCGGGATGCCTTTTCAGACCCCCGCGCTGTGCTCGGAGCTATGGGGCTTGTGGGGAGGGGGGCACGAAAGGGGCTTCTAGGGGCTCCCAAGAGCTCCCATCCCCTGAAGCAAGGGGGAGAGATAAGGGGGGGGCTCTATCCATCCGGCCTTGCTGCGTGAATCTGCTGCCCCCCCCCCCCCCCGCCCAGTCCCGGATTAGCCAACGGGCCGTTGCGGTGTCGCAACCAACTCCGGGTGGGGTTTTTTTTTTCTGCCGCCGCCGCTTCTCCTTTTTTCTTGCCCTGTAAGCGGATTCCGGGGTGCGTAGCAAGGGGGGAGGGGGGAAGGGGCGCTGCTCCCGTCCCGTCCCGTCGTGCGGGAGGCGGGGAGGCGGCCGGGCGGGTCCTGCCTTCCGCGGAGGCGGCGTCTCAGCCGAGCGGCTGGGCATAAAAGGGCCGGAGCCGCGGCGGTAGCAATCCAGTCCCGAAGCGAGCAAGAAGCAGCCCCGGAGCGATGCCCACCATGACCGCCGTCTGGCTCTGCCTCTGCCTCGGCTGCCTCGCCGCCTGGCCCGCCTGGGCTCTCTCGGCCAGCCAGGCTCCGCCGCCAGGTAGGTCCGCCAGGTGGGAGAGCGGGAGGAGGAGGAGGGTCCCCGCAGCTCTCCTTGCGCAGCCCCCGGAGGGTGGTGGCCGGAGGGAGGGTCCGGGCGAAAGGCGCCCCTCGGGGGTCCCCGCTCCTGTCCTCCCGGCTAGCTTGGGCGACCTGAGAGCAGCTGGGTCCGCTCTGGGCGCTTCCCCGGCCCTGGGGCTGCAGTTGTGGGGCCGGGAGAGAGAGCGAGAGCGATGCCTCCCCCCTCCCCCTGTGCCCCTAAAGTTTGTTGAATGCCCTGCTTGCTGGCCCTTGCATGGCGCCCGGGGCAAAGAGCGAGGGAAAAGTCCCTTCTGTGTTGGTTATGGCAGCCAAATTGTTTGGCCAGCGGACTTTTCCATCCTCCAGGAAAGGGGGGCGAGGCTTCTGCTGGCCCAGGACTGGCTAAAGGGGTGGGAAAGAGGCTGCAGTGGGCCCTTCCTGGGGCTCAAGGGAAGGAGGGGGCCACAGAGTTTGCCAGTGGTGGCTCAGGGCCCCTCCATCCTCCAGAGAAAGAGAGAGAAGGAGCATGGGGGGGGGGGTAGTCCAGTGACTGGGCCACATTTCAGTGTGGGGAGACTGATGGGTCTGCCCTTGTGCTGAGGCTAGAAAGGGTGACTTGGATGGATGGAAGAGATCAAAGGGTATTCAAGTGACCCCCCCAATGGCAACTGCCAGTCCTGCCGTTTGAGCCCCCCCTCCCCCACAGAAGGAGGGAAGGAGCCCATTGGCCACCAGCCTGTCCCTCCCTCCTGGCGTCTGATTGCCTCCAGCTCAGTGATGGAGAAAGGAAGCCTAAGATGCCCATTCAGGGGAAGGGGAGCCAGGGAAACAGCTCTCCTTTGGGCTGCTGGAACACCCCCCCCCCAAAAAAAAAAAAAAAAACTGGGTCAGCTCTGCCAAGAGGCCAGGCCAGGAACCGCTGAGCTGTTGCGATTGTGATGATTTGGGCTGAGTTGCTGTGTCATTCACTGGAAACCTCACCATGAGTAATCCCTCAGGTGCAGATTTAGGTTTCGTAGCAGAGCCAGTTTACTTCCGCCTGAATCTCTTTGCATTTTGGGGTGGGGGGGAACATCCGGGGCTGAGCTGGCAGAGAGGAGACAGTGGGTGCAGGTCAGGCCAAGGAGTTTCCTGTCTCCCTGAACTGCTGCTCTCCACACCTCCCATCATCCAGAACTCAGCACTGGGGAGGGGGCTCCTTCTGTTCTCCTGGGGGGTGTCTTCAGCTGTCCAGCCTGAAAGCTCTACTTCCACAAAAAGTGAATGGAACGAACTACAACCAAGCCATGATTTAGTGCAGGTTATATGTTTGGTTGGACCACAATGTGGTTGATCAACAGCTGACTCAGCCGGTTGTGAGTTAACTGGGAAACCACAGTTAAACAAACCATGGTTTATCAGAAGAGGTGTGTTTCTGGGCCCAATCCACGTTTAACCTCCACTTCCTCTTCCTTTTCCAGCCAATGAAGACGATCAGCCCCCACTAGCCCAGTTCCCAGTCGAGATCTCTCAACACGACGTTCTTCCGGATGCGATTTCACGGGAGTTCCTGATGCAGAAGATTCAGGAGAATCTGGAAGACGGTGAGGCTGCTGAGGAGGGGCGGGGAGGCACGTTGGGGCTTAGATGACAGTCAGACCCAAACCCAGATGGAGGAGCCTCACACGGAGAGAGAGAGAGACCCATTGTTTAGACCGAGCTAAGCCCAACATCCTCAGGGCTCACCAAGGTCCTCATTCTGCAGGGTAGGGGTCAGCAACCTGCGGCTCTGGAGCCGCATGTAGCTCTTTCACCCCTCTGCTGCGGCTCCCTGTCACTCAAAATATGCGTCACGACCGCCAATGTGCGACACCTGGCGGCATGCAATTTACTGAGCTTTTCAACCATGGATAAATCCAAGAAAAGAAAAGTTTCAGAAGAAAACAGAACGTTTAATTCAACTACATTTGCTAGTTTTGTGGCCGCTCGAGAAATAGTCAGGCACGGGAAGGGTTTTGTGGCTCCCGGTGTTTTCTTTTCTGTGGGAAACGGTCCAAATGGCTCTTTGAGTGTTGAAGGTTGCAGACCCCTGCTGCAGGGGAACTTGGTGTCCCACTCCCACAACAGGAAGGGCTGGAAGATTGGTGGGGGGAAAGCAAAGGGCAGCCCCTGAGAGCCCCCTTCCCTGCAAAGGAACCAACCGAAGAGCAAAAGAGAAGCAAAGAAAAATTAGGTCCAGGAACAAGAGGAACCTTCCTGGATGCAGCCAGCAAGCAGCTTGTTGGGTGTTGTGTTGGTTGTCTGAACCAGCCGGAATAAGGGAGCGCTTTGGGGCCCCCCCTTTATAACCCCTCTCCCCTTTCCCTCCTTGTTTAGGGCAAGAGGAGCTCCCCATCCTGGTCCACGGGGAGCCCCAGTCGGTGCCCCTGCAGCCCAGAGGGAGAGGGCCCCCTTGCAGGGAGGTGGGCTGCAGCCGCGAGGCCCCCTTCTACAAGCTGGAAGACTTCCCGCCAGGCCGCCCCTCCCTCAGCAACCTGGGGGCCCTTTGTGCTGCGGGGCGGAAGAAGCACAGCTACGGGCCCTGGAACCTGCCCCAGACCAGCTTCAGCCACCTCTCGCGCCAGGGGGAGGCCCTGAACCAGCTGGAGCTCCAGTTCACCCGCTGCTGCCAGCTGGCCGAGGACCAGAAGCTGCCCTGCGCCTCCAACGAGGTGAGTGAGCCCCTGCGCCCTGGGTGCGCTTGTGCCTTGGTGTCACTCTGGCAATGCTCTGCAAGGGCCTCCTTTCGACCAGGCTCACCCCAAACTCTCCTGGACCCTCATGGCCAGGTGTGGGAAGCAACTGGAAACTTTGCTCTCGGCCTTAAAAAAAAGTCACCGAGTTATTCAGGAGTCACTCATCCCTTCTCCACTAAATACATCTTAAAATAACGGCCGGTTGGATTGCACCTCCTCCTCCTGCTCCGTCCCATCCCCCCCATCTCGGAGGGAGGGCCAAATCCACCTGGAAGGCCGAACCGAGTGGGCCACTGCGGGTATTGTGAGGTCAAGTGTCGCAACTCGGCTGGGTCTCTGGTGCTGACTTTACACACCCCCATATCTTTCTGCGGAACGTCTAATTAAAAAAACCCACAAAATATTTACATGTTTACCTGAGCTGTGAAACCGGCTGGGACAATTGGTTCGTGCTGTCTTACCTGGGAACCTTTGAGCCCTGGGTGGGCAAATATGGCTGCTTTACCTGGGAGTACCTGGAACTCCCAGAATCCCTGAGCCAGCCATGCTGGCTGGGGAATTCTGGGAATTGAAGCCCACAGGTCGTAAAGGGGTCATAATTGCCCACCCCTGTTTAGCCTTTCGTCCCCTGAGTCTTCCCACCTTTTAATGCAGATCCTTCCTGGTCCTTCGCACAGGGGGAGTCTCCTCCCCCTCCCCTGGTGGCTAATCTCTTTTCCTTGTTTCTTTCCTCCCCTCCCCCTTTTCCAGTGGGAAAAATGCCTGGCCCGGTTTTGCAAGCAGGAGTTTTCGACCAAGACACGGCCCTTCCACTGCTGCCGTGCAGGCCCCCGCGAGGCCCGTCTCAGCTGCTTCGCCAGCCAAGCGCCCTTCCCCAAGTACGAGGGCGAGGGGGCATCGCTGGACCTGGCCAACCTCACCACCACCATCCTGGACTCCATTTGCAGCCAAGCATCAAGCCAGGCCAAGCAGTGAGTAGTTCTCTCCCACATCCTAGGGTCTTCTTGGGCGGGGGGGAGGGGTTGGACTAGATGACCTCCAAGGGCCCTTCCAACTCTGTTAATCTGTAAAAAATATTGGGCGGTTGGGTTGGAGCTGCCAGGAAGAGGTTCTCCCTCCCCTTGGGAGCCTGAGCACTTAGGGGGACCTTCTCTGAAGCTCTTCCTCTTCACCTGGGCTGGGCTCTTCTGGCAGGGAGTGATGGGGGTGGTAGTCCAAGCCATCTGGAAGGCATCCTGTGGAGCAAGGGTGTGCTATTTATGCCAACCGGTTAGGATACCAATAGAATAAATGTATAGCTGGCACATTTTCAGGATCTCCCAAAAGAGCCCTTCAAACATGGGGGTGGGGGGTGGGGTCTAATTGATGGGTTCCTATAAATTACAGCAATTCAAGGCAAGAGGTCAGATTTGCTGACCTACGTCGCCCTCTTGTGGCTGCAAAGTAAAATGCACCTAAGCACTAAGCCAGAATTGTTTTGGGAGATTGGAGGGGATGGCAGACCTCCCGGCTTTCCCAAACGCTGAGTGTGGCTTTCCTCCTTTTGTGCAGGAAGCCCAGCCCGGCTTTAGTCCAGAACATCACAGAGTCCTGTTGCAAACTGCCAGAGAGCGAACGGACCCTCTGCGCCCAAGGAGTGGTGAGTCTCCCATCTGGGGAGGGTGGGGGGAGGACAGATCTTCTCTCCTGAGGGAGGGGGGGGCTCCCAAGAGACTGTTTTCCACCCCAAGCGGGTTGATCCGGAGCCCTTGAGTGGGATCGGAAGCGATGAAGTGAAGCAGCTGCTTTCAAAGGGCCGGATGTGAAGGAGCTCGGTTTGACCCCTCAATCCTCTTTTCTTCTCCCTCAGAAATCGCAGTTCATCACCGCTTTCTGCAGCTCCCAGAGGCGCGCCTGGAAGGACCCCCAGAAATGCTGCGCCCAGACGGAGGAGGCCGCCCGCAACGACTGCTTCGACCGCAGCTACCTGGGACGCGTCTCCCTCCTCCGCAGGGAGCAAGAAGAGGAGGAGGAAGAAATCGTGCTTCCCACCCAGACGGCCTCCTGAACCCTCCCGGGGCCTGATCCTGCCCTCCTCAAAGCCCCCCCCAGCCCGTCCCTGCCTCTCCTTCCCTTTGGCTGGCTCCCTCCCCAAATCTGGGGGTAGGACCAGAAACCCTCTCCCTTCATGGACTTTATAATCAAAGAGGGTCTCCCTCGAGAGGCTCCATTCACGCACTTTAATTCCTTGACAGAAGCCGCAGGCCGGTCACAGCCAGCCGAGCTGGGGGGGGAGGGGATTCTGCAGCTCCTTCTTGGCTTTGCTGCTGGAGAGCACTTGGTGGGGTTTGTAGGCATCTGGGAGGACAGAAAAGGGGGCTCTGGCTGTGTCCCACAGACCTCCCCTGGCTTGGCCCAGGGAACGTCGCTGCCTCTCAACTGTGGGCTGCTCCAGATCCTGGACGCCTCTCTGTCCCCTAGTGGATCCCTGCAGAAAGATCGGCCATGGCTTGTCTATCTAAAGGGATTGACTACCTTTGGGATCCAGCTTTGCTGTTTGAGAGAGAGGGCCAGGAACGGAAGCCCCGTGAATTGGAGAAAGGAACTGATTTTGGCTGAGCTTCCAAACTGCAGCCCCCTCCCCGCCGTGCCTCCCAAACAAAGAAGGGCGTAGCAGCCTCCAGAATGGCTCTTGCCAGCCCTAAAGGCAGGTGGTGGCGGCCGATTGGCATCTTGCTGTACCCAGCTGCATATCTGCCTGGTGACCAATCCTAGACTCTCTGCTTGTAACAAATGCCTTGGGAGAAAGCGATGACATGGCCTCGTGCCAGAGGCAAAGGGTTCGATAAATAAACCACTTTTTGGAAAAACAATGCAACTTTCTCTTGTTGTGATCCTTCCCCCCACCTCCCCCCACTCAGGGCTGAAATCCAGCAGGCTCTGACAGGTTCTGGAGAACCGGTAGCGGAAATTTTGAGTAGTTCGGGGAACCGGCAAATACCACCTCTGGCTGGCCCCAGGAGTGGGGAGGGAATGGGGATTTTGCAATATCCTTCCCCCAGGAGTGGGGTGGGAATGGAGATTTTGCAGTATCCTTCCCCTGCCACGCCCACCAAGACACACCCACAGAACCGGTAGTAAAAAAAATTGAATTTCACCATTGCCCCCACCCCCAATCCAAGCTCCTTGGGGCAGACTTGGAACCCCAGTCTCTCAAAGAGAACCAGAAATCGATTAAGGGGAGACCGGGGGGGGGGAGCCTCGTCCTTGGCTGATGGGTGTCCAAACGCAGGCCAGGGGGGCAGATGACCTGTGGGGCCAGAGCCCCTCTGGAACTTCAGGATCCGTATTTGGGGTGGGGGTGGAGGAATTTCACTAGAGCCGGAAGAGAGGAAAGGGCTGGTTCCCGTGAGGATATCACAAGATCCTCTGTTGGTGAGCTCACACTCGGCCTGCTGTTCTCCGGGAGAGGTTGGGGTTTGGCCAATGGCCGGCGGGCTCTGGATCGGGAATGGCGGGACAGAGAGAGGGACGCAGGGGGAGAAGCTGGCAGGCGCCCTCCTTAAGGCAAACATCCCTGTGGCTGAGGCTTGGCAGGCGACGTCCCGAACAAGAAAGGGGAATCAGGGGCCCTTTTAACCCTCCACCCTCGACTGGTCCAGCTGCAAGGCTCACTGGGGCAAGGAAAGCGGCTTTGGGGGCCAAGGGCCAGGGAAAGGGGGGGCCCTTGCAGGGTGGGTGTGTCTCTGACCTTGGTTGAAAGGGAGAGGAAGAGTCCAGGTTTTTTAAAAAAGATGCTTTTTGGGGAGACTGCTCTCCCCACACCGCCAGGAAGAGCAAAAATAGGCCATGGAGCCTCCTTCGCCTGCTCTGGTGCCTCTTAAGGATCTCCAGCCCATCTTACCTGGCTCTGAGGGTCTCGTAGGCACCAACCTCCACCCGATATATTGAGCAGCAGCGTCTTCTCTGGCATCCATGGGCTCCTGGCTGTATCTGGGGCCAGCAGGTTAGGGGTCAACTTGGCACCTGCCCCCTCCATTTGGGTCGAGGAGGAGGTCTAGAGATGGAGTGGGGGGGGGGAAAGTTCAGGCCCCACATCTCACCCCCCAATTTTCGCCCTCGTGCTGATCCCCAGCAAGGAGCAGCCTTGAAGGAGTCCAACTCCTTGGATTAAGGGGCGAGGGGGGTGCTCCAAGTTGAGAGGCGGGGGGGTTTTTTGAGGGGGGGGGGGATTGTCTTTTGGCTTCACCCTTCCTGGCTCCTGGCGCTACAAATTTCTGCCCACCGATTGGAGAGTTTAATGGAGGTCCCCAGGGGTCCACCCTCTGCCAAGAAGGGGCTCCGTTGAATTTGTGCTGGGAAGGCATTGCCCCAAACAGTGGGCATACACAGCCTCCCATGGGGACTCCCCCCCAGCCTCAAAATCTGGCTCTTAAAACACGTGTGCTCAGTGAGGAGTCCAAATGTTGAGGTCTTGGCTGCCTCCTCCTCTGTGTTGCTTGGCTTCCCTTTCCAGGAGACGCGGCTTGGAAGCAGCTCAAATGGGGCTCCGGTTTTTATGTGTTTTTCCAGGAAGGATCTTCTGAATGGGGAGGAGGGGGCGGCAGAGCCCCTCACGGCAGCTCTGGCTGGCCCGCCGGTGCCTCCCTCTGGGCGCCCTTGAGGCGGAGGGTCTCATCGGCCATTGATTGCTGGAGGCAGGGAGGTTCTCACCTGGATCCCAGGAGCCTGGAAGGGGAGGGGTTTAAACCCCAGGATCTGTGTGTGTGTGTATCCTGGCCCCAGAGCATGGAAAATGCAAGTGATCTTGGAGGCTCGGCCAACTCTGTGTGGACTGAAGATACTGGCAGGAAAATAGATGGTCCCATATCGTTCCTTGGTTTTCCGTGTCTTCCGTCATCAGAAGAGAAATCACTAAATGGGAGAAATGCCTCTGACCATATACAGAATGCTTTGCTCTCCCAGCTGAGAACTGCTTCTATTCAGAAAGCCATCTAATGCCTGGATTAGAGGCCTTTGGAGCTGGGCTTTGCCAGGTTAATTCCTGGATAGCAGAGGGAAAAGCCATCAAAATCTTCCTTTTGTTTAGTGGACTCCAGGGGTCTTTGCAACAACAGCCGCAACGAAATACCGTCTGTGCCCCCCTCCCCGCTTGCAAAAATTTCCCTGATTCTCTGTATGGAAGCGGAGGCAGTAATTCTCCTTAAATCAAGTCATTTTGCTTGGATTCAATTAAAATTATACTAGATCCTCTGATCCTCCTTGTTCAGGCTTCCTGTGTGCCTTGTATTTGTTGATAAGTTGCTTTAAGAACAATTACGCAGTAGCAAATTTTTGAAATTTCACGCAGAAATATCCCTGCCCAGGGACATCTACATGTTGGCTACAAAATAGAAGCGCTTTGCGGCAAGCAATTGATAACCTTTGAAGCAATAATCTCAGGAAGATTTAAACGTCCATCCAAAGAGCGGTATTATAAATCAAGCAGAGACGTTGGGTAACAAGATGAGACGTTATGAAATAGATTAATTGATGTTGTGATCATCTATTTTAAGGAGCCAAACTCAGACAGTTAAAAATAGTAGGATTAATTCCTCCCCCCCCACCCCAATTTGTTCTGATAGATGGCAAACTGACAATTATTTTTTTTTTAAGGGCTTCTGAGCAGTCACAGAGGGGGGACAAGCCGAGTTTAATTTGTCATTTTGATTTAGCTGGGAAACTTAATTTTCGCATCATAGATAAAAGCGATGGAACAGTTTTGAAATGAGGTGGGTGGGGTTTCACAGGGCGGAGAGGGGCTTTAAAAATACAGTGGAGGGGGGGCAAATCTTCCTCAGTTTAAAATAACACTGTAGGGGTACGCATGAAAGTGAAAATTAGGCCTCTTCATTGTTGGCGGTGGGTGAAAAAAACCTGGTTTATTTAAAGGGCTCTTTTTCATCTTATTGTGAGTTGAAATGTTATTCTAAGATGAAACTGTTAGGAAGGCCACAGTTGTTTTAAGCTTGTCTGTGTGAACCTGCAGACTGAATGCGGTTTCCATTCAGTGATTTAAAACGGGATTTTTAAAATCTTTTCTAGGCTGTTTGAGTTGTTCGGCTTCCTTAGCTGTACTGTGCGGTGCAGTCAGGGCACCAGCGATGGGGCGAAGGGTGGCAGAACAGGAGAAAAAAGTTATTTTTCTTCCTTGCACCGAGATTTGGAGAGTAAGCCCCCCCCGCCCCCTTGTTTACACGGATCATCCACCCCACCCTTTCCCCCCTTTAACAAAGCGGCGTCTGGAACTGCCTCTCTGCTGGGTTTGGCTTCAGAAGCGCAACATTCGCTCGCACGAAGTTTTTCCATTTTAGGCTGGCCTCACCACTGTCTCTGCCAGGTCACATTGGATGGAAAGGTGGAGGGAGGGTTTTTTTTCCAAGCGAGTGAGCGGCTAATCTCCCCACCCCACCCCAGTTCTGGCTGCCAAAGGAAGAGAGGCCCTGCAATGCTCGGCTTGTGTGTTGGTGACTTTCAAAGTGGCCCTTTGGCGTTTTTCTTTGAACCGCCCGGAGCGCTTGGGGTCTTGTGTTGCCAAGCCAGGCCGAAATGATCTGCTCCGGCCGGGGGAACGGCTGTCCTCATTAGCACTTGGAGAAAATTAATGTGTGGGTTGTTCTGGTTTGCTCCGGTTCTGGAGAAGCAATGGCTTGTTTAAACCCAGGGGAGAGAAAATGGCTTTTTTGGCAGCTGGAATTTGGCCGGCCAACAAGGAAAAACCTCAGCAACACGAAAGTGTTTAAATTGAAATATTTAGTCCGGGAAATATTTACAGTCACAAACATTGACAGAAAAAAACACACCACATACACTTATAAAATTCTAAACTATAAAGCTAGGAATCCTGCTGGTTTTATTTGGCTGCTAAGATGTATTTGATTTACTTTCTGTTCAGGTTACTAGACCTGATGGTGTAGCGTTGAATGCTTGAAAAGTCGCAGGGTCTAGAGAAAAGTACATTTGTGAATTCAGTTGTGTTGGTGGTCAGGTTGTGGGCTGCTGTTTCTCTGAGGTTGCTTTTAACAGCCAGAGAATTTGAGAGGATAAAAATTCCAAAAAGAAGCTAAAGCAGTAACTGACATAATTTAAACCAGCCAGAAAGAGGTAATTTGCAATTTAACAAACATTCTGGAATAACAGAGCCTCAGCCCCACAATTACTGTTAAATCAAAGGTTGCTTTTCTACTAAATGTAAATATTAGATCTAATAAATCTGTAACTGTCTGTGGAAAAAAGCAGGATAAAACAGATGTTTAATTTCATCTGGCAATCAGGAATGTACTTCTGGTTTATTTTTAATTTTTATTTTCTGGGATTGCTAATCAGAGTGATTTAGCCACCATAAAAAAATAAAATGAAACTCTAAGAAGGCCTCTGTTCTTTTTTGAACTTACGCTCTTTAATTTCCTCTTATTGCAGAAAGATTGACCTAACAATGAAAATGAGGAGGAAAGGGCTGTTTGTCATCATTAGGGCAAAACAAAAAACAAAAAAAACAGTGTAGCAATGTGGAAAATTATACATTTTATTCTTGCTCCTTTTTAAGGGGATGTTTTTAATAAACTGCCATGCCTTGAAAGAATTCCCTTTCCTAGAAAGTGAGGAGAGGGAGGGGTGACCAAAAACCAGGGAACTGGTAGCCTGAAAAAAATCCAAGCAAAAGGAAAGAAATTCAAAGAAGAAAAGAAAAAAGAGGAAACAAGACAAAGGAAAAACATTTGAGATGATCTGCATCTCATTCACTGCAGACCAGATGTGGGTTTCAGCAGGTTCTGACCAGTTCTGAAGAACCGGAAGCAGAAATTTTGAGTCGTTCGGAGAACCGGTAGTAAAATTTCTGACTGGCCCCACCCCCATCTATTCTCAGCCTCCCGAGTCCCAGCTGATCCGGAGGGAATGGGGATTTTGCAGTATCCTTCCCCTGCCACGCCCACCAAGCCACACCCACAGAACCGGTAGTAAAAAAAAATTGAAACCCACCACTGCTGCAGACCAATATTATTAATAGGAAATTGTTTTCTTTTACATTTCACAGGGCTCAATATTCCTCCATTTGAGCTTCTGGCTTGGTGCCAAAGGGATTCTGCATATGCTTAGGGGGCAGATTGTCTAAATATTCCAAGAGAACATTTTCCTCTCAATTACAGGGTTTAATTTACCTTTTTTAAAAAAAATGGATGGAATCCCTTATTTCTTTGGAAGCTTTAATGAGTGCAAAAATCCTCTATGTACATCCACAGGGATCACATCAAAATGTCCGTGCTTACAAATGGGTGGCTACCTTAAATATTTTACAGAGCCCTCAAGTTCCTAGTCCCTGGCATTCTAAGAATGGGCAGACCGAGAAATTTTGAGGGTCCAATGCCTGGCACGAGGAAGCCTGGCGGGGATTAAGCCTCCCCTTTGAGGGTGCTGAGAGCAGCCAGAAAAATCCGGTGGCCTGAATGGCTGAGAGGCCCAAGTGGGCAAAGAGTTTGGCTTCTGATCAGTCTCACTGCCGGAAGGCAAAGTGGATTTCCTGGTGGTAGAAAAGGCCCCAACCTGTTTTCATCTCCTACTTGTTGTCCTTCCAAGTTCCCCCAAGTTTTCTCTCTGGGTAAAGCAGCTTTGATGTTTATCTCCTCCTCAAGTTCCTTTAGAAGTGCTGCACAGGAAAAGCCAAGTTTGAAGAGGTTGCTGGGGGAATTCGCTGCTGAAATAGCCCAGTGAAAAAAAATCAGATTGCTATCCTCACTCCTGCACAGAGGAGGTCTTTTTTTTCCCCTTTGGAAAAAAAAAAACACCTAGTTTTAGAACAAGAGAGTTGAACTTTTCCCCTAGAAATCGAATCTATTTTCTGCACCTGAATTTGGGATCTTTTTGGGCCCAGTTTTGGGGATCCAGCAAACAAGCAGATCGGAAGCAGGACCCTTCCTGAATTTGGGGATCCTGAGGCCACCCCGTGTCGTGTCCCCCCCCAATGCCCCACCACCTACTGCAATAAATGCACCAAAAATAGAACCTCGTACGAGAAAAATCACGGCTTTCCTTTCCCCCTTTTTTTTTTAGCTAAGAAACAAAGCAGACAAAAATAAACCCAACTAAGCAACCAGCTCAAATAAGTTGCAAAAACATTTACGAGTCAGCTCTGGGTCTGGTCTCAAAATAAGGAGATGGCAGGAAGCCAGGCAGATGGAGCCCAGGGCATCTGCTCTGGCAGCGGGAGGGATTGGGGCCAAGCACCTGTTTGGCAGGCAGGTGGGTGTGGATCAGTCCCTGGCACCCCCACGCAGCCGAGGCCGCAAAGGGCTGGAGGTTGGTCAGCCTCACAAGGTGCTTGGCATCCCAAACTCTGAACCAGAGCGCATGCAAAGTGCTGCTCCTTTTCCCTGGATGTTCAGGAGCGGCTCCAGGCTCCCAAAGGGGCAAGCCAGCTGTCAGATAAAGGGGTGCCTTTAATTGGCGCGAATGCCACCCACCGATACTCTTTGTGCCCCGGAGCCTAATCTTAGCCCATTTCTGACTTCCCATCCGAAGGAAATAGAGATGGCGTGAGTCACCAATCCCGAGGGAAGGGGATTTTCTGGGCTTTGCTGGCGCCGGCCTCTTTTCGTGCCAGGTCTTGAAGCGAGAGGGAAGGGCTTGTGGGTGCGTGCAGATGACCTCCCCATCCCCACTCTGCCCTGAGGCCAAAGCGTCTCGTTCTGGATTTCTGGCAGAAACGGCCTTCCGCTTATACCAGGTCCTTCGAGAGAATGAGACACCAGTCAGGAATTCATTGGGGGTTTTGGCCGACTTTGTGCCTTGAGGAAGCTAGAATGGTGATCAAAACTTGGCAAGATGTCCAATCTGCTAAAATGGATCACATGCCAACTTTGGGCAGAACGAGAGGCTGCCTCCGTCTGCCAGCTCATCCTCTCTTCTCTCATCCAGGTGTTTCTGTCCTTTTGAATTTGATCTCCAGGTATTCCTAAATATTATTATTATTATTATTATTCAACTTCCAGAACAGAGAAAATGTGTTTTGCGTCCTTCCCTCCCTTCTCAGCCACCTGTTCCTTTGGGCCCCGACTTCTCTGACAGGCCACTGAGGTTCTGGGGTTTTTTTAAACTTTGCAATTATGCGGCCGTGTGTGGGTCACCAGCAACCCCAAAGCTTATCCACCCCTCGTCCCTCCCTGCCCACAAGTACGGGTCTGCATTGCCAAAACTCAGCTGGGCTCCCAAAACATGGAATTGTGGTGGAGAAGGGCGAAGGAAAGGAACTGCGGGTGCAAGACCCCTCCTCCACCCTTAAGTATCCCCTTAAAATATTTATCCTTCTGGTAATCGGATGCCCCCCTCCCCCTGCCAAGAGGAAGCTGGCCTCAGGTGTCCACAGGTGTTGGATCTTCCCTGCCCTCCTGCACTTTGGGCCCTGCAATCCAGAGGAGAAACAGGGCTGGGAATATTTGAAATTCTGAGAAGGGAGTGGGGGGGGGTTGCCCAATTTTTTCTGGAGCTGTGAATGCTGCTTTTGAGCACTGGGCTCCACTCCGGGACCCTGCAGAAGGCAGACCGGTCCGGCCCCTGACTTCCCTCCTTCCACCTGGGTTCCTTGGCCGATGAGGAAGAGGCACCCCCATCCTTTCCATTTTCCTCGTGGGGAGAAGGCAGGGAATGGGCCAAGCTTTATGGGGCCGCCTTGTGTGAGGGAGAAGCCAAGAAACCGCAGCCTGCAAGTCTCCAGAGCGCTGAGAGTTTAAGAAAGCTGCTTTCCCACCCTCTGGGCTTTCAAGGCAGGACAGAGACAAGGACCCCTTGATCCAAAGGTCACCTGCGGGACAAGGCCAGGGAATCCGGGAGAAGGTCGGAGCCGGTCTTATGAATGGCTGGTTGTTGCATTTGAGGGTCAAAAGGGAAGAGCTTCTGACACACACACAGCCTCACAGAGCCCAGCATTTGGGGCCTCTGACCAGCCCTGGAACAGGCCAGGGAAGCCTTCTTTCGTTCCAGGTAGACTGCGCCTGCCCCAGGCGGCTCCCTGACTAGGATGCTGAGCGGGAGAGAGCTCTTCCGCCCAGCCCTTCTTGCAGCTGCAACCGCTTTTCCCGAAGGGCCGATTGGGCCCCTTCGCTCAGGACCCTCGACGGGTTCGTTGGGCGTCTGCCCCGCACGGGAAGGGGGTTTTGTGGGGGGAGGAGAGCGAGCGCTGCCGGAGGGGCTCCTGCGCAGGACCCTCGGGGGCGGCTCGCCTTCCCCCCCAGTGCTGGCTGCCGCTGGGCCTCTAGCAAGCGGTCCGCCTTCCCGGGACTCGGAGGCGCCTTCCTGGGGGGGTCTCCGCTGCCCACTTGCCGGCTCTGGATGGGCAGCGGCAGCCGGCCAAGACCTCTGCGGATCGCGCAAGGGGGGGAGGTCCACGTGGAGGAGGGAGGGTCTCCTTCCGCGCTCTCTCTGCCCCCCTCCGCGCCTGAGGGGCGGGGCCGCGCGGGGAGGGGCGGGCCAGGAGCAGCCCGAGGAGGAGGGGCGTCGGGGGGGGGCGTCGCGGGGCCTGAAAGGAGGCGGGGGCGAGCCAGGCCGGGGCCGGCGGGAGGGAAGCGCTGCAGCGCGGCCAGCCCGGGAGAACGTCGGCTCCGGCGGGAAGGACCTTCTCCCCTCCGGGCACCTGAGATGGCAGGTACGGGGCTCGGGCCGGGGAGGGGAGGGCAGGGGCTCGCTTGGCCTTTGGACTACAAAGCCCAGCTGAAGGAGCGCTCCGGGGAGGGTCCCTTGCCCCGCGCTGCCCCTGCCCCGTCTGACCCCACTTCCCCGCCCTTCTTCTCTCGCCAGACATCGGCTGATCCGCTTGGCCGCTGCTGCTCGCCCCCCGCCACGAAGCCCAAGCACAGGTGAGCAGCTCCCTCCCGGCCGCCCACGGAGGAAAGGACCCGGGCGGCACTCTGCAGATGCTCAGAAGCATCCTTGGCAGCCTTGACCCGGCCTCTGCCCTGCTCCGCTTCGGGCTCTCTCCAATTTGTCCTGATGGTGGTGGGTTTTTTTTTTTGGGAAGTTTTTCAGATCAGAATATTCTGCCCATCTGTGGTTTTGAGCCCCCCCCCGCATCCTGCCAGCCCCTCTGGGCTCCCACGGAAATTTCCACCGGGCCCGGCTTTCACCTGGCGCCTCCCTGCCTCCCTCATCTTTATCGGGTCTTGCAAGAAGAAGCAAAAAAAAAAAAAAAAAAAACTTGGTTAAAGAGAAGGGGGGGCGGGGGTGTTGGAGGAGCAGGGCCCCCTCCTGACATTCCGCGAGGCTCTGGCGGGGGGGGGCGTTTCGCGGAGCCCATCCTTTGGACGAGCATCAATGGGCCATTCTTTCTTTCGCCCTGGCTTGGAAGGCGCCTGGCCACGGACCACCCGGGAGAGGAGGAAGGACTTCGATAATTTCGGGTTGGCTTTTTTTTTTGCTGGACTGGGGAGCCCGGGACAAGGATTCACCCACCCACCCAACACACCCACACACACCGCTGCCTCCCTGAAGGCCCCTCTCCGCTCTGTGTGTGTGTGTGTGTGTGTGGTTAAGGTGTGAGTTGATCTTTGCGGCTCCTTTTCAGGCCCTGTAATGTGATAGGAAGGGAGGGGGAGATGCTCCCAGGGTTGGAAAATGCCAGCGCTGCTGGTTTAATCTGGGTGGGGTGGGGAGGGTCTTCTCTCCCTCTCTCCAGCCTTCCAAAGGGGTTTATTATTCCTCTCCCCCACCCCCCACCAAAAAACCCAGGAGAGTACATGGTCAAGGTGCTTTGCCTGGTCCTTTTCAGGTAGACTGCTTCTGACAAGGGAGTTTTGCTGTTGTTCCCTTTCCCTGGAAAGGATTTGCTTGTGCAGAAGTGGGGGGGGAGGCAAGAAATGAAATCTCAACTCTTTTCTAACCTTTAAAATGCTTTAAACATGGCCAGAAGTCCTGGGTGGAAGAACTGGGTGAAAAGCTAAAAGTTTCTGGCTCCAGAAAGTTTAACTTTGGAAAGAGGCAGCTGAAAACAGGGAGGCTTGAGAAGAACTTTTGACCTGAGAGTGAGGGCCTTTCTCTTGGCAGCCCCAAATTTTGGGGAGGGTTACATTGCAACTTCTCCCCCCCCCCCAACCAGTGCAGTTCCCGCAGGGTTGTGGGTTGTGGGTCTCTCCTAGCCCTGAAGCTATTTTGCTACTTTCCAGTTCCCGTTTTTTGTTCAGTTTTGTTGTGGAGATGTGGTGGCAAGGACTCGCCTAGAGCGCAGCCATGGTAAACGCACAAATAGCCAAAAACAACAGGAGTTGTGTGAAAAAAAGTTTTTTCCATTAAAGAAGGAAGTTCCTCCTGGGGTCCAAAATAAGTCTGACCACAAATCAAATGGCTTTGTTTCGTAGAAGGTGTGAATCCCTCCGTCCCTCCCTCCCTCTCTTGTGTCTACATATATTCAGAGTTGTGTAGCTCTCTGATTTTACAATCTGCACCAGCTTTGCCAATCGGGCATCCTAAAAATGCCCGAGACTGCAGCTCCCATCGTGCCCGGCCAGTGTAATTTTTATTTGCTGTGATTTCCAGGTTATTCTTTGGTGGAGGGAAAATTTTTAGCTTCCTCTGATGGGGGAGAGGAATTCAGGAACTCAAATTCCCTATTAATCAATGTCACTGCTTGGGACTTTGCTTGCATGGGGAAGGGAGGGGGAGCTTCATGTGTGTGGGGGGTTAATACATGGATTTGGCACAATCCCACAGTTCCTGCACTGGGGGGTGGTGGTGTAGGTCATTTTTTCAACAGGATCCTGAGAGCTGGGGGCCAAAAGAAGAACGGATGCCCCGCTGGAACCAAAAGTTTTGTCTCCCGCCTCTTCCCTTCCCTAAATAGCCACAGGTGCTTGGGATGAATCCTTTGGGGGGGGGGGCTGATTTAGAAGTGGGAGCCCAGACTGGAAGGAGCCACTTTGAAAGGAAGGGGGGGGACTTGTTTGTCTTCACCTGCGTCCCCTCCAAAAAGAGACGGGGAGGAAGTTCCTGTGTGGCCACCTAGACGCCTGTCCGAATCTCCCTGGGCGGCCAGGCCAAGGGCTGCTCTCATTCCCACGCTTGTCTCTGGGCTGAAATCTTGCAGCTGCAGGACGGCCCATCAAACGGGCGATTCTGACCCAAATTTTGTGGCTGTGTTTATGCGGGACAATCAATTACTCATCTTTTGGCGATCTTTTGGCGGTGTTGTTTTGGTCTCCATGTGCGCCAGCAAAGAATGCTCCCTTCCTTTTCCCTCCCTCCTGCAGCTGTTAAGAGTACGTTTGGTGCCCCCACCCCCACCCCACGGCATTTTGCAGGGGGCCGAGGCTTCCCTCAGAGAAGCAGAGGGGTCACCGTTGCTGGGAGGCTGCAGGGTGTCTTCGCTGGGCCCTCCCCATTCCACTTTGCTCTGGGGAGGCGGGAGGCTTTTTTCCGTGCACGGCTCCGGATTGCTTCACCGCTAAGCAATGTGCTGTTGGGTGGGGGGCTCTGTTCATGTCCAGAGTGGGGGAGTCCTGTGCAAAAGAGGAGACGTGTCTTCCTTTCCTTAGGCCAGCCTGTTCCTTGCAAAAGGTTTTCTTGCAGCCCCCCCCCGTCTCTCTGGAGAGCTTTCTAAGTAGTGGGGGGGAAGGCCTTAGGGTGCCCCACCCCCAGAGGTAATCTCTGCTTTTCAGGTGTTCTCTCAGAAGCTGCCCAGGGGGTGGTTTTAAAGCCAATCTTCCCCTTGGCATCCTTTTGATGCTTTGGAATGCCATTTTGGTGTTAGTGCTGGGGATGATGGGAGCTGTCATCCCAGGGAGCAGGAAGGCGGGAGTAACCTTGTGGGGTTGCCAGAGGATGGGATGAAGCACAAGGGGTGCCAAGCTTGGCCTGGTTCCAAAGTGGCGGAATGGTAAGGTTCCTCCTCCTTCAAAGGTGGAGGGGTGAGGGGCCACAGTTCTCCCCCCCCACCTCCAGAGGGGAGGGTCACATTCCTGGAGGTGACGCTGCTGCCTTCGCTTGCTTCCTCTGCCGGGGTGACGGGCGGTGGGCTTCTTTCGTGGGGAGGTCAGCTGAGCCGGCATCTCCTGATTGACACCCCCCCCCTTCCAGGAGAGCGTGGATGTCCTGCCAGCTCTTGTCCGGCCTCGGAGGGCTTCCCTGGACGAGCGAGAAGCACGACCCGCAGCCGCCCAGAGCTTCCAGATCCCTTGGACCGCAGCTGCAGAGGCCGGGCCAGGTTAAGAATGTGGGGCTGGGGCTCTTTTTCAGTCCTGGGGGGCGGGGGCTGCCTTGACCCTCCCCCACTTCCCACTGAGAGGTTGCAAACAGCCTTGCTGGAAAACAGCCGGGAAACCTCCAAAAAATCTAGTTCCTTTGAAAATGAGCCTGAAATTTTGGAGTGGGGGAGATTTTTAATGCCCAACCCACAGGAGGTTCTTACATATAGGCTGCACGCCCCCCCCCCCCCCAACGCTTAACTACAGACAAGGCTTTCTTGTCACCTCTTCCAAAGCTTCAGGGTTTTGCTGAAATCTCTGTCTGTGTGTGTCTGTGTGTCTTTCTCTTCCTTGTGCAAAGAAGCTGTAAAAGTGTGGAGGGGTGCAGTTTTAAAAGGGAGGTGGGTGGGTGGGAGTGCAGAGCAGAGTGTGGGGTGGGTGGAGGCAAGAGGTCCCCGCTGTAATGCAGCCCCCAAATCTGCAGATAGTCTGTTTTCTGTTGCAATGTCAGCCTCTCTTCCCACCCCCCCTCTCTCATCCAAGCTAAATGGGGAAGGGGCTGGGGGGGGGAGAAGGAGGAAGAGGAGGACAAGAAGAAGGAGAGGAGGAGGAGGAGGAAGGCTCCTCCACTCCTGGTGATCGTGAACCCACGACTGGACTCTGTTTTGGGTTTTTTTTCTGGGGAACATTGCTGGGGTTCCGTTTGATCCTTGGCCTCAGGGAAGGTCCCTCCCCAAATCCTGGAAAGCCACAGCTGGTCAGGATGGAGAATCCAGTTCTGGATCCAGCAACTGCTGAACTTGGCAAAGGGTCACAAATGGACTTCCAGAAACTTTCCAGGATGTCGGAGTTGGCCGACTGGCCAGAGAAGGTCCTGTAGGCCTCCCCATCTTTCTCCGGAGCTGGGTGGACAGTCCAGGAGGCTCTGTCCTTCCATCCCCACCAGTGGCCGGAGTACAATCGGGGCTGCATTTGCACAGATTACCCAGGCCAGCACATTCCAGTGGCCAAAGCCGGATTCCTCAGGGGATCCTTTCCAACTTCTGCCCCCCCTGCGTGTTGCCAGGACTTGTAAGCCATGTGGACTAGGAGTTTGTTTCTCCTTCTACAAAGTGCGCTAAAACTGTGTTTTTCTTTCTTTCTTTCTTTTCCATTTGAAGGCGAGGAGGATTGCTCTTCAGCCTGTGTCATCCCCTCCACCCCTCCTCTCCCCTTCCCAAGGCAAATCCAGCCAGCAACCCATCCTCTGAAAAACCAACTTTGTTGTAACTTGATTTCACGCAGCCACATTCTTCTCCCGTCTTGTTAGGCAGCTTAGTTTGATGAGTTTCTAAAAAAAGGCTTTCGCGATAAATCAGCCTTCCGAGCTTAGATCTGTCTCCTTTCAACCCTAACCCCTTCCTTCATTAATTATTTCAGTTTATTTTAGTTGCTCTCTCCAGTGTGGAGTATTTAGAGACTTAAACGAGGGTCTTTGCAGATGGATTGGTTGTTATTTTTTTTATTTTTTTTAAAATTTGATTTATATGCCGCCCTTCTCCGGAGACTCAGGGCGGCTTACAATGCGTTAAGCAATAGCCTTCATACTTTTGTATATTCATACAAAGTCAGTTTATTGCCCCCACAAACAGGGTCCTCAATTTACCTACCTTAGAAAGGATGGAAGGCTGAGTCAACCTTGAGCCTGGTGAGATTCAAACTTACAGTAATTGCAGACAGCTGGAGTTAAATTACAATGCATTAGTCTGCTGAGCTATCCAGGCTTATTTAGTTTATGGCATACAGAGGTCATCCAATCACTGATGTACAAATATTAATTTAAATGAAGCATCAGCATATTGTGTGTGTGTGTGTGTGTGTGTAGGTATGTGCACAATACAACATACAAGACAAAATATTAACAGAATAACAGAATGTGGAAGGGACCTGGGAGGTCTTCTAGTCCAACCCCTGCTGAAACAGGAAGCTCTAAACCGTTTCAGACAAGTGGCTGTCCAGGCCCTTCTTGAAAACCTCCACAACCTCGGGAGGGAAGTTTATTGTTCTGTCAGGAAAATTAAATTAGGATAAAACCCTAATAAAGGCACGATTATAAGGCGGAGTCGCAATGGCCTAGAGCTTTAGTTGTTCAACAGGGGCTGCTGGGGACGACTGAAGTTTTAAGCCATCGTTTCTCAATCTTGGCAGCGGCAAAATGGGTGGACTTCAAATCCCAGAATTCCCCAGCCAGCAATGCCGCCTCTGACTTCATTGCGTTATTTTCAAGCCATCAAGGCTGGCTAGGGAATTCTGGGAGTTGAAGCCCACCCATCTTAATACTGCCAGGGTTGAGGAACGAATCCCTTGGAAACTAATCAAAGAGAGAAGCAACCAGGAATTAAGGAGAAACTTCCTAGCAGTGAGGACAATTAACCAGTGGAACAGCTGGCCACCAGAATTTGTGAGTGCTCCATCACTGGAGGCTTTTCAGAAGAGACTGGACAGTCGTTTGTCTTAATTATAGGATCTCCTGCCTGAGCAGGGGGTTGGACTACAAGACCTCCACGGTCCCTTCCAGCTCTATTCTGATTCTGACTGAGAAACAGTGGTTAGGAGGCAGATTCGAATCCTGCCAGTCTTCCCTGTGGCGCTTTGAGGGGTGCCCCAGTGGCTGAAGAAACTGCTGGCATCTCCTGCCTGGCCTCCGGGTGACTTTCTCCAGGACGTGCTTAGCTTTCCCTTCTCCTTCCTCCCCAAGTCCCCGGCAGGCCTGACCCTGCTCTGCTCCTCCAGGTTGGCCAAAGCCGGCTGGCTGGAGGCTCCACCAAAGGCAGGCTTTGCAGGTCAGGCGTCCTCCTGGGCCAGCCGGTGCGTGCGAGGAAGAGCGCTGGCACCTCGGCCTGGAGACTCGCCTTGGCCGCCTCACCAGACCCCCCCTCCCCTCCCCTCCCCATCGCCCGGGAGCGGAGGGTGGCGCTGGTTCAGGCGAGGTAGCTTGGCTCGCTGGCCCGGCCGGAGAGGGAATTGCGCCGGCCGAGAGCGCAACCTTGGCGGTTGCCGCTTCCTTTGGTCTCCGCTCGCTTTCCCAGCCGAGCGAGCGCGGCCTTTTCTTGCGGCCTTTCCAAACCGCCCGCCAAGCCAAGGGAGGCTAAATCATTTTTATCAGCATCCTCCTCCCCCTCTGGCTAAGAATGAAGTAAGAGGAGGGGAATGTTACTGTAATTAGCGGAGCCAAGAAGGGAGGGAGGGAGGGAGGGAGATGCTCAGCCACCAACAAGCCTCCAGGCCAGCAGTTGTGTTTGCAACCCGCCGGTTGTTTGTTTTGACTTTTAGCAGCAAGCGAAGCCCCCCCCCACCCCTCTCTCTCTCCCCTGGAGCGGCGCCCGGGCGCTCTGCGCGTTCTCAGAAGCTGCCCTCCCGTTTTGCGGTTGCTACCGCTTCGCCAGCAATTCCAACCGCAGCGGACGGAATCCGAGTTGTGTTGTGTTGTGTTGGCAGCTTGTAAGAGGAAACATCTGTGGATGGAAGCAAAAAGAGGGGCCCAAGCCCTGCTGCGTGTGGGTCGCCAGGTTGGAGAGGCAGAGACCGAGCCTTGGCTTGCCACTTTGGTCCAGGGCTTGGCTGGTCACTCCCTGCCCTGAATGGTGGGCTTCCCCTGCCTGGACTCCCTGCCCAGCTGCTCCCAGATGCTCAGGAGCCTTCCTGACTTGTGGGGTCCCCTGCCTGGGCGGCCCACCGGCTGCCTCGCAAGAGCCAACCCTGATGATGAGGACCAAGGAAAAGGAATAGTGGGCATTTCTTTTACTACTTGAGCAAACCAAGGCAGACTTGGTCCTGCGAATGCAGGCTGTCCGTCTCTCGAAGATGGGCAAAGATGGCCCTGCATCCATCCTCCATCCTCTTGGTCTGGATCCTTCAGCCAGAGAGAGCGAGAGATGCTCTCATCCCTTCAGTTTTACCTTTTTTACACAATCGCTTTGCAATGATTTCCTCTCCAGTCAGAACTTTCATTTCTCCATTTTCCCCCCTTCCTTAATTGCTTTTCCAGGGTCAGCCACCTCGGTTGCTTCAGGTCCTGTCCTTTCCCCAGATCCAATCCGTTCTGCAATGCATTTCTGGATCGGTGTGTGTGTGTGTGCGTCAAAATATTGGCCTTGTGGTGCTGCGTTCCCTGGACTTGGCTACACAGAGGCCAACACTTTGGGGGTTTCCCTCTCCCTGCACCCCTAATTCTCTTGTAAATTCTGGGAGGAAAAAACCTCCCCACTGACTGCACCTGTCAGTCAGGATCCGGGCGGTGGACTGTGAGGGGTTCCTGCGTGGGGTGAGCAGTGGGGCACCAGGGAGGTGGCAGAAGAGGGTCTGGGCCTGAGGGTCATCTCAGGACCCCTTTCCCACCCACCTCCAAGCAAGGGCGCTCTTTGGAAGGCTGCCTCCCGCTCTGGTCTGGGCCGTTGCTGGAAAGAGAAACAAGGAATGTGGCTGGTATATTTGGCCTGGACATCCGATCCTGGGCAACGTAAGAAAACTCTGCATGGTTCCCAGCGGGATAAAAATACCGCCGGACAGATTAGAAAGCGGGCTGGACAAACAAAGGCCTGGGAGGCCAAACTTTGCAGTCGGGCGGCCATGGCAACGCTGGCGAGGTCTCCGGACTGCTCCCTTCGGCTCCGGCCACCGCAGACCCTCCAAACTGCAGTGTTATGTTTTATGACTCTGGTGGGGAAGAAAAGGAAGAGAGTGGAGAACTGAAAGAAAAACTAGAAACTGGTTGCTCTGTGTGCGTGTGGCACTGACTTTTTTTTTTTTTAAGGGTGGAAGGAAAGTTCACTCTCCTGCATTTGAAGGGTCGCTCGGTGCCCGTTCATACAGGGCCATTTATGAATCTGGCTTGTACAAACAAATTATGGCAGGTTTAATTCCCCAGCCTGAGGGGTGGGCAGGCTCGAAGTTTGCACAAAGGGCAGCCGGGTGGGAACTGGGCAAAAGCCGCCAGCCATGAGCCGGGGATTACGGACCGATTTCAAGGGAAGGAGAGTGAGGAATTGACCAACTTTCTGCAGGAGGACATTCAATGGGGGGCGGGTGTCACTTGAAGGAGAGCCCCAGATTGGGGGTCTGGGGTTTTCCGTGCAGAGTGGAGCCCCCCAGGCAGTTCTGGGTTCTTTGAGAAATTTCTTAATTTCCTCTTCGCTTCCTCCTATCTCCGGATGAGTCACGATTCTTTCCTTTCGGAAGGTCAGTGCAAGGTTGAAAGTTGAAGAAAAGTTCAAAAGCTTTAAGAGAAAGACCCCCCCACACACACACACTCCCAATCCATTGGCCAAATTCCCCCCCACCCCCACCCCTCCTTCCCTTTTGGCAGAATCTGTAAGTCAATATTTAAAGCATTTTACAGGTTCCGGATATTGACATTAAGCTCTGCTCTCTCTTTTTACTCCTTCAGCTTTATTGCTCTTGTAGGAGATTGAAAGGTGGTTCCTGAAAGGGGGGGTCCCCTCCCCACCCCTAGAAGAGATGGGCGGGCTGGGCAAACCTTAACGCAAGGAGGCGGCCTCCCCCTTTCCACGCCAAGGCACAGCCAGAGAGGCGATGGGAGCAGCGGACCAAAGCCGCATTGGGAGGTAAGGCTGGGGAGAATATTCGGGGTGCCGAAGGTGGGTTTGGGGGGAGTTTGGGTGGCTCTCAAAACTGTTGGACCTCCTATTCTTCACATGTAAACTTATTGCCCTCATGAGGACTAGAAGCTTGCTTTGTAGCCCTTCACTTTCCCTGGTTGAGAGATTTCGCATCTCTAGGGGAAATTAAGAGGGATGGAAAAATAAATTGGCTTTGATGGATGCATTGTAAAACACGGTCAGTTCATCTCACAACTTTTCCATCGCTAAAAACAGAAATTGGATTTTCTGTACTTCGTCTAACTGGAAAGTTCAGGTAACCACCTCCGTCTCTGGCACGACAGGTAGAGATCCCGATTGATCCCAGACCAGTTTTGTTGTATACGTGATGTACAATGACCATAAAGCTTAGAGGGGTGTTTGTGGGGAGGGCTTACTTAACCTGGCCAGTGGCCAAAGTCCCAGAATCGCTCCCATCCCATCCCATCCCCCCTTGGAAAGAAAGGTGAAGAAAAAAAGGGAGGGGTCTAGGTTTCATTCCAAGGTGGGGGGTCTTGGGATGACAAGTACCTGCCATATTTGGTGGCAATTTTGACACCTCGGTGTTGCAGACTCTGCTGGCGTTACTATCCACCCCACAGGTTGATGCTGTGTCTTTGTATGCATATGTACACACTGTGTGTGTGTGTGTGTGTGTGTGTGTGTGTGTGTGTGTGTTTGTGTGCTTCCTGGGCTCTGAACAGACACCTGCTTGTCACCCTCAAAATGAAGGGTCTCCACGCTTCGCAACCTTAAGACGGGTGGACTTCAACTCCCAGAATTCCCCAGCCAGCCATGCTGGGAGTTGAAGTCCACCCGTCTTAAAGGAGCCACATTTGGAGACCCCTCCTCAAGATGGACTGAAACCCAGCAGGAAGCCCGAGAGAATCTGTTTCAGCAAAGCAGTTGCTGGGGAAAAGGTGCCTCGGCAGAGATATTCCCATCATGCTTTGCTCCTGGAGCATCCTGCAGGCCTAGGGATGCGGCCATGTTGCGTACAGTTTGGCCACCAAGTTCTTCGCCTGGCACAGCTGCCTTTCCCCCCAAAATCCGACGGCTTCCAGCAGCAGCAGCCTTGAAGCATCCAATCCGTCTCTGTTTTTCTTTCTAGGTTTTGCTTGGCTGGCTTCTTGCTGACGTTCTCTCTGGTGGCGCTAAGCCTGGCCTCCAAGAAGGTGAGTCATGGTTGGCCAAGAGGCTTACTCATCCGCTGGCGGAGAAGCCCGGAGGGACCTTGGGAGGTGCGTTTTCCCAGGGAGGAAGCACCGCCTGCCCCGTGTTGTCCATACCGGGAGGCGTCCCCTCGTTTGGGCTCCATCAAAAGGGGGTTCCCTGTGGCCTCTCTCGACTTCATACACCAGCCCTGAAACTCCTTTGCAAAGGAACGAAGAAATCTTTTTTCTCGCCTGAAAGTGCTGGTAGAAGCCTCTGGTGGTCACTTATGTCTAATATCTGTGCTTGAGGACTAGAAACTTGAAGAAATCAATTTGCCGTCCATAGCTCAAAAATTTGGCCCGCTCCAAAGTTCCCCCTCCGCAATCAAATTCTCGCAAGCAAGAACTGCTCAGGGTCATGACAAAAAACATGGGACAGGCCATCCTTGTTTAGTGACAACAATGGGGGGGACGAACAACTCTGTCATTAAGCAGAATGGTCGCGAAGTGAAGGCGCATCTTTGATCTTACTCCTGTCAGCGTTCCAGAAAAAAACCAATTCCAGTTTTACTTTGTAGACCTCGGAAAGTTTAAAAGTGAGGATGCGAAGTTGTTTTTTCGGCACCGTCCTAACTGCGAACGGTCGCAAAACGAAGCAGTGGCTAAACAGGGACTGTTTGCATTAGCTCCATAACGTATTTGGTGAAAATAAATAGGGGAGTTTTGATTAGTGATGGTTTAGGGATTAAAAAGGAGGGGTTAGAGTATGGAAAAGGTCTTGAGGTTTATTTAAAAGTTTTCCCCTTCCGTTTTACTTCTCTGCATTTTTCCGTTTTACTTCTCTGCATACCTTTTTATGCCTCAGAGTTTATTGGACTGAGAAGATGACAAATTTTGGCAGCCACCAAGGAGTTTGCAATTTGGGCTTTATCCTCTGGATTAACTGTATCTTTTAAAGGGCCAAGAAATATTCTTTTTTTTCCCCCACCCCGGTGTACAGGATATTCTACGTATCCTCTGATTCTGACTCTCACCCTTCCTCTTTTAAAGAGGGTTTTCTTTTTAAAACACATCACTCATATCAGGCAGCTAAACGGTACAAGCAAGCCTGACCTTATGCAGTTGAACAACAATTCATAAGGGGAAGGTGGAATTTCCTGCATTGGAAGCCAGCAGAATGAAAAGATTCACTGCCTTCTTACAGGTAGCAGCACCCTTAAAATCCTCACTGGGAAGAAAATCTCTATATAGGCCGTGCCTGGCTCTACATTCCTCCTGCTGGAAAAAAAAACCCTGACTTTTGGTCAGGGGTGGCAAATTGAAGACCTGTGGAAGGCAAGGAAGGAAGGAAGGAAGGAAAAGAAAAAGACAGAGAGAAAGAAAGGAAAGAAAGAGAGAGAGAGAGAGAGAGAGAGAAAAGGAGGGAGATCTGAATGGGAAGGAAAGGAAGGGAGGAATAAGAAGAATTAAAAAGAATTGCCTGGCACCCCATTGAAGCAATGGACTTTTTGTATTTACTGCCCATCAACCCAAAACTTTCCCTGGCTGGACTGCTTAGCAAAATCACCTTCGTTTTATTAATTGTTTCCTTTTATGGCTGAAAAATGTTCCTCTCCTCTTCTTGGTGAGCCTCTGACATCACCGGCCCTCCAGGAACCGGCTGCTGACCCAAAGGCCACCAGCTGGGAAGCCTCCTGGACACCTCGGAGGGGAGGAGCAGGAGGAGGAGGGGAAGGAGAACGGAGGAGGGGAAAGGGGTACCCAGGCCCCCTTGCTAGGACGCTTGCTTGGAAGGGAGAGAGGGAAAACGGCTGGAAAGGCAGAGCGAACGGTTGCAAGCTTTCAACGATCCGATTAAGCCCCTGGGTTTAAAAAGTCCTAAGTTTCTAGCCCTCAAGGCTCAGTAAGGGGGGGAGGGGTGCTGCACCTTGCGAAAGGCGGCTGAGCAGAAATGGTGTTCTTTCGCAAAAACCCGCCATGCAAAATCCCATGCGTGGAATTCCTCCACTGCGGCGTTTTTGTGTACATGATGAAGAAGAAAATACTCATGTCGCAAAGTGGAAGGGTAGACTGCCTTTGAACCTGGGAGTTCAAATTCTTAACTTCCATGTTTCTGGATAAGAGTTACTTTATGTGTAGCCTGCAACTCGGTGAAATTCGTATCTTTTATCAATGGATAAAAAGAGGCTGAAGGAGTAAAGCGGGGAAGTTGCTGAGTTTTGCGGTGTTTTTCGCACGGAGGGGCAAGGCTGAGCCGGGGTTGCCAAATTCCTGCGGATCTTTGTCTTTCCCACAGGTTGCCCCAAGGACTCCTCGGCAGACTTCCGGGGAAGAGGCGGTGGGAAGCAGGGCACCCGGCGTTTGGGGCAGCTGGGGATCGTGGTCCTCTTGCTCGCAGCCCTGCGGCCTGGGGGTCTTGGAACGGACCCGGAGCTGCCAGTCCCCTTATCAGCGGGACCCCTGGGCTGGGAGGACGGATGGGGCCCCACGACCAGCAGTCCCGCAGCAGCAGAGGCCCCGCTTTGGGGAACGGACGCCTCGCCCGTCCGGACGCTGGCCGACTTCCCCTCTGCGCTCGGACAGGAACTCTTGGTCAGCCTCGTCCGTCTACGGGGGAAACCCTCACGGCTCCACCAACCGCCATGTCCGTCAGGAGGCCGGGGCAGCTGCGGACGGAGCCCTGCCCGCCTCCCACTCTGAACCTCCGAGGGACTCCAACCCCTTCTTCGAGGCCACGCGATCTTGGGGAACCCCCCTTGGCCGTGAAGGATTCCCCAGCCAGCCCAGGCCTCAAAGGCCGTCTACAGCGGGGGGCTCCAGGACCCCTGCCCAGAGAGTAATCCCATTGTATAAGCCGGCGAGACAGGGGGGCCGTGAGGGGGGCTCGAACCAGGAAGAGGAGCCTCTAAGAAGCTGGCCTGACGGCAGTCCACTCACCTGGCCAGCGTCTCCGATACCGGACTCCCAGGCAGCCTGGATGTGAGTGTCGGGACCAATTTTGGGAGTGTGTGTGTGTGTGTGTGTGTGTCAACAATCAGGGAGGGGTTTCCCTCACCTCTGGTCACTTGAGAAAGGGGTGCCACTCCCTACACCCCTACACCCCCCAAATCATCACCCACGTCTGACTTAGCTTTCTGGAGGAACCTCCAGGGGAAATGGGGTGTCCCCCCCACCGACCCCAGCCTTCTGTTCCAACATTGTCATCTTGCCCAACGTTGTGCCTTCCAGGTCCCGAGTTCGAGAGACCATCAAGCCTGGCAAATATGGTTATGGCAGGGTGCCCTTCGCCTTGCCTCTCCACAAAGAGCCGGCCGAAGAGGGCACCCCCCGTTTTAAACGGCACCACGGAGAGAAGACCGGGGAGATCCTGCCCTCCGCCGCACCCTCATCTCTCCTTCCTGCAGCCAAAAAGGAGCAGCCCAAATCAGCCCCCACCTCGGACGAAAAGCCTTGGACCCCAGGCAGCATTCAGCCTGGAGCATTCAGCCTGGAGGGCCTGGCAGGAGCCGCCTTCCCCGAGGACCCCAGGACAGCCGTGGGGCTGAACAGCAGACCTTCTGGGGAAGGGGACTCAGCAGCCCCCAGCAGCCCTCCCCAGCAGGGCCCCCCCTCTGTCCCTGCAGAGGAGCCCCTAGGCAACATCCCCGGGGCGCCCCCAAGACCCCAAGAAGACTCTGCCTCCGCCTCTCATGCCAGTGGGAGCAGCGTGGCAGAGGAGGGGGCTTCGGCTCCTGCCGGGGGCTCCTCTTCTCAAAGACCCTCTCCCCCTGGCAACCCCCCACCAAACCCTCAAAAAGACCTGCGCCAGGCCCCCCAAGTCCCCAGGAGCCAAGACCAAGGACCCGGAAGAGGGCCCAACCCACGGGCCACACCGGGGCGCCCCCCCCGACAACCCCCCCGACTCAGCCTGGACCCCCACCTTCCCCCCAGCCGGGCCCGTTCTCGGAACCAGAGGCAGCACCAACCTCGGAGGGGTGGCCGTGGCCCCCAACCCTCACACCACCTCTTTCTGGACCAGCCTGGGCTTCGTGGCCCCACCGAGCCCGACATCTGGCTGCTCCATCGAGGCAGCCCCGTCCCCTTGCACGCTGGGGGGCAGAGACCCCAGGCGGAGCCCCCCCAGTGGAACCTCTACGCCCCCGGCACCGAGACCTTCCACTGCGAGGGCGAGAGCAGGCAGTTCAGAGCCTGCAGGCAACAGGTGAGCCCCAGGTGCCCATGGTGCACAGCCTCGGTCTGTCTCTAGAAAAGCTTCATGGGAACGGAGCTGTGATAGTTTTTCAGGAACAGGACGCAGGGAGACCTCAATTTACAGCCATCCACTCATTTAGTGACCATTTGAGATTACAACGGCACTTGTAAGACTTACGCCGGACTCTCATGCTTCCCCATTGGCTACTTGCCACTGGAATGCATTTATGACCGGGGAGGGTCTCATAAGTGCCATTTACAACCTTCCCAGCCACGTCCAACAAGCAAAGATAATAATAAAAAGAAAAATAAGAAGTTGAAATCTCTCTGCTGAAAGGGTGGCCCTGAGGACTAGTGGCATGAGGTTGGGGGGGGGATTTCTTTCCAAATTCTCCAGGGCTCCACCCTGGGAGGAGATACAGCCAGCTGGAGAACAGGGAGGTTTCTTTGCTTGGTGAACCGTAAATAAATTGAAACGGAAGCAGAAAAATGTACATTCTTTCATTGCACGCTTCTGTGCACCTCGTGGGAAGTGGCTGCTCTTCCAGGATTCTCTTGGCCAGCTTTTGGTGTTGCAGGAGGGGTGAAAGGTCGCCGGGCCTTTGGAGTGGACAGCTGACCCGTCCTTGACCACACTTCCCTGCTCTTTCGGGTGGCGAATCTCCCGAGTGTCCAGTGTTCTGAACAACAACGGGGTTTCCATGTTTGCACAACAGACCCACAATGCCAAATTCCGAAGGCCGGGTGTCAATAGCTTGGAAAAATATTTTGTTCCAGTTCCTGGCAATACGTCAAAGCCAAATGCACAAAAGTCCTTTTTAAATGGGCGTCGGCCACTGTCCCTTCCCAGCCGGGACCTCTTTACACCTGACGGGACTGTTGGGGTGACCGGGGGGGAGGGGGTTTCCCCACTTCAGGGGTAGGTGGGACACTTGCAACCACGCCCAGAGGAGGGAAATTTGCCGGCTAAGCATGGCAGAAGAAGCCGTGCGTGGAAACTTCAACCCGCTCTCGGCTTCCTTCCTCTTCCGCAGCCGTGTCCTCTGGACCGTCCGGACCCCCGAGCTGTCCAGTGCGCTGCTTACAACAACCAGGAGTTCATGGGCCGCTTTTACCAGTGGGAGCCCTTCACGGACGGTGAGTACTTATCCAGATACCTTCTCCATCCTGTCTCTGACCATTGGGCTGGGGAATGGAGGCTCAGATGCAGAAGGTGGCCTTCCTCTTCCCTCCATTGCTTATTCTGGCTTCTGGTGGCAGTGAGTTCCACAAGACGTCTCTCTCTGTACTGTTTTGGAGCTTTAGTTTAGGTGCTGCATCCCAGGAAGGGCCCAAGATGGGTTTTCTCTCTCTCCCCTGGGAGTGGGGCAGGCGGGGAGGGGGGCTAGAGACGAAATCTTACATAGGACCTTAAGCTTATGCAGGAACACATTCCCCACCCGCACCCTTTATAGCAGGAGTGGGGGCCCATGGTCCTTTGATGACTTGAGGGCTTCAGCTCCCAGAATTTCTGAGCCTGGCTGTCTCGGGAATTCTGGGAGTTGTAGTCCACAATCATCAAAGGGCCCTGGGTCCCCCTCTCCCCTTATAGCCCCCCCCTCCTTGTCCAGATCTCAGGGCTGATAATGTAGCTGTGGTGCTGGCGCCCTCTGCTGGCGAGTGCTGGGAATGGCCTTGATTGCTATTGAATATTTCCCAACCAAGGGATTGAGAGAGAGTTTGTGTGTGTGTGTGTGTGTGTGTGTGTGCATAAGATCCTGATTCCCATCTTCCTGGGCATTTCCTAGTGTGGGGCTCCCAGCGCTGTGAGCTGAACTGCCGTCCCCTCGGCTACCGTTTTTACGTCCGTCACACGGAGAAAGTGCAGGACGGCACTCCCTGCGAGGCTTCGTCCCAGGACATCTGTGTGGCCGGGCAGTGCCTCGTGAGTCGCTCGGCTTCCAGGGAAGAAAGACGGGGGTCCCGCTTGCAGAGCAATGCCAGCCGGGCACGGGGTTGGACTAGATGACCTGCAAGATCCCATTCTGGCTCTGTTAATCTGTATCTCCAGAGGGCACTTCTCAGAAGGGCATTTTGGGGAGGGAGGTGAGGGATCCCCCCGCACCAGAGATCCTCAGAGGGATCTATTTCTGGCCCCCACCCCATTCCTCCCTCCCCGTTCATTTGCAGACCCCTGGCTGTGACGGGATCCTGGGATCGAATCGCACCCTGGACAAGTGTGGTGTGTGCGGAGGAGACCAGACCGCCTGCAAACTGGTGTTGGGCAACTACAGCGAGACCAACGTCCCCATCGGCTACCACCGCATCCTGCAGATCCCAGCGGGAGCCACCCAGATCCAAGTCCGGGAAATGTCTCGTAGCCCCAACTATCTGGGTAGGAGCAAGACGGAGGATGCTGTCCACTTACACGGGATGGTTCTCAGACTTTGTCTTGAGGCCACGCGTGGCGCGATCTCTGCCCAGCCTCTGGGATGGGGGCTCCCGGCATTGCCCGGCTGGCTTGGCCAGAAGGAGGGTCTGGGGTCAGCGGGGCTGGGCGTGGAATGACACGAGCCACCTCCTTCCCCCTCCCAGCCCTCCGTACCCAGAACGGCAAATCGATCATCAACGGAAACTGGGCGGTGAATCCTCCCGGGCGCTACGAGGCAGCCGGCACCGTCTTCGTCTACAGTGACCGGGAGGAGGGGGAGCTCCTGACGGCTGACGGACCCACCACCAAGCCCGTAGAATTGTATGTGAGTAGGGGGGGCGCTCCGGATGGCCTGGCTGCTTGAGGGTTTGTGTGGCACCAGGACTTGTTGGGCGGAAAGCGGGCAGAGAGGAGAGGACGGGGTGATTAGGTGCCACCCTCCACTCCTGCAGATGATCTTCCAACAAGACAACCCCGGCGTGTCGTACCAGTTCTTGCTGGCTCAGCCGGAGGATTCCCACCGCAACGCCCGGCGGCCTCAGGAGGGGTTTGGTGAGCAGGTTTTTTTTCGCTTTTCGGGTCCGGGTTCAAGTTTGCCCATTCCCTCCAGCTCCCTCCAGCTCTGCAATTCTTCAAGGGGAAGGTCAGAGGTTGGAACTTAACACAGATAGTACCCAACTTACAACAGTTCGTTTAGTGACCACGGCACTGAAAAAGTGACTTTTCACACTTACGACCAGTGCAGCCTCCCCATGGTCACGTGATCGAAATTCAGAGCCTTGGCAACTGACTCGTGTTTATGACGATTGTGGTGTTCCAGGGTTTTGCGACCTTCTGAGAAACAGGGGGAAAGTTAGATTCACTTAACAACCATGTTACTAACATGGTGATTCGCTTAACAACCGTGGCGAGAAAGTTCGTAAAGTGAGGCAAAACTCACTTAGCTCTCTTGCTTAGCAACAGAAATGTTGGGCTCCATTGTGGTCGTAAGCCACTCTAATGAAACCTCCTCTCTCTTTCCAGGCGCTTCGGCTGCGGTGGAGCCTCCAGCTGCTAGGCCACGCCAGTTGCTTTCGGCCCCCAGACGGAGCCCTGTTTCAGCCCAGCTGCCCCCTCCCTCTGGCTCGTGGGGCAGCCCCCGTCAGGCTCCTCCCCCTCCTGCCCCAGCCAGCCAATCACGGAGGAGCCTGGAGACTCTGCAGCGCAGCGCCCGGGTCCCACCCCTGCCGCCTCCCCCACCCCCTGTCCGGCACCCCTCTGAACCCGGCCAGGACTTTGCCTGGAGGCGGTTCGGCAACACGGAGTGCTCCGCCTCCTGCGGGAAAGGTGAGTCGGGAAGGGCGAAGAAGCCACTGCCCTTTCTGCCAATTCCTAGGGAGGTAGACTGCTGCTGGGCAAGGAGGTTTTCCTTTTGCTCTGAGCCGCGGGGGTCTCTTTTGGAGAATAACCCGGTGATGAAGAGAGGAGGAGGAGAACACTATGGGGACAGTCTATGGTCTTGGCTGGATTTTCCATGGTGCATTTAATTTAAGATTAGCCTGTCCCAAAGTCAGGGCAAAAATAGAACTTGCTGTACTTGTGTCAACCGTGTGGAGAGACAAGGAGCTGCAGAGACCCCCAAATTTTTGCTTTGAGTGTTTTTGAGACCCCTGACCACCCACCCACCCTCAATACTTCCCTCCATGTGACGGTTTGCAGCCCTGGACAGTTTTCCTTTCCTTTCAGGTTTCTGGCAGTCCGTCTACCGCTGCGTCTCTCGCGCTTCCCAGGAGGAAGTCGGGGAAGAAAAATGCTACCAGATCCCCAAACCGCTTGTGCAGGAAGAGATCTGCAATACGGAACCCTGCCCGGCCTTGTAAGCCGCCACTCCTTCCCTCTGGACCCTTAAGGAGGACTCAGTCCAGGGGTGAAATGCTCCCAGTTTGGTCCAGTTTGCCCGAAGCGGTAGTAAAAAGGGCTACTGGTTCGCCAAACCGGTAATAAAATATGTTTAAAAAAAAAGTTCCGATAATCAGCTAAAGCTCCGGAACCGGTAATAAAAATGCTTTAAAAAAGTAAAAAAAAAAAGGCTCCGATGATCACAGCTGTGGCACGCGATCTTGGGAGCCTTTTCTTTACTTTTAAAAGCATTTTTTTACAACCTATTCGCCCAAATAAGTAATAAAAAATGCTTTTAAAAGTAAAGAAAAGGCTCCCAAGATCGTGTGCCACAGCTGATCACACCCTCTCCCCGCGTGCTGTTCTACTTACCCCGTGCCTCCTTTTGGCGTGCACTGCGTGCGCATCTTGCATTTGGTGCATGGTGGGCACTGCATGTGTGCATGCAGCGCTTATTTGGTGCACAGTGCGCAGCCAGCGAACTGGTTCAGATTTCACCACTGACTCAGCCCCCTCCCCCCACCTCGCCTTCTCCCCTGGCTGAGCCCAGCACGAGAGATTGGGGGTGCCGAGGGGGCGTCTTCCTCGCCCTCCAGTGGGCCCAGCAGCAGGGGGGTCTCGGCCAAGAGATCTGCCGAGTGTTTTGGATTGGTGACAATCTGAGTCAGGGTCTTTTGAGCACAACGGTGGGGTCTAGCTTTGCAGCCAACAGAGGATCAGCCTCTGGGGAACTGGAAATGTTTTCACGTCCCTGCGGAGATTTTATCCTTTAGCACAAAGCGGATTACAGCCTGGCTGCAATTTGTGAGCCACGGAATCTGTTCCCAGGGGGGGTGGAAAGCATTTTGTCCTGAATCGTTTTCCCTTTCTGCTTAACACGCTTGGGTGCCCAAGGGAACCAGATTATTAAATATAAATCGTTTTCGAAATGCCTGCGGGACACTGGCAATCATGATTCTGGTATTTTGCAAGCCCCCATTTTGCTCCTCTCTCCTTGTCCGTTTCAGCTGGGATGCCGGTGCGTGGTCAGCCTGCAGCACGTCCTGTGGGCCCGGAACCCAGCACCGCCAGGTCCTTTGCCGGCAGATCTACGCCAACCGCACCACCATGGTGCACCCTCAGCGCTGCGGCCACCTGGAGAAGCCGGACGCCACCCAGGATTGCCAAGTGCACTTCTGCAGCCACTGGCAGGTCCAGTCCAACTGGAGCTCGGTGAGGCAGCCGAGGGAGGGAGGGAGGAAGGGAGGGAGGGAGGGAGAGAGGGAGGAGGGAGGGAGGGAGGGAGAGAGGGAGGGAGGAGGGAGAGGAGGGAGGAAGGGAGGGAGGGAGGAGGAAGGGAGGGAGGGAGGGAGAGAGGGAGGAAGGGAGGGAGGGAGGGAGAGAGGGAGGGAGGGAGGGAGAGAGGGAGGAAGGGAGGGAGGGAGGGAGGAAGGGAGGGAGGGAGGGAGGGAGGGAGGGAGGGAGGGAGGGAGAGAGGGAGGGAGGGAGAGGGAGGGGAGGGAGGGAGGGAGGGAGGGAGGGAGGGAGGGAGGGAAGGAGGGAGGAGGGTGCCGTGGGGTTTGCTGTGCCCAGCCTCAGTCCTGGGCATTTGAGAGGGAGCCCCAGAGAAGGGCACACATGTTTCCCCAGGGAGAAACGTCTCCAGAGCAAGGAGAAAATCTCTACAGGGGGTCCTCGATTTACAACAGTTCGTTAGTGACCGTTTGAAGTTATAACAGCAATGAAAAAAGGGACTTAGGACCATTTTTCACACTTATGACCGTTATGACGGTCGCAGTGTCCAGCAACCTTCTGACAAGCAAAGTCATTGGGGAAGACAGATTCACTCAACAACCCGTGTGACTAATTGAACAGCTGCAGTGCTTCACTTAACAACCGTGGCAAAATGGGACAAAATTCACTTAACAATTTTTTTCACTTAGTGACATACATTGTGGCTGCAAGTTGAGGGCCACCTGTATTTATTTTTCAAGGGCAGGATTCCACTCCCGTGGTCAGCGTGGCCCTTCCTGCCACCCCAGTTTCTAAATACGTCTTTGCATCCCCGTTTCTCTCCCCGACTCCGGTGCAAACTGGACATTAAGTGGATCGCCAGGCTCTGCCTTTGGCCGCAAGAAATGCAAGAACTTTCAGAATTTGGGGGTTGCACCCTTTTTAATGCCGTGGCTTTTGGCCCTTCTGCTCCTTTCCCCCCCCCCCCCCGTTCCAGTGCTCGGTCCTTTGTGGCACAGGCCACCGTACCCGCCACGTGCGTTGTGTCAGTAACCACGGAGAGCTCTTGAGGGAGACCGACTGTCCGGACAACCACCGGCCCCAGAGCAGCGAGCCTTGCAACATGGGCCCTTGTGTGCGGAGCTGGTTTTACAGCGACTGGAGCAACACAGTAAGGAGGACTTTGGGGCAGCCTCGATTCCTTTTTCTCCCCGATTTCCAGACCCTTCCGAAGCTGGTGAGGACATTTGCGTCCTTTTACCCCTTTCGATGCCGCCCTCTCCGTCTTTGCCTCTGCTTGATCCCTGCGGCTGCTGGAAAATTCAGGAAATAACGGACGGAGGCATGAAATTCTTATCATTCTCTTTCAGTGCTCAGCTGACTGTGGTGCCGGCATCCAGCGCCGTTCGGTTGTCTGTCTCTCCAGCAACGCTGATGGGCAGGCGGACGAAGACTGCGCCACTCCGAAGCCAGCCGATATGAGGGCTTGTGACGGAGGGCCGTGCCAACGGGTGACTCGGTGGTACAAGGGCCCGTGGAGCTCGGTAAGGGCGGGCTGAGTTTTCCTGGGTTTCTTCCAGCCTCTCTCGGTCCCCAAACAGCAGGAACCCTGTTGCTGGGGGACATGAAAGCGGCCTCCCAGCATTTGAGGGGCTGCCACAAAGAAGAGGGGGGGGGTGTTCGTTCCAACTTATTCTCCAAAGCACCAAAAGGCAAGACGAGAAACAACGGATGGAAACTAAGCAAGGAGAGAAGCAAGCTGGGATTAAGGAGAAATTTCCTGACAGTGAGGACAACTAGCCAGCGGAACAGCTTGCCACCAGAAGTTTTTAAGAAGAGATTGGACTAGAAGACCTCCAAGGACCCTTCCAGCTCTATTGTGAATGATTGAATTTTTGCAGGCAGGGCTTTTCTCCGCCCCCAGGGACCCCCACTCTTTTCTCCCCCTTGGTGACCCCTGCCCTCTTTCCCCAGTGCTCGGTCGAGTGTGGCCATGGGACCCAGAGACGGGACATCATCTGTGTCAGCAAACAGGGGGTGCAGTTCAGTGTGACCGAGGCCGCAGAGTGCGCCCACTTGGAGAAGCCCCCTGCTCTCCAGCCGTGCGTCGGGACGGACTGCGAGGCCCGCTGGTTTTCCACTGCCTGGAGCACAGTGAGTGGGGGGCAGGCTTTTTTTGGGGGGAGAAACAAAACCTCTTCCATGCCAAGGTACATAAACCCCTCTCCACCCAGACAGCTTTCCCCAGCTCAGGAAAAGCCTCACGGAGCCCCAAGCAGGGGTGAAATGCTACCAGTTCGCACAAACCGGTAGCGGCGGCAGCATGAAGCTCCGCCCACATGCCCGGACATTGTTACTTCCTGGTTTTAACTAGGAAGTAACCTGTTTTTCACCCTCTGCACATGCGCAGGAGGCTTTGTGCATGGGCAGAGGGTTCAAAATCTTAGGTGACGGGTGCGTGCGCACTTCCAAACCGGTAGGGAAGGTAAGTAGATTTCACCCCTGGCCCCAAGCTTTGATTTGTGTTAATATCACTCCAATCCTCAAATAATTAACGAAGGATGCAGAATCGGGGGGGAGGGGACTTTGACCCCCCCCCAATGTTTCCTTTTGCCCCCGCAGTGCTCCAGGTCCTGCATGGGGGGCGTCCAGGCGAGAGAAGTCCAATGTCTGACGCAGAATAAAACCTTGAGCGCCGGCTGCCCCCTCCACCTCAAACCGGCCACCAAGCGCCCTTGCAACAGCCAGCCCTGCCTTCCCTCGCTTGGTAAGACTCCTGCAATCCCCCCACTCCTCCCTCCCCCAAGGAAAGTGGGGAGAGAAAGAGGGCAGAGCAAATAGTGGGGGGGGGCGTCTGTGCTCTTTATAGCCGGTTCGGTATTGAGGGAAAGGGCGAAAGAGACCCCGCCTCCTTTATTTTCCTTCCAACCAAAGGATCCGTGTTTGAATTGTTCTCCTGTCCACTGGGGGAGTGGGCGCCCTCAAGCCTCTCCCCCACCTCTTCTTCTGCCTTTTCCCTCCGGCAGATGTGAGCTGCCGGGACAAGTACCCCAACTGTGCGGTGATTGTGCAAGCTCGGCTGTGCGTGTATTCCTTCTACAAAGCTGCCTGTTGCATTTCCTGCTCACACGACTTGGAAAGGCGGCACGTGGAGGGCCCCAGCCGGTAGCATCGGTGGATTCAGGCCAAGGGGGTCTGCCTCCTGCCCCCTTGCTCGAACGGGGGACAGGACGGAGAAGGGGGAGGCTGGGAAGGGAGCCCCGAGCCTGGGAAAGTGTTGGTTCGCCCCAGGAGGAGAACTCGAACCCCGGACCACGGCTGACCCCCCCCCAGCATGTCTCCCATAAGGAAGCCAGTCTTTTGGGGGGCATAACTTCAGCCCCACAGCAGCAGCCAAGTTTTTGCACTGGTTCCTCTCCAGCCGCAGGGAAGAGTGCAGAGCAATGGAGCACAGATTGGCTCATGGGCCTTGGAAATCCCCCGTGGCTGTGGCCCCTGAAGCTTCAGAGGATTGGAGGCTTCGGGAACCCCTCTCCAACCCTTCCTTCTCCCTGGAAGGCCCATGCCACGAGAGCTCCCCTGGCATGGGCTCTCTCCCACAGGGGCACCCCGTGAGGCCAACACCGGAGGTCTGTTATGTTTTTCCTCCTGGAACACACCAAAGTTCTTTTAAACAAAGATTCAGGAAAAACACACTGAGAAGGGATCCGATCGAGGGTCCATCTCAGGAACCGTTTCCTGAATTTGCAAAATTTAGTCTCTGGGAAGAAACATCTGCAGCTCCAGATGCAGAAACTCTCGGCAGGTTTCGCCGCAGCCTCCCCTTCCCACAACAGGATAAAAAGACAGGGTGGGAGAAAGTGGGTGGGTGGGTTTTGAAATGATTCAGAGTGCCTTTTTCATGCTGCCTTGGAGGGGGGGAAAGTGCTTTTTGGGTTTCTAAACCAGGGGTTTCCAAACTTGGTCACTTTTAAGACTTCTGGACTTCAACTCCCAGAATTCAGCATGGCTGGCTAGGGGATTCTGGGAGTTGAAGTCTGCAAGTCTTAAAGTGGCCCAGTTTGGAGAAACCCCCTCCCCACAAACCAGAAAGGACATAAACAAATGACAGTGTTTATCAAAGGAAAAGTTACACAGAGGATATGTTGTGTTATGTTTGCGTCATCCATGATGGATATTCCCCTCCCTTCCTTTTCTGTGTCTTTTTAGAATGGAAACAGCCCTTTTCCTGCAGTGCAGCTAAATCCAGCAAGTCCTTAAATTTAGAATAGAATAAAATAACTGAGTTGGAAGGGATCTCAGAGGTCTTCTAGTCCAACCCCCTGCTTAGGCAGGAAACCCTACATCACTTCAAACAAATGGTTGTCCAATCGCTTCTTAAAAACCTCCAATATTGGAGCATTCACAATTTCTGGAGGCAAGCAGTTCCGCTGGCTAATTGTTCTAATTGTTAATAAATTGTTCTAAACTGAAGTCAAGAAGTTAAAACTCCCTTTTCAGTCTGATATGCTACAATATAAAAAATGCAGCAGCTGGACTGAAAATCTGGTTATCCTCACCCTGAAAATGAGACGCTAGAGGGGGGGGGATTTTTTGTACCTTCTTGGACCTATAGTGGTCCCCCCTCCCCTTTGTGGCTTTTAAAACCTAAGTAGTAAGATCATAGCAATGGTCCCTACAGAGTTCAGATTATATATATATATATAAATATATATATTTTATATGGAGAGAAATGTCTATGATAAAGCTGAATGTATGCCTATTAGTTTTGTCCACCTGTTCGTCCCCTTCATTTTTTCCCCCTGTCCAAATCTAATTTATTTTTTATTAAAGATTATTTGATTTTAATCTAAGGCGGTTCTTGTCTTCACTTCGGCGGCTTTAAGGAGGGGTCTGCAGGGAGGAAAAGCGCCTGGTGTTGTTTGCTGGGCGCCTTGGATAAAATGGAACTGCCCCAGCCAGGCGCACTCTATCTCAGCCTTCTGGAGCCCCCCGGCCCAATTCGGAGGATGCTCCAGATGCATGGAAGCGAATGGGGGGGGGCTCTTCTTCCCAGCGCCCCCTTTCCAGCTGCGCCCCCAACTATTTTTTTTGGGGGGGGGAGAATTAATTCTTGGGCTATTGCACTTTGAAGCGCATCTTGCATGCGGGCCCAGCGAGGCCGTCCCCGGGGGCTGCGTGGGCGCAGGGAGCAAAGGGCGCCTTTCCACGCGAGCGCAGACAGACACGCGCGAGGCTCCCCAGCCCGGAGGCGGAGAAGGCTGAGCCCCTTCGCTCCCGCGCTTGCGCACAAACGCCGCTCCCTCTCTCCACTCCCGGGAGTGGGGGGGGTTGAGAGCTTCCGCGCATGCGCTCTGCTTGGTCCTCCCGTTCAGGCACCGCCGCGGCCACCCCTCCGCCGCCTCTTCGCGCGGGGCCTCGCAGGACTCGGTGGGGGGGCGACGAGCGGGACCCCCGAAGGAAGCGGAGCCCCCCCCCCTCTCTCGGCCCCCATCGCCCCCTTGGCCCCGCCCCGCCCTTTCCCCGCGAAGGACCCTCAGGCGCCGCGCGGGCAGCCCCGGCTGGGCCCGGCAGAGGCGGCGGCGGCGGCGGCGCGGTGAGTGCGGCGGGGGGCGATGGGCTTTGGAGTCCGCCCGCCGGGGCGCCTGGTTCCTCCGGGGCAGAGGGGGAGGGGGCGTCGCCCTCCCTAAAACCTCGGGGGGGGGGCAGGCAGGCGCGTCCCTGCAGGGCGGGGGGGAGGGGTGGCGTTTGGTAGGGGATGATGGGGGTTGTAGTCCCGCCAGCTGGAGTCCCTGCTGGGGTCTTTGGGCCCCTCCCGCCCTTCTCTGCTCCCCCCCCCCAAAGACCCTGCAAAGGGGGTGGGGGCACCTGGAGCGGATACGCCCCCCCCACTTTCTGCAAAGCCCCCCCTCCCCCCCTTTCCCTCCCCCTCTCCCCCCTCCGACTAGAAGCCTTTGCCCCTCCCCCCCAAAGTCTCCCCCTCCCCTCCCCTCCCTTTGGCCGCTTCTCCCCCCCCCTCGGGACCCCCCCCGGGACCCCAGGGTTGCAGGCGCTGGGTGGGGGGTGGGGGGGGTGGCGGCTCCTGCAGGGTCTGTTGCAAAAGCGCTGCGGGCGGAAGAGGCGCCGCTTCCTCCCCTGCAAGAGCTGCCCTGCTCGGCCACCCGCAAGCCCATCAGCCGCTTCCTGGCTTCCCCGGGGCGCCCGGAGCGATGCGCAGGTGACCGGTTGGACGCCTGGACTTCCGCTCCCAGAATCCCCCAGCCTGCGCAGCATGGGCTCTGGAGTCCTCCCGCTGGGAAGCCTGGTCCCCTAGTTCTGGGGGTGGGGTCTCCCCCCCTCCTTGGGGTCTTGCAGGCAGAGGTCCGTCCCTGCAAGGGGGGGGGGAGATTGGGGCAGGACGGGGAATCCTGGGAATTGAATCCCGGGGGCCAAAGCTGAGCAACCTTGGGGCTGTTCCTTTTGAGGGGCTGCTCTGGAGACCCCCGTGGTGGTGGCGGCTGTCATTCCCATCAGCGTCCTCGTTTCTGCCAGTATTTTGCATGAACGCCGGGACGTCCGTGAGATTCGGCGTCTTGAGTTTTGCCGCAAAGCAAGTTTGGGGAGTGTGTTTAAAGCAGCCTTAATTATAATCCCGGCTTTTATAAAGGTGCAAATTGGCTTCTTGGGGGTGGAGGCAGCCTCTCGGATGCTGCCCGGCCAGACAGGTGCGGGGAGCCAGTTGGCCAGGTGAGCGAGCGGCTGGATCCCAAAGGGATCCCCCACTCAAAAGGGAGCTTGCGTCTCCTCGATGGTGTCCGCTGTGAACATCCTCCCGGGTTTTTCATCTGGAAGCGTGGAATCGGGTTGTGCGAATGGGCGCCGGCTTGGATTTGGCTCTGGAAGCCACCAGCTGCTTTGCCAAAGGGAAGCAGAAAGGAGGGGGGGGGTCCCTTTGCAAGTTGCGTGCGCCAAATGTCCTTCCAGGATTTTTGCTTTTCAAGAGGGATCTCCAGTTACAGGGCGCCTGCCAAAAATCAGTGGAAGGAGGGGTGGGACTGGGGCTGAGGCTGAGTTCCAAGCAGCTGAGCGACCACCCGAGACCCCCGTTTTTCTCCTGATGAGCCTCTCCTTTTCTCCTCTCCCCGACAGCTGGGAAGAGTCATCGGGCCGAATCCCTTGGCGAGTCCTCCTCTGAAGATGGCCGACTCAACCGGTGCTGTGGAGGCGCATCTGAACCGGGCAGCAGGGCCCAGAAGATAGAAATGAAACAGGCAAGTGACGGCTTTACTGCCTCTCTTGGATGCGTCCTTCTTAAAATAGTGAATTAAGTTTAAAGTTGACGGCCTCCCCGAGTGGCAGCCAGCAGGAATTTCCACTTTGGCCTGGCTTGGGCATCATCCCTTCCACTGGGCTTTCCAGCATGTCAGCTGAGTTTGTGGCCATGAATTGTGGTTTGCGAGCCGCAGAGGCTGCGTTTGCACAACCAGCTCAGCTGAGAGCAAAGAGCAGGGCGGAGAAGCCCAGCGGTTGCTATGCACCCGGGATGAGCCAGGGTGGCTATTTCAGACAGGTGGGGTGCAGAGGGAATGCCCCTCCCCCACAACCTGTGGTGTGCCCAGCCAAGTGGTTTTCCCACACGCGTGTCTGTGGGTGACACACGGGCTGGCAGAGGCCCTGGGAGAATCTGAGCCGGTGTGACTCAGCAACCGCACAGCCTGTTTGGACTCGCCTTTTTCTGCCTGGTAAAGAGAAGGCAGCTTCCCCCTTCCTTCCTTCCGAGCGGCTGAGGGTTCAGCTGCCCCTCCCAAGGAGAGGGGTGAAGAGCCGTGGCTTGGATCCTTCCTTTAATGGGTGCCAGGATGTGGTGCATCTCCTGTGGTGTGAGACTGAGCAACCGCCTGATCTCGGCCACACCTGGGATCTGGTCCAGAAGATCCCTGGGGAGGAATTGGATGGAGCAGAAGTTCAGCTGGGTGCGAATCTAGCCTTGGACCCATCTTGCCCAGCTGGGGTGGGGATTGTGGAAGGCTGCGCTTCCGATTCCGTGCTCTGTAGCCTCAGTGAGTCGGGGGCCCAGGCCAAGTCAGGAAAACACTTTCAACCTAGGCTGTTCTCACAGAGGAGAGGACCTCCGTCTTCTGCCCTACCTGGGCAGGCTGGCATCCGCTGGGCACGGGGCCTCCTTTGGAGTGGCACCTTCTCCTTGGAATTGCTAATTTGGGAGGAAGAGGCCGCAACCAAGAGGTGGAGTAGGGAACCAAAAGGAAGAAGAAAGAGGCAAACCATGAGGGCTAGAAACCTGAGGTGGATGCACAGGGGAAGTAAGAGGGCAGAAGAAGGATGCACCTTGAGGATGACGAGGATGATGGTTGTAGGACTGTGAGCAAGTTTGTTTTATGCGGCTGTTTGTTGTTCAAAGAGAAAGTGTGTTTGTTTCGTTTTCCACCAACTGCATTGTTAATCTGAGCTACAGCCCTGATCCTCTCTTTACCCCCCCCACCGCCCCTCCCAAATCCCCAAACCAGCCCTTGAAATGAGGGTTTGACACGGAGCAAGGGACCCTTCGCGCATGGTGGGCGCAACTTGAGGATGGCTGTACGCTTGGTCTTTTTGGGGAGGTGGGGGGGGCGAAGGGCGTACGTGAAATCCGCCAAGTGCTGAGCACGGGGAAAAGGCAGGCCCCGTAATGGGAACCAGATGTCTGCAGATGTGTGAGCGAGGGGGGCGCCTGCGTAGGCTGACAGCCTTCCCTGCAACGTGTGATGAACTTGGGAGAGGAGCTCGCGGGTTAAAAAGAAAAAAAGGCTGGAGGTGCATGACATTTTTACTTGGGGTGGAGTGGAACCTCTCTGTTTGGGGGCACTCTACCTGTAAGCAGGGTGGAGAGAGAGCATCGGGTGTGCAGGACTGGACTTGGACTCGGCCAATCGATCGTCCCACCCAGATGGAAATTCTGCTGGACCTGCAGCTGCTGAGCTCCGGTTTCTTTGGGCCGTTTGTTTATGACATTCCTTTGGGGGAGGGGGGCACCCTGGGTGGGGTGGGGGGACCAGAGGGGCCCCGCCCCTGACTTGCATCTCAGCCCTAAGAGACTCACCTTTGGAAAAAAGGCACCTGCATTTTGGATGGTGGGAAAGGACCTCAGTTGGCGGATCGGTTTTGGGGGGGGGGGACCGGACGGCAGCTTTAGAAACTTGCAAAAAAAAAAAAAAAATTCCCCAGTGGATGAAATAGATTTTCCCTTTTGTTAGAAACCCCACGTCTTTCTCTTTCCTTCCCTCGGTGTGTGCGTGTGTGTCCGGAGGCAGAATCACTGGAGAGAAGAGCCGCTTGCTTTGCGTAGAAAGGAGCCAGCCGATAAGCCGGGAATTTGCTGCGGACTCAACTTTGCCCTCCGATTAGCGGGGAGGCCTGTAATTTCCGACCGACCTTGTGATCCGCCAGCCAGCCGGCCCGCTTGGGCTTGGCAGGAGGGGCTCCTTTCAGCGAAGAGCGGGATGAGAGGCGGCCAGTGGGGCTTAATCCCAGGACGGGAGCCGTGGCAGGCGAGGGTCTCGGAGGGACTAAGCCAGGTTGGCTCTGGTTGGATCCAAAGGCTTTCTTCCGTAGGGCTCCTGCACCTCAGCGGAGGGTGTGGGCCTGCCTTGGGGTTGGCCCAGTTTGGGGTCTTGGCAAAGGCTCAGAGGAGGCTCCTCGGATGCGCTTAAGAGGATGATGCTTTAATCACTTTAAATAGAGCATCTATTTTAACTGATGAGCTTTGCTTCGTTGCAGTGCAGCTCTGACCCGTCTTTCCAATGCAGAAGCCCCCTCCTCTTGGAGAGGGTCCCCAGGGGAGCCTGCTTGGGTGAAGGTCCCTGTTTTTGGCAGAGTCCCCGGCAGTGAAGTCCTTCGCCCCTCCATCTCCCACCCTTTCTGGATCTTGGAGAATCCTTTCTCTGTTTGTAAAGTCCTGCCAAATTCCGTCCTTTGTAATTGTCCTCCTGCCATTGTTTCTGAAATTGTCCTTCCTTCCTATCCTCCTTTCTTCCTTCCTTCCTTCCTTCCTTCCTTCCTTCCTTCCTTCCTTCCTTCCTTCCTTCCTTCCTTCCTTCTTCCTTCTTTCCTTCCTTCTTCTCATTCACTTCCTGCCTGCCTGCCTGCCCCACTTCAAGTGTTTTCTGGCTTCTAATTGGGAGCCAGTTTGGGTGGAAAAAGGAACCTCTTTTTGGGCTTCAGCTCTGGCCCGGAGACCTGCCCTCTGGTGCTCTCAGGCCCCATTAAGACCTGGCCTTAAGAGCTGAGTCTGTCCCAGGCCAGGATGGAGATTTTGGTTCATTTATATTTTCTGAGCGAATGTGAATTTGCTTTCTAGGAGGGCGTCTCCAACCGTGGCCACTTTAAGACTTGTGGACTTCAACTCCCAGAATTCCTCAGCCTGCAGGTCTTGAAGCCCACAAAGTGGCCACAGTTGGAGAGAACTTTTGGTCCCCAAGAGGAGTTAAGATTTCTTCTAGATGGCCCAGCAGTGGCGTTTTGCCATTCTTTCTTCGAAAAATGATCAGGGTGAAGTTACAAAGTCAGCTGCTGCCTGGTTGTCCTGAGAAAAATCAGGAAATCCGGCGATCCCTCCTAACTCTGGGTGGCAAAAGTGGATTTTGGTCTTTGTTTGAAGCCCTTAAAAAAAGAGGAACCTTCTCCTGTTTTCCAGCTGTGAAAGAGGACAGGCCCACCGTGGACATGAGTCACTCTGCCGCAGACCCCCCTCCGGGAGAGGAGATGCCAGCGGAGACCTCGGCCACCGTGTCCCCCCAGGGAGACGGTGGTGGGCCGGCCCTCGGGGTCATCACAGAAGGGCTGGGCGAGCTGGCCGTGATCGACCCCGAGGTGGCCAAGAAGGCCTGCGAGGAAGTTCTGGAGAAGGTCAAGTCGATGCACTGCGTCTCGCCGGACGGGTCCATCCGGGCCAAGGACAGGAAGGGAGGGAGCCGCTGGCCGGGGCTGAACGGCGAGTGCTGCGAGATCAAGTGTCTGGACGACCCCCCCGAGAAGATCTGGGAGGAGGACGAGCACCCCCCGAACTCTGTGAAGGGCGTCCGTCGGCGCCAGAAAAACAACTCGGCCAAGCAGTCGTGGCTCCTGCGGCTCTTCGAGTCCAAGCTCTTCGACATCTCCATGGCCATCTCGTACCTCTACAACTCCAAGGAGCCCGGCGTGCAGGCCTACATCGGGAACCGCCTCTTCTGCTTCCGCCACGAGGAGGTGGACTTCTACCTGCCGCAGCTGCTCAACATGTACATCCACATGGACGAGGACGTGGGCGACGCCATCAAGCCCTACATCGTGCACCGCTGCCGGCAGAGCATCAACTTCTCCCTCCAGTGCGCCCTCCTGCTGGGCGCCTACTCCTCCGACATGCACATCTCCACCCAGCGCCACTCGCGCGGCACCAAGCTGCGCAAGCTCATCCTGTCCGACGAGCTCAAGCCGGCCGCCCGGAAGAGGGAGCTGCCCCCCCTGGTGCCGGCCCCCGAGGCCGGGCTCTCCCCCACCAAGCGGACTCACCAGCGCTCCAAGTCGGACGCCACCGTCAGCATCAGCCTGGGCAGCAACCTCAAGCGCACCGCCAGCAACCCCAAGGTGGAGAGCGAGGACGAGGTAATGCCCTCCGGGCCCGGCTCGGCTTCCTTCTCGGGCGGGGGTGTGGGTGGGGGGATGGGGTGTGGGGGCCCTTCCCTCGTCTTCGGGATGCTGATGGGGATTTGTGGTGGGAATCGGTCATGGTGGCTGTGGGTCGCTGGTGGAACCTGCCCAGGTCCACTGCTGTGTGTGGACCCCCATTTCTTGCCTTTCCTGCTTCGGTAGGGCCTGGTTCCTCCCGAGAGTCATTTGTGTGCGTGGGGGCTCAGGCTTGGCGGAGAGGGTGTGCTTGCACCAGTCCGAAGGGAAGCTGTGGGTCCGTCTTCTCTTGACTTCCTTTGTGTCCACAGTCCCCCATTAAACTGGACGCTGCGGTGTGTTTCCTTGTTGCTGTCGCAGTCTGGAAGGAGAATCCTGCCCCCTCTGTCGTTTCCTTGTGGGTCCCAGCAGAAAGCAGGGTCACCTTAGAGGGGAGATTCAAGGACAGTGTAAAAACCGAACACATAAATGAAAATAATAAGATAAACATTTGCCAGCTGGGGAGTGCTGGTGCCCCAAAGCCAGTGGGGGTATTTCCGTGGGGCCTGGAGCGTCCCTCTGGCCTTGGGGGCCCTCCGTGTAACCGGGGAGCTGACTTGCTTTCTGGGTCCCTCGTGAGAGCCGGAGAAACGGCCCCGGGTGGAACTTCAGGTGAATATTTGATGCCAGGGATCAGCGTCTCCCCAGAGGGGAGCTTGGGGGGTGGGTGGGGGAGAGGGCCTTCCTGGGGAGAGGAAGGAGGAGGAGAAGGAAGAAGAGGAGGTTGGGCAGCCATTTGCCTGAGATGGTCTGTGAACTCCTGCTTGTGCAGTGGGGTGGACTAGATGACCTCCACGGTCCCTTCCAACTCTGTTAAGGGGAAACCTCTGAATTGGTCGTCTTCTAGCTGGTTTCTGGAAACCAATTTTTTTTAAAGTGTCGTCCCTCCCTCCCTCCCTCCCTCCTTCTGATACCCAGGCCTCCAGTCCTGCCTGCCTCACAACAGCCCTGTAAGGCAGGCTAGGCTGAGCCACCAGCGGTCGGGACAGGCTTTGCTGCCTAACGCCAAGCGGGGACCCCCTCGAGCCCCGTTTTCTTCCCCCTGCAAGACTGCTGGTCACGCCGGAGCCGCCGAGGGCTCAGTCTCCTGATGCACACGCCAGTCTTCAGCTGGCTCTCCGTGCCCCCCCCCCTCCGCGCCCTCCCTGTTGAACTCCCAGCCAGTTCATTGTTGGGCCGAGCACAATGGGCCGCTAGAGAGCCGGAGGCCGGGAGGCTGCTGGGTGCCAACTGGGAACCGGCGTGCCTGTTCATGATGGACACCAGCTCCATTCAGCCCAGGCCGCCTTGGCACCCCCTCCCGGGGCCTGGCCACCGTGCCCGCCTGCTGCTGCTGCTGCTGCTGCTGTCCAGCCACTTCAGGGCTCGGTCCGGCCCAGAGTCTCTGTCCGGGGGACCCCAAAGGCCTTTTCGCTTGACTTAAGGCCCTCGCCACTTTCCGTAGCCTTAAACTGGCTGGATGGATCCTCTTCTCTCTCTCTCTCTCTCTCTCTCTCTCTCTCTCTCTCTCTCTCTCTCTCCCTTCTGATAACCAGAACAACCCTGTAAGGTAGGCTAGGCCGAGAGGCAGACGCTCGTTTCATTGGAACGATGTCTCAGAATCTGATCCAAGGGTTGCTTTTTTTTTTTAAATTTGATTTATATGCCACCCTTCTCCGGAGACTCAGGGCGGCTTACAATGCGCTAAGCAATAGCCTTCATCCTTTTGTATATTTATACAAAGTCAGCTTATTGCCCCCACAACTGGGTCCTCAATTTACCCACCTTAGAAAGGATGGAAGGCTGAGTCAACCTTGAGCCTGGTGAGATTCGAACTTACAGTAATTGCAGACAGCTGGAGTTAAATTACAATGCATTAGTCTGCTGAGCAATCCAGGCTCCTTTGGTCCTCCTTGCCCTTTGGGGAGCCCCCAAGCAGCAGGAGGATGCCCCCCCCCCCCATCGAAGCCACACCTTTTCCACTCCTGGGACGAAATGTGCCCGGCGTCTCCCCTGTTCACACCCACAGGTAACCTTTGGCAGCCGAAAACGTGTTGCTGGCAGGGGCGGCCGAGGGACGGCAGGGCACGGCGGAGGCTGAGTCAGAGGGAGCCGCGTGGGGCGGGAGGGCCTCTGCCCCACGGCAGCCACTTCCTGTTTGCTTGGAGGGCAGCGGCGGCGTCTGTCCTCGAGGGATGGGTGAGAGGTCAGCCTCAGGAGGGCAGCGTTGGCATGGGGCTGAGTCAGCTCGGGATGATGGGGTTTGGAATCCTGCCCCTCCGGCAGTTGGCAGAGCGAAGAAGGCTGGAAGGTTAGGTGGTTTTCCTGAGAGAATAAGACGTAAATAGTAAAAAAAAAGTCAAAGAGAAAATAAGAATTTAAAAACATGGATTGTCTCTACCTTCCTTCCTTCCTTTCTTCCCTATTCCTTCCTCTCTCCCTCCTCTGCCTATTTCTTCCCTTTCTCCCTCCCTCCATTTCTTATTTTCCTTCCTTCCTTCTTTCCTCCCTCCTTCCTATCCTCTCTATTCCTTCCTCCCTCCCTTCTCCCTCCCTCCCTTCGTATCTTCCTTCCTTCCTTTCTTCTTTCCTTTCCTTCCTTCCTTCCTTCCTTCCTTCCTTCTTCCTTCCTTCCTTCCTTCCTTCCTTCCTTCTTCCTTCTTTTAAAGTATTCTTCATTTTGATAAGTTTGCTGGAGTCTGACACCTCTGGGTTGGGGTCAGGTCTGAGTCACTGGAGGGGAAGCCCCCACCACCTCTGGGAGGGGAGTCTGGAGGCACCTGGAGAGCCCCCCCCCAAGAGCCTGAGGTGGGGCAGAGTCCAGAGGGCTGTTTTTAGTTCCTCACTTCCCTCACCTGTCAAGTTGCAGCTCAACCGAAAACGTGGCACTTTGGAGGAAGTGTTGCAACTGCTTCCCGCAAGGCCCCCATTGCTCCTGCTCCTGGTGGGGAAAGTGGGAGGGGGGATGGAGGGGGGGGCTGCGACTTTCCTTCCTGGGACTTTTTCAGCCAAGGTTGCAGTGGGCGAGGGGGGGGTTGACTTAGATGCTGCTTCCCAAAGGCCTCTCGGTACCCCCTGCCCCCCCTCCCCCCGTGGATCTCCTGGTGGTCCCTCACTCAAAGCTTACTTTGTTTAAGGCCAACCAAGACCCCCCGCAGGCACTCCTCCTCCCTCCTCCTGGCGTTTTGCATCTCTCCCCCCCTTGGGCCCCACATCTGCCCCACGGCTCCCAAGCCCCCCCCCCTTGCTTCTTCCCTGCTTCTCCCCAACAGAGGGCCATGAAGATTGCAGAAGAGCCCCTAACCTAACTTGAGATCTGGCCCTCCATCAGAGCTGGTGGAGCTTCCCTGTCCAGGGGCAGTCTAGCTTTTTATAGGCCCCAGAGAGGCTGCCGTTCCCTGGCAGGTCCCCAACTCTAAGGGAGCAATCCCCGTTTCTTCGGTTGGGGTGGGGGGGGGGCCAGGATGGGGGTGGGAGGCACGTATGAAGAGCTGATTTTTTTAAATACTCACCTTTTCTCTCCTCAACTTTCCTCCCCCCCACCCCTCCTCCCTCCCCCCCGGAAATTCATCCCCCCCTCCCCCCCTCTCATTCATTTCCCAGGGACTGTCATCGAGCTCCGAAAGTCTCGATAGATCATTTTGTTCCGTAAGTGCCCCCCGCCCCACTCAACCCGGGTGCCTGCCTCTTTCCTGTCTTCCCCTCTCTCCCCCCCCTTGTGACCCCACTCAGCCCCCCTTCCTCCTCCCCCCAGCAGCATTTCCTCTCTCGTGACCGTCCTGATTAGCCTTGGCATCACAAGGTCTCCCCCCCCCCACACACACTCCTCCTCCTCCCCCCCCCTTTGCAAGTGAGATCCTGCACTGCTGGGGTGGAGCATTGGGGGCTGTGCCTCTCTCATCTTCCAGCCGCCCACCCCACCCCCACACTTGAAAAAAACACGCCACCGTCATGTGCATGCCAGGATCTTAAGAGCGGTAAATTCTGCATGGCCAAAGCACATCTGACCGCTTTCTCCAAAACGCCTCAGCTGCTTCTGCCACAGCCAACCCCCGAAAGGCTTTTAAGGGGTGGAGGGACCCCCCCCCCCCCAGCACTTCACATTGGAAGTTACAATGAAGAAAGGGACTTAATGACCGGTCTTCAGACATACAACCCTCGCAGTGCCCCCGTAATTCCCCCTGCGTGATCTTCCTTATCTTGCAAAGTTCCAAAAGTTTGCAAAAGTTTCCTCCGTTCCCACGACCGACCTGCCTTGGAGGCTGCAGAAGCTCCGTAACTCCGTCCGGGAAAAAAGAGGAAATGCTGTTTTTGGGGGCCCGAGATTCGTTTTGATTTAGCATGTCCTGGGTCTGGTGCGAATGTTCGGCTCTTCCTTTGCTGCCTCAGATTAAGAATTGGGTTTTGCTTTTTTTTTTTTTTTCTTTCTGCTGAAATTTTGCTCGTGCCAATCAAGATTTGATTTTCCTTCTGCAAACCTCTACTTTCCCCCTTCCGTCATGAGATGGGTCGCAGGGCGAGACTGGTAAACGGGGAGAAAAATCAATGGGGGGCTTGGCAAGGGGTTTCAGCCACAATCCTGACCCCCACCCCCAAATCAGCAGCTTCTCCTTGTGCGTAAAATTAGTTCTCGTCCTTTCCCGGGTGGCCGTCAGGTTGTTGCTCATATAAATCAATGTTAATAAACTGCTTGGATGGGAGTGGGAGGTTTTATGAGGAGGGGGGAGGTTTGGAGAGCTGCCCCTGATTTTTGGCATAGCTCTCCTAGGCTCCACAGTTTTTGTCGCTCCCCACCTTCTGGGTAGCCTCGTCCAGCCTCACCCTTTCCCCGAGCTTCTTGCGGTCAGGAGGGACAAATGTGGCAGCTGCCCCAGGGCCTCAGTCTGCCAGGGCCCATCAGAGATGCCCCAGGGGGTCCCTGGGCCTGGCCAGGTGTTGGTGGCAGGGAACCGAAAGGCAGAAGCCCAGGTTGCTCTCCTGGTCACCGAGTGGGCTTTCCCACGCTCAGCGCTGCCCCCACCTGGCCAAAAGTCTGAAGCAAAGCCCTACGTTGGCTTAGAGGTCAAGGAGAGGGCGCCCCCCTTTTGGGGGCTGGGCAGCTCCACCCAGGTGGGACTTCGATTTATGCCCGTGGTTGGCTTTGTTCGAGGAGGGATGCTGATACGTCACCCCATGTCTCAGTGGGAGAGAAAATGGAGGGACCTGCAGGGAAAAGGCACGGGTGGAGGGTGCGAATCCTCCCCCGGGGCGCAGGGCTGGGCTTGAGCCTCCCTGTTCCCATCCTGCAGACACACGTTGAGCGCAAGGGTCAGCTTAGCCTTTAGCCCAACACCCCCCTTGCGCTCTTTCTCCTCCTGCTTGAGAGTCGTTCTACAAGCCCCCCCCCCTCAAGTCTGGGCTTCCGGCTGGGGGGCTCAGCTCAGAGTTCATTGCAAAGGTGGGGGGGGGTTCACTCTGCTTCTCCCCACAGCCAGAGATGGTGGCTGAGCCTTTGGCCGAGCTGGTCGGCTCCTGCAGCGCATCCGGAACGCAGAGAGAGGGGATTCCCCCATCCCCCCTCTCTGCAGAATAAGACCTCCAGCTGAAAGGGTCTCGGCAGCCCTGGACCTCCAGGCGGGAGCTCTTTGCAGGCTCTTCACCTTCTCTCTTTTCTCTCTGCCCCCCCCAACGCCCCACGCAGCCCGTCCGCCTGGCCCCCGAGCGGGAATTCATCAAGTCGCTGATGGCCATCGGGAAGCGGCTGACCACGCTGCCCACCAAGGAGCAGAAGACGCAGAGGCTGATCTCCGAGCTCTCCCTGCTCAACCACAAGCTGCCCGCCCGCGTCTGGCTGCCCACCGCCGGCTTTGACCACCACGTGGTGCGGGTGCCCCACACCCAGGCGGTGGTCCTGAACTCCAAGGACAAGGTGAGGCGGGGCCGGCGGGGCCGTGGAGGGAGAGGGACGAGGGCCAAGGGAAGCCCCGGAGGCTCCAGGGGCTACGCGGGACTCAGCTTTAGGACCACAGTGGGGGCCGGGATTTTTGTGGCTGAGTGGGGCGGTCGTTAAATTGAAACCTGCCCAATTCGGGAACCTATTTTGCCATAGTAAAGAAATCCCTGCAGCCGTTAAGTGGATCATTTGGTCGTTAAACAAATCTGGCTTCCCCCAGTGACTTGGATGGCGATGGTGGGACACTCGGCAACTGCTGCAAAGGGGGGGGGGCTGTCGCCAAAGGCCCCGATGTTGCTCCCACATCTGTGGGGGTGTCACAACAGTTGTAAGTCCGAGGAGTGGTTGTTAAGTTGAGGGCTGCCTGTACATGCCCCCCAAAGTGTCAACGTAGGCCAGGACACCCCATTTCCATGCAGTGGGGTGTCCCGGAAGAGCAGAGCATTCATCCAGAGACCGACGCCCCTCTCCACACACACAACACACACACAAACCCCTTCCCTCCCCCCCCCCCCCCCCCGCAGGCTCCCTACCTGATCTACGTGGAAGTACTTGAGTGCGAAAACTTCGACACCACGAACGTCCCGGCCCGGATCCCCGAGAACCGGATCCGCAGCACCCGCTCGGTGGAGAACCTGCCCGAGTGCGGCATCACATACGAGCAGCGCGCCAGCAGCTTCACCACCGTGCCCAACTACGACAACGACGACGAGGCCTGGTCTGTGGACGACATTGGGGAGCTGCAGGTGGAGGTGAGCGGCCGGGGCTGGAAGGGGGGCCAGGAGTGGAGGGACGGAGAGGCAGCTGGAAGGAGGGGAGTCGGTCGGAGGGACGGTGCTTGGCTCCTATCCCGGACCGTCCCCCTCGGGCACTCAGGCCCTGCTTCCTCTGCCCTCCAGCTGCCCGAGCTACACACCAGCAGCTGCGACAACATCTCGCAATTCTCGGTGGACAGCATCACCAGCCAGGAGAGCAAGGAGCCGGTTTTCATCGCTGCGGGAGACATCAGGTGAAGAGCGTGGGCATCAGCCGCCTTCGGCCCTGGCCAGGTGGCACATTGAGGGCAGGAATAAGACAGGGAGGCCCCCTTTGGCTGATCCTGCCTTAGATCCCAGGTCTAGGGGAAAAAGAAGAATCAAACAAGATCGAATCCTGGTTGGTCAACGGGACCAGAGGTTTACCCGTCCAAGCGTTCGGACTCGTGCTGGCTGGAGCCCGTCCTCGGGGAATTTCTCCAGGGCAAGCCCAAAAGCTCGGAAGAGTAAACCTCTGGTCCTCATGACCCATCCAGATTCAGTTCTGTGACATTATCCTGGGACACAGATATTCGCCTTTATGTGTAAGGATAAAAGAACTTAGTCTGGTTTTAGAAGGAGGTGTTGATGATGGGAACTCTGGATTTTCAGGAGGGGTTTTAAGATGCAGCTGAATGCCTCCCATTCTTCTGGCAGTGGTTTAAAACCCGAAAGCCACGTCCGTCTGTCTGTCTGTCCAATTAGCAAGTGGGCACCAGAGGGGCCGGAAGGGGGCTGGCCATTCAGCCCTCCTCCCTGGCAGAAGCAGAGCTGACCTGCGTTCCCTTCCCCAGGCGGCGTCTCTCCGAGCAGCTGGCCCACACGCCCACCTCCTTCAAGAGGGACCCCGAAGACCCCTCGGCCGTCGCCCTGAAGGAGCCCTGGCAGGAGAAAGTGAGGTGAGGATGGGTCTGGGGGGTGGGGGCTCTCTGTGGCCTCTGAGGTGAGCCCTTCCTGGGATCCTTAAACCTTCCTTAAGGTGGGTGGACTTCAACTCCCAGAGTTCCCCAGGCACCACAGATTTCTGGGAGTTGAAGTCCACCCATCTTCAAGTTGCTAAAGTTGAAAAATTCTGCTTTAAGCAAGACTTTGTGGGGCAGCCAATGCAAAATCCAGGGACTTTCCAGGCTTAAGAAATGGACTCGGCAGAAGGCAAAGGAGGGGGAGGGCAGCCCCTGGTTTCTCTTTGCTGATGAAGCCGGGAGGGGCAGCTGCCGTATCTGTGGGCCTCCTGGGCTGGTCAGACAGGCTGGTGGATTGTGGAGTCTCCCTGGAGGAGGGCCACCTACCCCCCAAACGGAGGCCAGTGTGGGCTCAGCCTTTCCTTGCTCCCCCCAGGCGGATCCGAGAGGGCTCCCCTTACGGCCACCTGCCCAACTGGCGGCTCCTCTCCATGATCGTGAAGTGTGGGGATGACCTCCGGCAGGAGCTGCTGGCCTTCCAGGTGCTCAAGCAGCTGCAGGTAAGAGAGGGAGGCAGGAAGGAAGGGAGGAAGGAAGGAAGAAAGAAAGGGAGGGAGGGAAAAAGGGAAGGAGAAACGAGGGAGGGAGGAAACAAGCAAGCAAGCAAAGACAGGAGGAGGCTGGAGGGGGTCTTGTCTCCACCCCAGATGTGATGGGGCTTCCAGTCTCCTCCACCTGCCTTTAGAATTAAGACTAGGTGGGGGATGGGGGCAGAAATCCCATCCCCCATTGCGCTGCCCCCACCCCCCTCGGCCTCTGTGCCCAGCCCTCCGGTCTCCCTCCCCTTGCAGGCCATCTGGGAGCAGGAGCGCGTCCCCCTGTGGATCAAGCCTTACAAAATCCTGGTCATCTCGGCCGACAGCGGCATGATCGAGCCGGTGGTCAACGCCGTCTCCATCCACCAGGTGAAGAAGCAGTCCCAGCTCTCCCTGCTGGACTTCTTCCTGCAGGAGCACGGCCAGTTCACCTCCGAGGGATTCCTCACCGCCCAGCGCAACTTCGTGCAGAGCTGTGCCGGCTACTGCCTGGTCTGCTACCTGCTGCAGGTGAAGGACAGGTGAGGCTGGAGGGGCTGGCTCTGGCTCCTGGGCATGTACTGAGTGCCTTTAACAAGGGTCCTTGAAAATCTCCTGCCTGAGATATATTTAATTCAAAGAAATTAAAACACTGGCACGAGGGGGAGAGACGGGACTTCTTTTGCAAAAACCCAAAATACCTGATCGTTTTTTCTCCTCCTCCTCCTCCTCCTCCTCCTCCCTCTGACCCCAGGCACAATGGCAACATCCTGCTGGACGCGCATGGCCACATCATCCACATCGACGGCTTCATCCTCTCCAGCTCCCCCCGTAATCTGGGTTTCGAAAACCTCGGCCTTCAAACTGACCGCCGAGTTTGTGGACGTAAGTTGGCACCGCTCAAAGGGAAGCGAAGTGTGAGAAACCCGATGGGGAGGCAACTCCGGGGCATCACGGGTGGGCACATGAATCCTGCTCTACGATCGTAAGGGGCTGGCTCCGTTACAGCCGTAAATCAAGGACTACCTACACAGATAGTCCTTGACTTGCAACAGTCCATTTAGTGACCGAAGTTACAACAGCATTGAAAAAAGTGAATTATGACCATTTGTCACACTTGCGGCCTACTCAAAGCATTGGGAAAGCCTGATTCGCTTAATAAATGTGTTCCTCACTTAACAGCTGCAGTGATTCACTTAACAACCGTGGCAAGAAATTGTAAATGGGGGGAAATTCACTTAAATGTCCCAGTTAACAACAGAAATTTTGGGCTCTGTTGAAGTAAGCCGAGGGCTGCCTGTAACAGAGGGGAGCCTTTCTCTGAAAGCCTTGTGAATTCCTGGGGTGGGGGGTGTCCTTCCGGGCAGTCCCCTTCCTGCCTTGCAATGCGCCCCTCCCTCCCTCCCCACAGGTGATGGGCGGCATTGGGGGAGACATGTTCAACTACTTCAAGATGTTGATGCTGCAGGGCCTAATCGCCGCTCGCAAACACATGGACAAGGTGGTGCAGATCGTGGAGATCATGCAGCAAGGTGGGCCGGGGTCCTCAAGGGAGGGTGGTCTCTACTCCTTTGCAAGAGGCCAGTCTGTCATGAACTATGGGGGAAAGGGGCCTTGGGAAGAGATCTTTGTGCCCTCCGGAGACACCCTGAGGCCGCAATACCTGGGAAGGAAAGGTAACACTCTCCATCTACCCAACCGTCGCAGGGAGATGTACCAAAATGTCTTTTTCAAATAGGATTGGACAATCGGGAGATAACGGGGGGGGGGGGCAGAAGGAGCAGGGGAAAAGTTCTTGAGAGGATATTCGGGTGGAGAATCTTAGTTCTGGCTTTGCTCTCCTGTAACCGCTTGCAACTTGCCATGGAACAATTTAACCATTCTGTTTAATTATTTAAAAATATTTTAATTTTTTGCCGTTCGCATTGCATTCTGTTCCTCCTTTTGCGTCCTTTAATGATTCTGTTCCACCATTCATTTGATATATGAGTGTAGCTCTTGTCCTGCAGCAAGTTGTCTGAGACCCCCTGACCTCTCTGCCCCCCCCTCTCCCCCCCTCCCCCTGGCAGGCTCCCAGCTTCCCTGCTTCCACGGCTCCAGCACTATCCGGAACCTGAAGGAGCGCTTCCACATGAACATGACGGAGGAGCAGCTGCAGGTGCTGATCGAGCAGCTGGTGGACGGCAGCATGCGCTCGCTCACCACCAAGCTCTACGACGGCTTCCAGTACCTCACCAACGGCATCATGTGACAGCCAGAACCGGACCTTCCCCTCCGGCAGCTCTCCCGTCCTCCCCGTCCTCCTCCCAGCCCAGGGTCCAGGATGGACCGGATGGACACCGCTGGGCTGGACCACCGCAAGGAGAGAGAGGCAGCCGCCGGAGGAGCCCGGGGAGACTTTGGACTGTAAATGGGGGTAGGGGGGCATTGTGTCTCCCTCCCCCCATGTGAAGGATCATGCGCAAGGACCTTGTCGAGATTCGCCTCCGGAGGAGGGACAGAACTGAGGGTCGCCCCCCTTCTTGGATCTTTTTTATTTCAGTATTACAACTCTTCTCCTCCTCCGTGTCCCCCTGCTTTCCAGCCCCTCGCCTGTGTTTCGGGGGTCCCGGGGGGAGACGGACTGGGAACAGGAGGGGGGAGGCCCCCCTCGGTGTTTCGGGCTCCGTTTCTCCCGTGCAGTTGGGGAGCGCTCCCCCACCTCTGGACTCACACAGGGCGCGAGAGTGTGTGTGTGTGTGTATGTGTTTGTGTGAATGTGTGTATGTACCTCGTGTCACTAATGAAAATCCCCTCTCCCCCCACTCTGCCCATTTTCCTCCCCGACAGTTGAATGCAAGGAGGGGGTGCAAAGCATCTCTCTTCCCCCCCCCCCGAAAGCTCCCGAATCTTCACTGCTTGAAGCACAACTCCAGCCTCCCTTGAATTGGGGGTGGGGGCATTGGCAGGATATCTCCCCCTCCCCCTCCCATGGGGTTTGGCCTGGCAAGGGACGGGGCTGAGTGGGGGAGCACGGAATGCAGTTGATGGGTGAGAGCTTCAAGCCCCCCCTCCCCCGCCCCCCCAGGCTGCTGCAGGAATTAAGAGGTCTGCAAATATTCCCTGGGGAGCATCGCCCCTTTAATGGGCCTGTCCCAAGTCCTTCCCTTTGGAGGGGGGGGGGCTTAAGACCCCAAGATTCCCAGGCTTTCCCTTGGCCAAACCAGCTTCCTCTCTGGGAATGGAGCAGGAGCCCCCTCCCCTTCCTCTTCCAGGAGCCATGTCTCCTTACAGGCAGACACACACACACACACACACACACACACACACACAGTTGCCATTGTGGGACAGGGTCTCTCCCCCCCCGTGCAGGACCCCCTCCCTTCCTGGGAAACGTAAATGCAAAAGCTGCTTGCAGTATGAATGTCAGGCACGACTGGCGTCCTCGCAGGGAGGGGTTCCTTTGCGATTGTGTGTGTGTGTGCGTGTGTGCAGAGGGGGGCCGACTCCCTTTTGTTGGTCCTTTGATTCGCTGAAATTGTGACTGTTTGTTTGGTCCTCCGCGGCCCAAAGTGAGCCCGAGAGCGATTTTGGAATTCTCTGGAGGTTCCGAATACCAGGGGACAGGGGTGCCTGCTTTCCTGTCTCCCCCCCCCCCGTCTCCCTCCCCTTTCTCAACATGAACTTTTTTTCACACTGTACCAGGGTTGTTGTGTGTTTGTGTGTGCGCATCGCTTCCCCCCCCCATTCCTGATGCCTGAAACTGCCCCCACCTTTTTTTAAAGGAAAGAATCTGTTGATTGCTGAGTGAGCATTAAAGTGGGAAACAGCTGGGAGAAAGAAGGGAGGGCAGCCCCCCACCCCACCCAGCCTTTGGGGTTTGTTACCTCTGGGCTGCCCCCTCCCCCCCAATGCACACACAAGCACAAACAGCTCCGCACTTACACCCAAAAGGGGGAAGAAGCAGCGATTTTCAGCAGGTGGTTGTCAGAATTCCTGTTAAGAGAGGGTGGGGTTGTGTTTGTTTTTTGCAAGAATAAGAGGTCTTTAAAACTTGGTTGCCCTTGGAAAAACCCTTTGCTACGTTAGGGCCACGCAGAGCCCTCCCCATGGGCTGCTTTATTTATTGTTTATTATTTATCACATTTATTGGATTGCAACTCCCCTCACCCCAAGAGGAGGGCAGGGCAGAATTTTGCGAGGCCCTGGGTGGGAGATCAGACACACAGAAAATTTGGGGGGGGGCGAGGTTTGTGCCTGGCACAAACCTCCCCCCCCAAATCCAGCTGCAGTGGCCTCTTCCTCCCACTCCTCTCAGAGAAGGTGGGACGCCTCCTGTGAGCTGTGGGAAAACTCTGTGGCTGCCTCCTTCCCCTTGTGGACCCCTCCCCGGCTGGCCAAAGCCCTCCCGGCCCTGTCTTTGCCCTCTCCTTGATGTGCCCCCTGCCCAGCCGACGGGCACCGCGAGGGAGAAGCAGCTGCTGGAGACCCCTCGAGGTTTCTTGGCAGCCCCTCCCCCCTCCGTCTCCTTCCTGAGTGGGATCCCCTCAAAGGCCCTTTTGGGGAGCAGCATAGCAATGGGGCACCCCCTCCCTCCCCCCCTTTAAGGCTCTGGAAGTGGGGCAGGAGTTGTGGGGTTGAGCACAGCTGGGCTCCTCTTCCCAGAATGGGATCCGTTCAGGTCTCCAATTCTGAAAGCAAAGTTGGGGTCCTAAGACGGGGGGGGGGGTTGGGGTTGGGGGTGAAGCCCAGTTAGGAGGCCAGTCCGCTCCCTTTCCCACGACCAGCAATTGGGTTCTTCCAGCCAGGTGTTTTCAGATGACGTCGGCGTTGCCCTTACAGCCGCGTGCAGAGGGTTTGTGCGAAAGGCCCTCCGGCGGGAAACCGACATCCCCCGTCACGTCGGGGGAAACGCGGGTGGGGGGGAAAAGGTTCCACTCTGCTCCAGCAGGGGGCGGGCGTGCGCGTGGCGTCCCTCTCCGCCAGGGGGCGCCCGGCCGCCCCTCCGCCCGCTCCCCCGCCTGCCCCAGCCCGAAACTCCAGCCGGAGCGCCTACCTGTCGGAGCCCGTCGGGGAAGGAGAGCCGGCCGCGCTTTGTCTGCTGCTCCGGGGGAGCCGCTCGCCCCTCCGCCCTCCTCCCTCCCTCCCCCCCAGCCGGCAGGGGCGTCGGAGCCGAGGGTGCTGCTTGGGGGCGATGCTGGCCCCTTGAGCCCCGCCGGCCTCCACCTGCCAGCCCGGGAAGCGGAGCAGCGGCGGCCGAGGAGCGCAGCCTCTGGGCACCATGGTGAGTCTCGGGCCCCGGGGGGCTTCGGGGACCCCTCCTCCTCCTCCTCCTGGGGGGGTCGCCCCCTTCAGCCCCCCCCACTCTCCTCCCCCCCCCGCGGCCGATCCGGGCTGCCCCGCCGAGTTCCGCGGCCGGCTGGGGGGGTCTCCGGCGGAGAGGCACCGCATCGCCCTCCAGGTGGCCGCCGACGGGCAGCCCAGCGCCGGATCGGCCGGGTTTTGGCTTCGCTTCGCTTCCTGCTTGGCCGGCCGAGCAGAAAAAGTCCCTTGATTCGGATTCAGTGCTTCTCCGAGGCTTAGAGAAAGCCCCCCGCGGCCCCCCCGCCCCCCGGCTGTCTTTGGGCCGGCGCCGTCTGGTGCTCCAAGGGGCCCTTGAGGCCATCCAGCCCCACCCGCTGCTCAGGCTCGCTTTCGGCCAGCCGTTCGTCCCGGTTTCTGCAGAGGCGGCGCGGTCCCGGGGCGCAGCGCGTGGGAGTGGGAGACTAAAGAGCCCCGGAGACATTTGTGTTAAAGGGGAGAGATGGGATTTGGGGGGGGCGGAGACGGGGGTCGGCAGGCAGAGGAGGGCTCTGCAAAGAGCCGCTCTTGGGTCTCTGCTCACGATCAGAGACAAGCGGGGGAGCCCACATGGTCGCACCGACCCCGCCACCAGCTCTGCTTTTCAGGGTGGCAGCCAAGGTGAGATTTGCGGTACTGCATCGCACAGACACACACACACACTCACAGAGAGAGAGAGAACCTGGTTGCAGCGAAGAAAGTGAGATTACCACAACTATAGAGCGGATCAACCGGCTCTTTCCAATGTCAAATATTTGGGGCAACGTTCCCGTGATCCTTGGCCACCGATTATATATGGCAGAGGCTGATGGGATCGGCAGTCCCAAACTTCTGGATCGGGTGCTCCGTTTCCATCTTGGATTGGAGTCCTTTCCACCCTCCAGGCCTGAATCTCTGCAATTGGGAGAGCTTGACTCTTCCGGTTTTATCATTCAAGAGAAAGAGAGCAAAGGTTGCAGGGAAAGGAATGCCCTGGGGGTGGGGGGTGGGGGGTGGGGGTGGGGAGGGCAGGCGTTCTCCCCTCTCTAGGATAAGAATCTGCTCTCTTTGGCTCCCCCACCCCCACCCCAGACGGGCAAAGCCCTCGCTGTCTCTCAGTTCTGCCATTGGGGCAAATAAATAACAGTGACTGCAAGCATGTGCAGAGTGCTTTCCTGTCTCTGTGCAGGGAGAGGGTGCTTTCAGTTTAATCTGCAAAACCTTTGGGGCCTCCAAAATCAAGAGAGAACCTGGGGTTTTTTCAGATCATCTCACCTGCCTTGCCACTCTTTTCTATAAATATATAATTCCCAGAAGATTTGAATTTTTCTGCTTGGCGGGTGGGGGATGATGGGAGCTGTAGTCCCAAGAGGAAGGGGGCTGGCAGGGGTGCGAACCTCGCCCGGCTGGGTCTGTCCTCGAAAGGGGAAGCCTCTTCCCAGCAGCTGCTTGGCTAATGTTTAACTGCTGGCCAGGAGGGAGGTTGACACCGCTGGGCGCCTGCGCGTGACGCGCACCCGGTCCAGCCAGGTGGGGCCAAATTATACAGGACCAGGCATGAGAGGGAGATGGCCTGGAATGCCTGCCTGCCCACGGCTGACTCACGGCCTCCCTTCCGGGCCTCCGGTTGGGACACTGGCAGAAGCCACTGATTCAGAAGGGCGAGGCTGGCAGGAGAGGCTTCACACGTGGTGGGAAGAGGCAGGCAGTATTGTTAGTCCTCCTGCTCCCTCCCTCCTTCCTTCCTTCCTTCCTTCCTTCTTTTCATCTCCTTCCTTCCTTCCTTCCTTCCTTCCTTCCTTCCTTCCTTCCTTCTTTTCATCACCTCCTTCCTTCCTTCCTTTTTCTTTTCATCATCTCCTTCCCTCCCTCCTTCCTTCCTTTTCATCCTTCCTTACTTCCTTCCTTTTTTATCATCTCCTTCCTTCCTTCTTCTTTTCATCTTTCCTTCTTTCTTTCCTTCCTTTTTATTTTTATCATCTCCTTCCTTCCTTCTTTTCATCATCTCCTTCCTTCCTTCCTTTTTCTTTTTATCATCTCCTTTCCTGTTTCCTTCCTTCTTTTCATCTCCTTCCTTCCCTCTTTCCTT